GGTTCCCATACCCGGCGGAAATGATACAGCAAAAGAGCCGAAAGGGCACCCATCTGAAGATGAAATTTGTGCGCCGTGTGTCGCGTGGAAAACTAAAACTCATTTCTGGCAAATTAAACTTAATTGTGCCACATTTTTCGGGATGAAGGCGAAGAAGGATGCCGAGCGGAAAGCTGAAAGGCACGGGGTTGAAAGTGCCTCGGTCTGAGTGCCACATGTGAGCATCTCAAATGTGAAAATTAAAAGGCATTTCCGCAGAATGTCAGCGTCATATTGTAAAACATGAGTATTTAATTAGAAAATACTTTTAGGCAGCGCCAAGCAGATAGCTGCCTGCCACTCCACAGTCCCTCCTGTCGAACCATGTCCTGGCTGGCGGGCTGGCTAATGAATTCCTCCAAGAAGTTTTGTGCTTTTTAACAACTTAACATAGTTTCGGTTTCGAGTCTGGCGTCGCCTGTTCATGTAAGGATGTAAGTACAAAATAGCATTTTCCTTAATGGAAAACCTCCGCCCGGGCTCACAACTTTGCATGTACGCAGGATATTAACACGGAAAAACCAACAGCCAAACAACAAGCTACCAACTACAGTCGAACTTGGCTAAGTTGAAATACTGTAAAGGATATGCAAGGATAACCCTGGTATATTGCAGAGCTTATATTAAATTCAAAGAAATATAGTTTTGGAAGGTTTACTGTTCCAAAGGAATGGTGTTGGCTGAAAGTGCCGGCCAAAATAGAAGAAAAAGTGGGCGGAGAACGAAAACAGCACAAAGGGCAAGGATAAGCACAAGGACGATGATTACGAGGACGATCATCATCATCACGATGGCTGTGTTAATGGCCAGGCATTATTCAGAGCCTCATTCCCAGATTGTCACAGCGATAAGCAGGGGCGTGTGTGTGAGAGGGGGGTCTATCTAGATTGCTGAAAACCAGCGATGGGATCAGAAAGCCAGTAGGAAGGGGAGGCAGTGTCCAATGTCCACTGGCCATGTCAAAACTCATTTGCCGTTAACGAGCAGCCATTGTGCTTATAAAAGGATTATTTACAAATCACTGACTTTCAAAAATTGTCAACTGCAGGGCAAATGCTGCCGCTTTGATGTACAATTTATGGAATTAACCCTTAAGTGCTCCCCCGCCATCAGAGTCAGATAGCGGAGTTCAGCCTTCCGTGGGATCAACGCTCCAGTTGATTTCTTTCAGCTGATTGCGGCTGAAACGGAAACGGATCTCCATCCCCGCCAGCCTTGGCCGCCCATCCATCTCGAATCTAAAGGCAATTGTGTGCCACGTTGTTGTGACTTGCAGATAGATTTTGCGATTTACAATTTCCAATTGATGGCTGGCTGGATGACTGACTGGCTGGTTGGCTGACAGACTACCAGGCTGGAGTCGTAAATGGTTCAATGAACAGCCCCGACTCGGAGCTTCAAGGAGGAAACTTTAAGAGGCCGGGGTCCAGTCCGTGTCCCCTTAATTGCTGCCCTTTGTTTGCCCTGTGGTCACTCTAATTGGTGTTTGCATGTGGCTCTCGAGGTCTTGTGTAAATATATGGGAATCTGACTGGCTGACCAGAACAACCCGGATTCCCTTCTTACACGCCTGAGCTTCTTTTGTAATTTTGCGTGCGTTGTGTTTGCTCATTAAACGGATTTGGTTGGGTATCGATTTGTTGTTTGCATCCACTGTGAAATTATCAAAAATAAGTTAATGCCATATAGTCATATTTTTCCTGCTACTCCTGACAAGTAAAGCGACCATCCCTACCCCATCCAATCAACGTTATGCATATAAGCCCGGGCATTTAGCCCCTGGACGGACGTCATCAATTAGCCGGCCGCAAGTCGAGTGCCAGACAGCCAAGTTTGCGCAAAAAATGTACAGCTTCGTGCTCTGACGGCGCTCGGACCAGGCCTAATGAGCAAACTGAAGGCAAGCATGCGAAACGGACTTAACGCCACTTGCGAAATCACATGTCAAAAGTTATTAGCCCGGCGTGTAATTTGGGCCAGGCTGATTACCGGAATGTGTACATGGAACTAATAAACAAAGTCATTCGGCTGTCGGAGAGAGAATAACAAGATACGCTGCCAAAAAGTTGCTGCCAGTCTCCTCCGGGTCCCCGGTTAGTGGCTGTCATTGCCAAAATCCTCGGCCAAGGTTGGCCCCAGACCCACCGACCTCTCTTGATTCATGCTGTCAATATCGTGGCAACATATTTCCTCGCTTAATATTTTCTCTGTGCTTAGACAAGTTTCGCCCCGTTTGGCTGTCTGCGAGAACGTGAGGGCGTTAAACTCATACATCACTTTATCCCACAGCTTCCATTTGCCATATCCTGCTGCATCCTGCTGTTTTGGACTGGCGCTTTTTTCTCGCACCGCGATGTGTGTCAAGAGTTGCCAATAAAGCTCCAGCTATAGCTACAGCTAGAGCTTCAGCCACACATCGCAATTCCCAACCCGATCGCTCTTCCTCGATTGAAAATAAATTTATAACGCATACGTCATGTAAGCCCGGGAGGGAGACAGAGTTCGCAGTTTATTGCATTTGTCGCTGGCATTGCAAAACTTCAATAAATTATTTTATTGCGACAGTTATTTTGCTTGCTTTGCGCTCTCGTCCTCCGAACTGAGTTTCCGACTTTCTTTTTATGAATTTGTTCAGCTATGTTGCCATGAGCATAAGTTGAAAAAGAGTCATATATCCGTACACCCATATGGCAGGAATAAACACATTCTGTCAGTTGGCATTTCTGTTCATTTCGGTTCATTCGGCGCCCAAGTCTTTGGCAGCAAATTGCAAATGACTTTATGACTGAAACAACTTCTCCATCTTCCAGCTTCATCATCGAGATGAAATTGATTCCGCTCTGGGCATAAACTCGGAATTGCATAATAAATTTGTGCACAAGCGCATAATGAGGCAATTGCAAGAGATGCTGAATGAATGGATTCGTTGTCGCACAGACGCTAGAAAGGCCATAACATGTTGATTGATGCGACGGCAACTCCCGTATCCCGTATACCGTATCCGGTATCCGGTGTCCCGCATCCCATATCTTTCTGTGGTGTGCAAGCCCAGTCGTCTCCCATTTCAATCGAGCATTAAACACACTTTGTCAGTCATAAAAGGCAAACACTTTCGTTCCCCTTCATCAAAAGTTGACACTTACCGAGTTAACCTTTAATGAAAAGGCCAAACAAGGCAGGGAAAAACGACAAAGAAAGCAGCAGCCCAGCACCTCGAGGGCTCATTGTGAAATTACCCAAAGAATAAAAAAGCCGAAGCAAAAAAATAAGAAAATGGAACTTGTCGGTAGTAGAGCCCAAGGGCTACGAAACTCTGCCTGAATCCCCGGTATCCTAGCAAGAAAGGCAATAAGTAGCAAAAATTACGCTAAACGTGGCAATTTCCTGGTAAATTACACAATATATATATACGCATGTCTGGGTGTGTCCTGGAAGAGAACTGAAGTACCAGAAAGTCATAAGATATGAATACTTAAAAATATCAAAGTAGTTGTTAATATAATATACTTGAATAGAAAATAAATCGCGCATATATTAAATATGAGTTGTGAAACTTTATAAAATCAAAACTCCCTTTCGGAGAGTGTATAATAAGCCTCATAAAGCACCGTGGCAGTAATTTTTCAAACGTCAACCGGCACCCATAACTGGCACTCGGCTGCAGATGCCCTGGTTAAATGGTTTGGCGGGCCAGGTGGCAATCCGAAGCCTGTCAATTTCCGTTCCAGCACACGCATGGGGTCCACAAAATGGGAAGGACGAGCACGATATTTTAATGCGTGTCATATTTGATTGATGCCAGGGCCCGGGAAGACCGTGAAGCCCGGGCCAGGAGCACAGGGCCGCGGAACAATGTCAAGCGTTTAACATTGCCCCGGGCGCCACTCAAAGCATCAAGACGGTGTGTGGGCACCCCCTTTTAAAACCCCCCTTTTAAGCCCACTTTTAACCCCTCGTTTACCGTCATTTCCGTCGCGCTTTTTGCTCTCGTCCTCCGGCGAATTGCCCCTGCAGGTATGCAATGAAAAAGTGCGTAAGGGAGGCCATTGTTTTCATTGTGGGTGTACGAGAGTGTGTGTTTTGTGTAATTTAACTTGGCAGTTTGTTAACAATTTTATCAGGCCCGAGATGTGGCTCCTTGTGAATGGATTTTGGTTGGTCGGGGAACTTGAATTGATGTAAATACGAGTGTGTCTGGCCATAATATATGCTCCAGACTAAGTGCATTAGGCTGGATGGGGTGGTCTCCCGTTCTCGGAGAATTTCCCCTGGGGGCAGGCTCAATAATTTGTGGCAGTTGCGCAGGCAACTTGTGCCTACTAATTTGACTTGAGCGCCTATCGAGAGCAAACAGGCAAACATATGGGCCAGAACGCATTAAACGCACTTATTTAATTAGACTTTGTGTACACTGGGAGATTCTGGGCAAGTCATGCTTAAAATATAATGCATAAATGGATTTAAACTTGAAACCTGACTCACTTGCTAATCATAACATAGTGTATTTTATATAATAGATTATATGGTTCTTTATGGTAATAGCCCCTTCTCCTGTTTCCTGACTATGTGGTATGCTTAGAATACCTCCAGTGTCCTGTTACCTTTGTGCCTGTAGCTAAGTAATAGTCCCTATTGATTAACCGCCCGTGTACCGAATAAGCGCATTAACCCCTTCAATTATTAACCCCCAAGATAAACCGATAAACCCATCCAACGCCAACATCAATTTAACATCATTAACCACCCCCTCTCTTTCTCTGCCTCTTTCTCGCCCAACGTGTATGTCTCTTTCTACACATCCCGAGATAGAAATCACTAGAACACTCCCAACTTTTAACCTCCTGCACCCCATTAGCATTCATAATTCTCAGCCATCTCACACGCTCCTCTCACCCCCATCTCGCCCCCCACTAGACGGTAGTGTGGTAAACAGCAAGTTTTATTTCTCGGCTTCTTTGCAGGACGGACAACGTGGTCATTTAGAGGGCCTGGCATCTGTCTATTGCGAACTGCTAATGGCTCCCTTCGGGGACATTTTGGCAGTTTTAGAACAAGCGCGCCAGGCGGCCTGGGCGGAGCGGAGTCCTCTGCACGGTGCTTTGCATATGGGCGGCGGTGCCAGCAGTAGCACGGGCGGCAGCAGTGGCGGCGGGGCGAGCGGTGGCAGTGGCGCGAGTAGCGGCGGCGGTCTGCATCACCGTCAGCAGCATGGCCATCGCGGCCACTCGATGCACGGCGCCGGTCTGCCAAATTCCCATAGCCAGCCCATTTACGTGCCCGGCAAGTACTCGGTATGTATCACCATGGAACCACCCAGAAACCCACTCTTCCTCCCACCACAATAACCACCCACACAAACCATTAGAGGCCCGACCCACAAAAAAGTTCCAAGGAAAATATTTACAAAATTAAAAAGAAATTTGAAAATACAATTGATATTGATGTTGGCGTTGAAAGAAATGCTTGAAAATAATAAAAAGAAACCATTAAGCCGAGGCTACCATTAGGCAGATACTGTAACCAAATTGAAAACTGATTTGATAGCTCACAAAAAGCTAAATGTGTGTACAATGTGTGTGTAAATATTTTTGCCTGCTTTTAAATACTCCTCTTTTACTCGCATGATTGTAGTTTGGATCCTTTTGAGTAATTTCATATTAAAATTATTTTTTTATTGTTGACCAACTTACAGCCCTCCAGTTGTTTGTCGGACAAGGAGGAGGACGAGATCTACGGGTTCGGCTACGGCGTCTTTGCGCCGAGGGTGGCGCGAGGCGGCCTGACGCAACAGCAGCATTTGTTGCAGCAGCAAACACTGCAGACGCAGCAGGCCATACAGCAGCAGCAGTTGCAGCAGCAGCAGCAACACCAGCAACAACAGTTACCAATCGTGCCAGGCCAACAGCAACCAGCGGGACTTGGACCGCACAATCACCAGACCCTGCCACCCAATGTCGCCCACTTGAACTTTGTTCAGCAAAAGTAAGTTTTCCTAAACAGACATTCCGAAGCCAAGTTCTGGCCAACTCATATTTCAAAACTAATTCCAACGCCTAACTCTCCACTTAGCTGCCTGAGTCCCCGCTCCGCCTACTTCTACGAATTCCCACCGACAGCTGGTGAGTAAGAGTGTAGGATTTGCCAATACTCCAGCAGAGGACCCCCGAAATTCGTGTAATGAACATAAGTATTGTGTCCTTTAAAGTTCTGTCTAAAAATGACAGGTCCCTCTGCTAGAGTATGCAAATTGTACAGAATATAAAGGAGAATATGCAAATCGGCCTCCGACTGGAACTCCCCTTACTAATTCAATTTCTGTACGCTTTTTTCTCCGATTCTCAGAGGGACGCGAGACAAAAAAACGCACCACGCTGGCCCGCCTGCTGAAAGGCTTGAAGACTGTCAATCGGCGGGATCGCAACAATCAACAAAATGGCGCCCAAGCCAGGGTAAGTACTCCCCTTAGTCCTGCCTGCCAGTCCCTGCCCCATGCTCCATCCCGGAAAGGAAACGAAACTCATTTTCGCGCTTCGTTTTATGACCGCAAGCAAATTGTTTGTCCTGTCCCCCAGATCCCAGATCCTTTCATTTGAATCAACTGCTGCGGTAATTCTTTCAATTTATTTGCTCGCATTTCGTTTGGTTTCCTTCGACTTGCGTTTCCATTCTTGGCAGCCTGCCGTGCCGCCGCCTCTACTGCCGCCTTCTGCTGGCTGCCATTTTATGACTTTCTGCGTTTCTTCTTGACTTGGAAGCATTCGAGTCCTGTTCTGGATAGTATACTTAATCTTGGCCCTGGGGACATGTAAATTTTTATGCGCGCTGCTGCTGCTGCTCCAGCTCCTCCTCCTTTTTTTTTTTTCCCGGCTGAAAAGGTTAAAAATGTTTTGCCAGCGGCCATGTCTACATTGCCACTTCTCATTCTTGGCGCCGCTGCAGCGCCAGTGCCCCCAACTCCCACCCCCGGTTCGGCTTGTCCTGGCTTTATCTGCGCCGCTCACAAAGGATTCATTCAGCGCCTTTGATTAGAGCAACCTTTGGGGAAAACCAGAGAAGGAAAAAGAAGGAAAAGCACCCGTGGAGCTGAGGAGCCGGAGGTCCAGAAGCAGCTGGAGCAGGCACTATTCTTGAGCCTGGCAATGAAACTGCGGCGCAGATAACGTGCCACAGGACGTCGGCGACGCTGCTCATAAATAAGCAAGGACATGCATAAATTTTTCACAAGCAGTACACAGAAAAGAATAAATAAAGGACGAGCAGGGCAACGGGAAAAATATAAATAATAAACCGATGGCTGAGGGGAACAAGCTCTGTATATATGTACGTATGTACAAGGAAACCCGGCAAGGGCTCCGGCAGATAAGCGCAGGAAATGACTAAGGATATGTGCCTAAGTAGCAGCATCCTACTTCCTTTCAAAATATAATTAAACAGCACTCACCTGGCCGACGTCAGGGCCATTGCCATGCGCTCTCCCACCTGATTTGCTATTTATGATAAGAAAACAAACGCATTAAACGGGGCCGGCAGAGAAGGGTCGATGTCGGCTGGGCGACCCTAAACCTGACCCTTGACTCGTTATTAATTAAAAATTAAAGCCCCGCTGAAAGGTGTGAAATACAAAATGGCGTCCTAATGGCGATAAAGCACGACGTGCCCCCTTTTCAGGGAGTCCTTGATTTATGAGCAGCCTTTTCACCAGCAACCCCGTCCATACCGGGTTTTTTCTGCAACCTTTGTGCATACTTAAGAAAGTTAATAAGCCGGACGATTGAACAACAAGCCTTCGTCTTTGGCAGCCCGAAAATGAATTTAAACTTTTCCCCCAAATTGATTTTCCTCCTTCTAATGGCATTTCTTTTCAGGCGGCCAACGATCGTCTGAGGCATTTTCAAATGATAAACGGCGGCGGACAGCAGCACAGTTTCGAGGAGACGATTCACAGGGTAAGTAGGACTTAAAACTTTAAAAGTGTAAGCTATATATGGTGCAGCAATTAAAAGTGGGTCCTAGTTTAGGGCAACTTATACAAGAGGATGTTGGGCGGGCTTAGAATGCAATAGACGCATAAATATTTATGCAACAAATTTAACAAGCTGTCGCTGGGGCTGCTTTTCCTTTTGGTTCTGCTGCTGCAACAGCTGCGTCAGCCAACAAAAATGTTGCCCAACAAAAAATGGCGAAAAAGGTAAAAATTTGCACAAACTGCAGCAGAAAGTTTCAAAGGCAGCCCAACGCATCCCCCATTTTGACTGCATTTGCAATGCAATTTCAACACGAAAGCTGCGGCTGTTGCTTTTGAGCACGTTTACCTGTAATGGCATGCCAACAACAGCAACAACAACAGTGCCACCCGGAGCCCTGGTAGAAAGGAAGAGGAAGTGGCAGCGTACGGATGCATGCAACATTTAAAAGTTCATTGCCGTCAACATTCATTATTAATGACAGCGCGCGCACAGAGCGCCAAACTAAAACAAGCAACAAAATGCAATCAGCGGCGACAGCAGCACCAGCAAACAGACTGACAGCAACACCTGCAGCAGCGACAGCAACACCTGAAGCAACACCACCAACAATAGTTACCAAATGCATAATGCATAACCACATACATACATATAACCGCCCCCGAACAATCTGCGTTCTAGAGTCCAAAAGCGGCGGCCATTTTCGTTTGCAAACCTAAAAGTATGCTTTAAAATTCTCATGGACGGAAAGAAATTAGTTGACCATATTGCCAGTAAACAAGAAGTCACTTAGTAACTCAAGGAACAATTTTCTAATTTCAGTTAAAAGTACAAGAGGCCATGCGGAAGAAGGAAAAATTCCAGCGTGAACACGAGGAGGTAAGTGACTTTCACAATATTCCGACATGTCCTGACCACAAGGCCTAAGTTTAAACATGCATTCCCAAATTGATAAATGCAAACGGCAAACATGTGTCTGGACCAGTGGATAAATCAAGCATATTTGTTCTGAGCACTTTTCGCAAATTAAATAAACATAAAACACTCTTAGGGCTGAGGACGAGGCAAGTCAGGCTGCACTATTAATTTCACAGATTCCGAAGCATTATATTTGCATGAGTTTGAAGACACACAGTTGCAGATGAAACTTGAGATTCCTCAGACGACAGTGCGTTTCAGCTAGGTAGGGCTAAGCTTAGGTTCTGTAATATGTAACATAATATACCATTTTAATGAATAATCCACCAAGAAAACGATGAAAAAGTTATATTAAAACAGTAAACCTAATTAGAGGTACGTGGCTCCTTTTCCCAGTCATAAAGTAACCTTAATGAAAGTGACTTATAGTTGTGTCACGCACTGTTTGCACTCGTATTTGTATATTTGCAATACATAAATGCTACGACTTCTACATGCACAAGCCAATTAAAAAAGCTATTAAAAATATTTGATATAAAAACAGCAATTATTCCGAGGCATAAAAGCCCCAAGACCGGCCGGCCAGGCAGCCAGGACCCCAAAGCTCTGGCCTGAAATAAGTGTGAGAGTAAGAGCGTTGGGCAAACATGCAAAACAGACGCAGACCCAGATACACACTCGCCAGGACCAAGGAGAATGAAGTGCAACGTGGCAAATGATAAACTTTTGTCTGCCATAAAAAGAATTACTTTCCACACTTGAAAATGTTGTCCTAGCGAAAGAAGGACAGGCCAGGCTAGTTTATTTATTTTACCCAGAGAATTGAGTGTCAAAGTCAAAGTATGTATCCTTAATGTGTGTCTCGGTTTTAAGGACGAGGTTCGTGAGGTCAGTAGCTTCAAATCTGTAATCGATTAGGGAAATCCCACCCTGCCTCTTCAATCAACGTGGCAGCCGGCCCAGTTAATTATGCCAGTTATCAGCCTGAATGATGGATGCTCCCACACACACAGCTACCTAGTTCCTGTGGCAGACACACAAACTTCGTTGTTGCACGACAATTTGTCGACTGTTTGCCAGTCCGGCACAAAATTTGTGTGAGCGCCTAAGCAAGGCAATAATTTTTGTGCATAAATGAAAAGCATACAGAGAGCTAGGGAGCTGTGGAGTGGGCGTCGCAGGACAATGTTATTGTTGTTAGTGCTGCTCCTGCTCCTGCTGCTGCTTAACTTGTGCAAACAGCATTCTGTTTGTCTAATTGTAATTGCTGTTTTTGTAGCCCAGGAAGAAAGGAGGCTGGCTTGGGGAAAGGCATCCGAAAACACAAAAAACAAAGAGCTTGTTTTTCGTAGCGAGCACCATGAAATATTTATGATGGGAGTGGGCGGAGTGCCATGTTTTCCTCCTCCTTTCCAGCTGGGGTTTGCATTTGGCCAGGCAATTAGGCAGGCGCCCCCAGACCCCCAGATGTGATTAGAATTGTAAGAAAAATTCGCCCTGTCTCGGTCACGTAAATTTCAATTTGGCATCTGTACTATATATCTAGTCAATTGTATGGAAGTTTCCATGTGTGTGGGGCCCGCCCCACATCCTGCAGTGCCATTTGAATGCATTTTTAATGGGACTGGCCAAAAAAGCTTTTAGCTAATTTTTCAGCGCCCCGCTTTTATTGCCGACTGTCTCTATTTCTGTTTGTTGGCTGGCCCTGGCATGCTTTTCGCTTTCTAGTAGCGGAGCACAATTTCGTATGTGCTCTCGGCATTAGTATGCAACACACACAGAATGGCATTATGGCGCAGGACATCCCAACAAGAAATAATATGTATAGAAATAAAGAAGTGCCAAAAATAAAAAAAAGAAGAGGCGACTAGCAAGTAGCACATTTTGGTAGTTCGTTCGCTCTGCTTGCGCTTCCTCGAGAAAATTGTTTTAGTTTTCAAATGGAATTTTGTAATTTTAACGCCTTTGGAACTGCCTGACTGACTACTACCAACTCCTTCTGAGCTGGCTAATAAGATGCCAGCTGGAGCTCCCCGCTCAGAGTTGACAACGCGTCGTCCCCAGTCCTGGGTCCTCATTTCGCATTTCGCACAGCAGTCACGTTTGGCATGCAGACAAAGTGCTGGCTGCCCAAATACGAGTCTACTATATATGCATACAAACTCGGAGCGGAGGCGTTGACTTTAATACGACAAAGTTTTATCTAGTTATGGTCCAGCACAGGATGCCAAAACATTCGCCAGAAGTTTGCCAAAAGCAGGACCTGTTGGGGGTTTCACTAACAGGTTTACAGAAACTGATGTACCGACTCCCTTACCCTTTCAATTTAAAGGTTTTTGGAACCAAAACAATAATGTCATAATGTATTTTGTACTTAATAGATCTTGCGTGACATCCGACAAGGACTTCTACAAATGAGTCGAGGCGAAGGACGCATGGGTAAGTGAAACCAAAAAATTTATAAGAGGCCCAGGAAAAATGGGAGCATTTGCGGAAACCTAGGCGAGCAATATACAGCCAGAAAGTTTACACTTGAAGTGCTTCTTTTGCGAGTTGCAAGTTGCAAGCTGCAGCCACAGCTGTAACGTCTGAGGGGGCGAGCCACGCAAGCCCGCCCGCCCGTCTGGAGAGCGTCACATGCATAAGCGAGCATAAAATCTTATGTCCGTTTCCGGACCAGAATCCGAACATAAGCCTCAACCCGGACTGCACACTCCGGACTCTGGACTCTGGACTCCGGATTTCAGACTTCGCCGCAGCCTGCACTTCGTGCATGTGGCAAATGGCATTGCAAGTTTTGTGTGCAACGTGGCGTATAATAATATTGTGTTGCCGCCATTCTGCTGGCTCTGCACATTTTTCGGGCGCTCTCAAACTTTTTAAAGTTATTTTTTTTATGCCAAATTCTTTCCAAACAAGAACTAATCCTAAGCCTTACTGGCGGCTTACTCTCCTTTCAGACGATACGTACATGTACGATGAGGCGCTGAGAACCGGGGTCATGCCCATCGGAGTGGGTGGATCGGGTGCCGGAGGAGGTGGTGGCACTGCCGCCCACTACGCAGTCAGTGCGCTGCACCACCAAGGTCATTGGTACGACGAACCACCCTACGAAAGCGATCCCGACGACTTCCTCATGGCCGGACTCAACTGCGGACCGGCGGCCACCATTCAGGTGAGTGACTATTAGTGGCCAAATAGGTTTATCATAAGAGTTTTTCAAAAGTCCCATCCTGTGATTCCGTTAATCCCGACAACTTCCTGCCCCATGCTGCTGCCTGGGAATACCAAACGCTATCCAATAACATTTTCCTATACCCATTTCAGTGGCAGCCCGCTTTGATTTCTCTGCGGAATTCGACGACCACAAAGTTTCGGGGGAGTCACTTTTTTTTCTGTCCCCCAGTTGCGTTGCGATTTCCTCTACGATTTTCGCTTTGTAGCCTCCTTCTATTTGCTTTATTAAATTATACGCTGAATATATTTTTGTGCTGGCGCATTGATTTCTACCCACTTCGATTTGTGCGTCCCGTCCTTTGGCATTCCTGGTCCTGCTCCTTTGCTGTGTGCATAACTCCGGGACAAACTGCGACTCGAACTCACTTTATTTTTATTGACAGTCAAAAAGTGCATAATTCTTGTTGACTTGCTCGGCTTTGACTCCCGGTCTGATGATTGTGAATTGATCGGTGGGGCCGATGAGGAAGGGGACTGTCGCCGTCTTGAGACTTTTCCTTTTGCATAATTTTCTTTGCCTTCCTAGCCATTATTATTATTTTTTTTTTTGTGAGTTGCGCTTTTGTCGAAACGCATTAGGCAAGTTCTCGACATGGGGGAGTCGGAATAGGACACGGACCGGGACTGGGAACGGGGGAATTTGTTTTCTTAGTCAATTGAAATCACTCAACGCTGAAGCGCTCTGCTGAAGCCTGGCGAGCTCCCTGGAAACTCGGCCTTTTGTGCGGGCCTATTTTCGGCCTGAAAACATTGCTTTGATGTGGCAACGAAATTTGTTTAAAATTGAAATGAAACTTTTGCGGTCCTGCCGCCCCTACGCCCGGCCAGCCCATAAACCCACAAAAATCTAAAAAAGGTTAAGCACCGTCGTTTGCGGTTCCTTGGCGGAGCAAAGTAGCCGGAGATAATGCATTGAAATTGGATTGTTGAGGCCTTTGATCACAACAACTGTACTGAACTGGACTCGACAAATGTTTGATATGATATGGGTATCCTGTATATCGATTCTGCATACCGACAATTCTGCGGATTAAGCCAGCCCGGCGGTTAAGGCCGAAAAAAGTAATCGGAAAATCCAATTCAGTTTCAGGAGTTTGGCCAGGCTCTCTGGTCGCACCCGAAAACTTTGCTGCATTGCTTAAATTAAAAACGAGAAAACTTTGCAATTTCCGTTTCCAAACAAGCACACCCCGAAAAAAAGTCAGGGGAAAGCAAAACCAAATTGGTGTTTCACTAAATTTAAAATTCCGGGCGGCGGCTAACACCAGGCAGCTCCGCAAATCAGTGCAACAAAAACAAATACGGCAACCTGCCACAACAGCAAACAAGCCCTGTCTTTTTCGCTCCTGCTACCACTCTTCGTTCCTGTTCCCCGCACGGCCCATAAACTTTTATAACTTTGTTAATTTTTCATAATTTTGTTGCTCTACGGTGGCCAACAAATTCTACTTGAATGCTAATCCCCATGTTGTGCGAGGCGCTCTATCCCCCCTTCCTTTATGGACACCTACACTGTAAAATATTATCCTGAGCTTAATTTAAGATTTAAGATTTAAATAACTTGCATATCCTTTACTTTTCTTGCCGTGTAAGTCTCACGTTCTCCTTGTTTTTTTTTTTTGCAGGGTGGACGAGTGCGCTTTTCGAACAACCGCGAGAGTACGGGCGTAATTTCATTAAGATCCGCCGGAGATATTTCGCTGCCGCAGCGTGGACCGCCGCGCCGAGGTCTTATCGTGCCGCAGCAGCCGCCAAATCCACCGACAATAATACCCTTAACGCACGCCAGGTGAGTTCCAGTGGGCGGTAGTCACTTTGGAGTGGAATGGTGTGGAGTGGCGGGCAGGCTGGTTGTTGATTGCCATTATTATTTGCAGTTGAGTTTATGGCCAAAAGGCCCCGGGACACGAAGGTGCCGCATTAATAAATAAAGTGAAGGCGTCCTTGTACTCAGATTTCAGTTCGAGGGGTAGTTATGATATGGCAAACCGAACCTCGGCCTGGTCCTGAGCCTGAGCCCCCCACACGAAACCCTTTTCGAAGGGTTCAAAGAAGGCAAATCGTTGAACCATAAAACTGTGCCACAAATGTGCTCGTTCTGCCATGAAAAGGCCAAACATTGTGGACCAGCCGTCAGTACTAATAGCTGGCCAAAAGCGAAAGCAATCAGGCCGCTCGGACTCAGGTTTCCGTATTTATTTGTCAATCGGAAAAGGTGCGCCAAAGGATTGAGGCCCGAAAGGATGAAATAAGGAAGCTGAAAAGGGGCAGACCTTACTTCATTAGTGCGGTTATCAACGGTCCGCAGACACGAATGAATGAATGTCTGAACGAGCGACTGGCTGATGCTGAGGCTGAGGCTATGTGAATGGGGGAATTAGTAAGTGACTGACTGACTGAGTGAGTGACAGACGGCACACATATCGAAACGCATCGGAGCGAAAGTCATCAATTTCATATTGTTACGCATGCCACACTCTCGAAGCGAGCCAAACGAACGGATCCCAGGATCCCGGGATCCTTGCAGCGTCAAAACCAATAAGGGCAAGACAGAGACTGGCAGGGACACTCGAATGAAATGGCATTATTGCTACTTCAACGCCAATCCACCAGGCAGGCAGCTCCTCAATCAGCCAGCTCTATACAGAGGTAGACAGGTCCTGGGGAGGGCTTCAGGGGGCATCTACTCTGCCCCTTATTGCCGAGCTACGTTTTCCACACGTACGCATACAAAAGGACTTGCTGAAATAACTTATACGCCTCGTGCGCCGCTGGGTCCCCGAACGAGCCAAACGAAAAGAAAAACTTTTTCTTCGCACGAAATTCCAGGAAGAAGGAGCAAGATGGCCGGGGCCACTGCAATGGAAGGTGGAAAACAAACAGCAAAGGCAACCAAAAGTGAAAATCTCAACCCAGTCCGGGTGCTGGAGCAAAATGGCAAAAGGAAAATCAGCCCAAGAAGCCAACTCGAAAGAAAGAAATACGAAAAAAGATATCAAGTATTTATTTATATGACCTTTGTTTGCCACTCGACCTCGGGTCGTGCCCGCCGACACCTCTACTTCTCTCCAGTTATTGTTTGCCATCAAAATGTTTGCCGTGCACGAATTTAAAGTTATTTTTGGGGGCATTGTTAGGAGGCAATTGGTGCCAGGATTTTCGTCATTGTCGAGCCAAGTGCGGGGGAAGTGAAACCGATATCGATACCGATATGTATAGCTTAGGCATTAGGCTCAGATTTAATATTGATTTTTGTTAAAATTTCCTTTTTTTCAGATCCCACGACCGGGAGAGCGGCGACTATGCGGGATCCATTTCAGACCTCCAAAGCGTTACCTCCAGGCTTAGTGCAGTCTCGGTAAGTGGCAGATTCAGAAAGCCAGCTCCGAATGGATGTGGCTCATTTAAGTTGCAGCCCCCAAGTCCGACTCCACCAATTCCCGGCTGCATCTAAATTGATTAAGTGCTCTTTGTGACAAACAAACTTCGCATTCGGTCGAGAATGGACGTAGATAAAGCGGAATAAAACGCACACAAACTTGAAAAGCTTTTTAGCCAAGTTTTGGTCTTTACTACCCCATGGCTCTAAACTCGATTTTTTTGTGCCGTTGTTTTCTTTACGGGAATGGAATTGGAATCGGAGTTGGATTTGGAGCCTGCAGCCGGGAGCCTGGAGCTGGGCACTTAAGCCAGCTAAATGTTGCCCGAAAGCAGACGAGGCCATTTCATTTGCAAACTTGGCTAATATGGAAACGCACTCAATCCGCTCAATCCGATTTTCTCCCCCACAGATTGGCACCAACAATTGCACGGCACGCTATCGGACGCTTAGCGGCGGAATCGGGGAGTCGCCCTCACTGTCGCCCAGTCCGTCGTCGGATTACGAGGACATCGGAACCGCCAGAGGACATGGCTGCCTGCCGCCCAGCTTACTGGCTGCTAAGGCCAAAAAGAACGGCATGGCCCACGGCAAGGCGAACACCATTTGCCAAAAAGCCACGGTGCATCACGTAAGTTAATTAAACGCTAATTCCTTCTCCTAGCCTTATATGCCGATCGGAAGGAAGGAGGGGCCAACTGCATTGCCAAAAGTGCAGATTGTTGACACATTCCGTGGCCTGAAAAATGTAATTAGACTTCGATTGGTGATTTGCATATGCAATCGACCACTCATCGGCCAAGCTTTGCTCTTCGCCGGTAATAGAACGTGTACTCCAAAAAGGGAAATACCACTTTAATGAGTTTTTATGGCCGTCAAGAACTAAAAAGTGAAAGCTCATTTGGGCACTTTCTATGCCTGTGTTTGCCGAAAAATATGAGCAAAGTTTGCCGGTTCTCGGCCGCAGGGGCTTAGCTTAAGTCAAGGGTTGAGATATTCGGAAGAGGCCTAAACCGAAATGGACTGAAAGAAAAGTATCGTATATATATGGCTATAGCAAGTTAAATTTTGGCCACTAACTAAAAAGATAATTTTTATTCCGGTGTATTCAAGGCCTTGACTCATTCGAAAACTAAGCTACTTTCTATCCCTCCGCGCATCGGCATGTTCGCTTTAAACTTTTTAATGATTTAACTAACGAAACTTTGGTCCTGTTCTTGTTCTGCTTTCTGGTGCTCTCTCTCCCCTTCAACATGCAATTTATTGCACAACGATGACGACAACGACGATGCGCAAAAAACAAAAAAATCCTGAAACAAAATGGAAAATGGATAACTTTCACTGGTGCTCGGCTCGGCTTGGGGATTTTGCAGTCGGGCGATATGCGTAGCTCGGCAAAGGAAATTGGCGCATTTAATGAGAATGGACGAAACTTTGTTGCCACAAAGGATACGTCGAGGGATTTCAGCAATTCCCAAGATAATACCGACCGTGGCAGCATGAGCGATCAGGCGTTCGCCTGCTCGGCCAGCTCAGTCGAAAGTTTGCCCAGCGCTTCCGGTTCGAGTAAGTATACATAGCACATCCAGTTACTATACAGAGAGTGGCCAACGTAGATGTGGATGTGGATGTGGGTGGGTATCTGCATCCGTGAAGTTGTGTATCTTTGTCTGAGCTTGCAATTTAGAGTTTTCGGGTTTGATTTTGTCTGTTGCTTCTGCAGCACCAAGCTGTCGGAGTTTGGTAGATTGGGGCTGCTCCTTCAGGCCAAGGCTGCACTCAAAAAAAAAAGGATATTAGAAAGGTCTTAAAGGGGAGTGATGTTCTCCTAAACATTCTCTTAGAAAAACATCATTTGAATTTATTTTTTATCAGAATAAAACACTATAATGTAGATGCATATTCAACAGTAATGTTCAATACTAATTCTCCAAGTGTATTTAAAAAATTCCCAGACTTCCGTGCTGGCTGGCTTGCATATTGGTCTATTAACAGTTGTAGTTCTTGTTGCGGTTTTTTGTTGCTCCTTCAAATTTTGCAAACTTAATGAATTTTTAATGCACTTGCTGGCTCCTATCTCGAATCCCAGTTCAGGGGCCAAAAAGAGGGCAAGTGCGCTGTGGAGGCGGAGGCGATGGCGGATTGCAATGTCTGGGGCGTGGTTAAATGAAGGGCAACCGCTTCCTTTTTAATGAACAAAACTTTTGGCCAAATAAAAGGATGCAGCAACATCCCAGAAAAGTGGGAGCGGTGGGAGCGATGGAAGGAGCATCAACTTTGAAAAGTGCAAGGAAAAATACTTTATTTTTCATGTGGCCAGGACACAAAGCAAGGATTAGCCCAAAAGCTTTGGTCTAGCAAACCAAACAGAAGCAACGCAAAGAAAACAACAGCCCAGCACAGAAAAATAATAATGGGAAACTTCAAGTGCATATTTGAATATTTTTTTGGGGGCGTATCTGTGTGTGTGTTTAAAAATATTTGAAAAGTTTTTAATTAACCAAACGAATGGGTGTGAGTATGAGTTTAGGCAAAGTGTTTGTCCTTAGTAAATTCCCAGGGTCCTGCGGCTAATTGGCTGTGGGCGCATTAATTGGAAATTCGCCAGGACAAACTTTCGAACCCGAGATGGGTAAATGTTTATCATTTCACTGAACCCCAAATCCTTTGCTTTGCAGGCACTCAGGCTCTGGTTCGTCCCGGCAGTCCACACAGCTCCATTTCGGCCGAGGATCGCACTTCGATGACCGGCAGCAGCATTTGCAAGGCCAAGGCCCTGGTGGATAGTTTGCCCAATCCCTACGACAAGGAGGCTCTCAAATTCAAGGTAAGCGGTTGGAAGTGCAGCCTCGTGAAAAAAGGATGCAATGCTGAAGTTTCCCCTCGTTTTCCCCAACAGAAAGGCGACCTCATCGATGTCCTCTCCATGAATGCATCCGGTATCTGGAAGGGACGCTGCCACGGCCGTGTGGGCCACTTCAAGTTCATCAACGTGGAGGTCCTGCCGGAGCAGCGCATGAAGAACTCCAGCAGCAAGACCCTGGGCCATCCCAGCTCCCGGATGGCCAATTCTGGAAATGGAAGCAACAACGGAGGCGGCGGGGGACCCAATTCGGTGGAGGATCTGCTCATTCGCATCGGACTCAAAGAGTACACTTCCGTGTTCGTGCTCAACGGGTAAGTGGTGTAGATGAAACAAATTTACCAACAATATTTTTGTTGGATTGTTTCACCTATCGTTCCATTTGCAGCTACGAGGACCTGGAGCTTTTCAAGGAGCTGGAACCCGCTGATCTGGACTACCTGGGCATTCTCAACCAGGAGCACCGCGCCAAGCTGCTGACGGCTGTGCAGCTGCTGCATGACATTGAATGTAAGTTTAAATTCCTGAAGTTCCAACTCCTTTGACTTGGTTTGTGAAGCGACTTGGTTGTGACAGTCGTGGGCCCAAACTAGTAAGAGAGGAAAAAGAAAGAGTATCCTCACCTAACCCTGTTTTTCAACTAACCACCCCACACCCCACAACTCTTCACCCACCTGCGCACACCCACAACAACACCATGAAAACTCACAGCTGCCAATTTCGCCCGCACAGGCTCCGACGTGGACATAGCCGGCTCCAGCTCAGAGAACGATGAGGCCCGACTGAACAACATCAACAAGAAGCACGGAGCCTCACCCTTTGGAAGGCGCCACTTTCCCCGGGACTCTGGGTGCTACGAAGGATCTCCACTGCCCAGCTCCCAGACACCCACGCAGGCGGTGAACTCCACGGACGAGTCCAACAGCCTGGACGATGTGGTAACCAAGTGCTCCAGCGAAATTATGAAACGCGTGGAGAGCGCCCGTCGGTGCAAGGACAACCCCTTTAAAAGCACCCTGCCCGGAGCCGGCGGTGGACGACTGGGCAAGAAGTCCTTTCTCGGCGGCGGCGGCCTTATGGCGGACGATACGCTCACGCGTGGAGGGCTTAGCGAGAAGTCGAGCGACTCGGGGGTCAGCAGCAGTTCGCTATCGTCGGGTCCGCTGAAGAGCAGCACTTAACATTTGCCCACCATTCTAGCCCACGAGCTGCTCCTGGGCGTGGGCGCGGGCATGGGCATCGGTGGAACAGGCACCCTGACGCCACACGGTATCGGAGCCACCTCGCCCACCACCCACTCAGCACCGCTGGGCAACATCTGCAACACTCTGCCGCATGCTCCCAGTTCTTCCTCCGGCGGGGGAGGCCTCTCCTCGATGGCCGGCAATCTGCCTCTTAACCGCAACCTGGTGATGCTTCGCAACCACTTGCGGAAGAACACAAGCGGCGGAAGTGGCCTCGGAGGTCTATCAGGATGTGGCGGAGGAACCGGGGGCGTGGGAATGCAGTTGCTGCATGACCAGGATGACCGGCAGGAGGATCAATAACCCATTTACTACATCAAGTTCTTAGTTTAGTCTCCGGTTGAGTTAGGTGTATTTCAATTGCTGTGATTCGATAGTGAAAACAAAAGGCCAAGACGCGTCTTTCAGTTCAAATGTATAGTATGTATAAACAGAGAGATAGACAGATGGGTAGGGAATGGGAAAGCTAGAGCTTAGGCTAGAAGGAGCGATATGGAGATGAAGAGTCAGAGTCAGAGTCAGTCAATCCTTCCTCCGATAATGTTGGCATTTACACAAAAATATACATAATACACAGACATATTTATATTAAACAGACTTATATACACAGACCTCTGGAGAAAGCCGGGGGGAATTTTTATATAACTAGTGAAGTAGAACGAGAATGTTTGAAATTATTTTGACTGTTTTAGTTAGCCTCGAGATATGTAAATGAGACTTGTTTGATTTGCCATTTGTTTACTATTCAATTGCTTTGTGTGTGCATATTTCTCAACGTGATATTGTGAAAACGTCCAACTTGAATTGCATTTTACATAGGTTTATTTCCAACAACAACATAACACACACATGAAGACAACACTGAACTTGATTCCTATTTTAGGGCGCTACATCCGAGTGCAAGCAATAGACCAATTCAATTTTAAATAACAAATCATAATATTTACACAACAACAATGGAAATCAAGAGCGAAGAAACGAAACGAAAGGATAACACCAACTGCCATTCAAACTAATTTTAATATGTTATAAATGTAAAGAGGAATCCGTCAGAAACTTGTAAAATTAATGCCGAAATTGCCAAAATCGAGCAAATATTCAATGTACGCTAAGCAATATTTTAAATCGTAGCCAGAGCCGTCGTCAAAAAGGGATCTAGCATGTGTGTATATATAGGACAACGATCCAGTTAGGACTTATTAATATGGCACTCTCTTGTAGAAGGCATAATAAAAGGTATCCACTATGAGCGATGCTTTCGAGATAATCAAAAAAGCAGACAATGAAATTAGTCAGGCAGCGCAAATGTTTTTAATCAGTTTTCCAGCAACTAGTTAAATGAATGAATGAATATTTATCACGGCACAACTACTACGAATATATTTATATATATTATATATTAATTAAAAATCTAAACTGATCGAAATACATATTAAAGCATAGCATACCCTAGCGTAGAGTACATTATATTAGCAATTGACTTAAATTAATGTAAATGAGTTTATTTCGGAAACGCTTTGACTTCTACTCAGATCGTAAAATTTAACCTGAAAATATTTGTGAGCTAAGATACCGATATTCGTACATTGTAACACATTAACTTTAATCCAAAATAAAGTGAATTAAATTAAATAAAGAAGAGAAAGGAGTCGCACGTGTTACAGCCAGACAAGGGAAACGAGAGTATATTTGGGAGCGCTGATGGAGATATTGGATACGGTGCATTTTTTAATCTACCTATCCAAAACTACGTTTAAGTGTTTAAATTGTAAATTGTAATAAAGTCAAAGCAAAGAGTATTTATATATATTTGGAGACTCGAAGTGAGAAACAAGAACCCAACCACAAAACACACAAACCACACTCTCATGTGCTAGCATTTTCTAATTATCACTGTAAAATGATGTAATGTATAGAAAGAATATAAAAGCAATATTAAAGTTTAATCTTAAAAGAAATTCACACGATAACGATTGCGGGAAAACAAACCCATAAAATTCCATTTCAACACAGAGCGCAAACTAAAGTATTCAGAGTTCAGTACATTTTAGAAGAAATTTTCAACAAAAAAAACACAAGAATTACAAAGGAGCGAGAATTCATGTTTATGGATAAATCAAATTAAAATTCTTTAAATAAAAATGAACATATCTAAAAAGTAAAGTCAGAATGTGTTATTATTTGATGGGCGGGTATGCTCCAGAACACGTGTGGCTATACTTTGGGCTTGTCTCTGGAACTGGGCGATCATGACCCGTCATTACCTCCCATTTACCTTTAATGGCGTTGGCTTTCCCACACTCTTCCCGTAAGGGGGCAGCACTTAAGGTCCCATCCATAGGAGCTCTTGATCAATCCAAAGAGACCGCCTTCAAGCAACTGTATTTCACCAGACCCCTCAATGGAATTATAAGCGTGTGGTTTTCGGTTCACGGCAATTGGAAGAAATTGTATGACCTTGTTGGACCCTGCCACTAAGCTTTCTAAGATCTTGACAGAACATAGGAGACATAAAACATGCATTCTTTACAGATTATGAAAATAATATTTCAAATAAGATTGATCACAGCGTTAGGTACTTGCTTAAGGTAGTGTGAAGTGCAAAGAGGTACACCGTACCTAGGGCCACCAACCTATCTCAAGTTGATGAAACGTGAACAGTTCTCTGATCCAGAAACCGGGGATGCGAGTACCCGTGAATCTTCGCCACGCTTAGACGAACATAGCGATGTGGTGTCGGTGACAGTCAATAGATTAGCACACCGCCAACGTAATCTGTTCTGATTAAATTTACAGATCTACTCCTTATCCCAGATCTATATAAATCAGCAGTGATGGAGGCGGTGCTAGGGCTAGACGGGCCACTGATTACTATGATGATACGATGTTTATTCATAGAGTGACAGTCGTCACTGGCTGAGCTTAGGTTTTACAGCGTCTAGCCTCGGAGAACTGTACAGACCAGGCTGAATTTTCGCTTAAGTGCCTTAGTAAATTGTTAAATTGCTTTTGTCTTTCGGTCGGCCGCTATATATGAAATATGAAAATGGATATTATTGCATTTGCATAAACCGGTTCAAGTGGACTCTATCTCATTTTCAGCTACGCCTCCCCAGAACCGTTTCAGTAGCAGTCGTCTTTTAGTGACAAAAACATCATCACCCTAACCAGAAGAAATCTTCGTTGCTTGCCCGTCTAATCCAAACTACAAATAGTAACAACGCAGATCGGAGTGGATAAGGTCTCGGAACTTGGAGTGCAAGTGCAGTGCGAGTTTTGAGTGTATTTCGGCAAAGACCGTAATTGTCAGTTGAGCCCTGATATTTGAGCTTAGGATTAGAGGCATGTTTTTCCATTGTCTCGAACCCAAAATATATCTGTAACCGGTGCGCAATTATCTTATCTGATAAAGAAGCTTTTGAACCCTCTAACTACTGTGCTATAACCTTAATAAAAGATGAAATTGCAGTCAATATTGGGGATCCGCACATCAATCAGAAAGTCTTTTATGCAATGACAACAAGCGAAATGTAAACAATTTCACGACCGCATTATTATACAATATATACATATATTCCGGCGATGCGAACCCATTAGCAGCCCATTAACAGTTGATTCTGCTGATTACCATGATGACCCGTGGAGCTCTTATCAGTGGGCCAATGGGGAAAAGTGATTAGATTTTGAAAGCCAAAAACATAACCTGCTCAAGACCTGCTTTTTTGACAGGTTCACCTCAGTACGAGCCCTGCAATGGTTATATACATTTGTGTAAATCAAATAGACATTCAGCCTTATCAGCAATCCACTTTATTGTGCTCCGTCTCCGTTTGGGCCTGATAAGTCGCCCCACAACCGATCTGGAAGTCAGAACAACACCGACGTGTGTTGGCCACAGTTGATGATCTCTCGACGACGATCGCCAAGATTAAACCGTTTCGTGACGGGATGTGAAAAGCATAATCGGGCCCTCAGAATCCACCTACACTTTCAAATCTCCCTAAAATTGGGATGAATTAAAGAAACAGAAACATTAATGGAAAATAGTTTTAACCCGAATTCAAAGTTCCGCAGTGGTAGCTAAGTTTATCTGTGTTTTTTTAAATTTATCAAACTTGATTATTTGTGCCGGTACAAATAAAATTAGTGGTAAGTGCAAAAATGAAAGAGTGGTTGTTAGCTTAAGTAAAATAATTGAAAAAGTTGAAAGTATTTAAACTGTTAACTTTATGCTCAAAGTTATAAACCAAATGAAAAGTGTTTGCTTGAGTCTGCACTAAAACTTTAATATTTGAATGACGGTTATCAAATGTCTAATCCGTGGTCTCTAATCGTTTAATGACATCCAACAAAGCAAAGAGTTAGTACTTGCCATCAATTTAAGAATTATGAGTAAATATGTTTCCATATTCATAATTTCAAGATTTTATTAACTGCTCGTGTCTCGGGAGATCCCCTACAATCTCGAGCGCCGCCTGCCATAAAGATTTGACCGACTATCTTTGAACTTGGGAGAAGCACGAGAAGAATACCACGAATAGAACAAGATGCGCGATAAGCTGGAGCAGGCGAACAGCCGCAAGGCCTCCCAGGCCTCCCAGGGAAAATTCTCCCAGATGGACATCGACGAGTCGGAGTTCAACGATCCCTTCCAGCAACTGATGGAAAAGGCCGGAAACCATGGACGCTACCAGACGCTCTACAACTATGTTTTTGTCGGAGGACTGGCATTTTGTGGAGCCATGATCTACATGAACATTATTCTGGCCCTCAATATACCGGATCACTGGTGTACGGTAGCCGGAAGAGAAAACACAAACTTTTCGCTGGAGGAATGGCGGGAAATCACCCTGCCCAAGTAAGTATGGCTACATACTTACATTTCGGACGGTTTACGTGAATAAAAATTTGGAATAGACAGGCTGACAACCGAGGAAAGCTAACCTTCAGCAACTGTGAGGTGTATCGGATGAATTTCTCTGATATTGAGAATTGGTCAAGCTGGAATACTACACAGCGCACCAATGTAACAGAAAGTGAGTATTATTTTTATTCTATGAATGATAAAAATCCCTGCCAACAGTATATCGGGATTAGGGCGACACACTTTTTTAGTCAAATAAAGTTTTCTAAGAAACAAGGCTTATATTGTAACTTCTTCCTTCTTCTTACATCAAAACGATTCAGATGTGAAAGTAAATGTTAGCATAAACAACTGTTTCCAGGATTAGTTGTGAAATTACTTTTTATTCCTGCGGCGCTCCTGCGACTGCTGTCTTATAGATTCTTGCAACTTTGCACTCGAATGCATTTTACGACTGCTCCCATTTCCATTTCCGTTTTTCAGCCTGCCCGAATGGTTGGAGCTACGACAAGACTTGGTACGAGAGCACAATCCCCACCGACCACAACTGGGTATGCGCCAAGGATTTGTTCGTGACAAATGTGTTTGTGGTGGGCCGTGTGACCGAGGTGGCCGGTTCATTTATATTGGGACAAATGGGCGACTCGTAAGTGCGCGTGGGAGTCAAAGTCGACTTCCACTTCCTTCGCTGCCTGACTAAATTATGGCAATGTCGGTAATTGAATTTGTCCACTCTTGATACTTGAAAACCGTAGGTATGGGCGCAGGTTCGTGTACTACATCAGCGTGGTCTTCTGCTCCCTGGGACGCATCGGTTCGATTATGTGCACCAGCTCGTACACATGGTTCCTAATCATGTCCGGCATCGTGGGCCTCAGCGTTAACAGCCTCTTCCAGTCACCCCAAATTATCGGCATGGAAATCTCCCGGGAGTAAGTTTGGCCAAAGTTTTTGCACAACTTTTATTGCTAACCCCGTCCATCCATCGACTCCAGGGAGGATCGCAGTCGAATTGCCTTCTTTCAAAGCTGTGGCTGGTCCATCGGCACCACACTGATGCCCCTCCTCTACTGGTGGCTGCGCCACTGGGACTCCTTTATGTGGCTCACCTCGCTGCCCACAGCAATGGTCCTCCTCTTTTCCAAGTAAGTCACGAAATCGAAGCCCAAATCTAATCACTCTCCAAATTAATGACATCACATTAATTGCGAATTGCCATTCAAGTTAAACTTCGTTTAAGTTATTAGTTTTTATAAAACCATCTTAATGTCCATCTATGAGAAATTTAAAGTTTATTGTCCCATAGATCCTATGTACTTATATGTAATATTGTGACTAAGGGCACATTTAATTGTTTTTTTATTCCACAGATACGTAATTGAATCTCCGCGCTGGCTTATAAGCAAAAGGCGATTCCGCGAGGCCATCGTTCAAATGCAGAAGATAGCCAAGTTTAATGGCCACCGCTTCGATGTTACTGAAAAGGAGTTGGCCGAAATCTACAGTCGGGACAAACAGGATGTCACCTACGGCATTGCATCGCTCTTTGCAGGCTGGCGGTTGGCCCGCAACACTATTATTATGGGCTTCAGTTGGTAAGCTTTTACACAGCAAGAAAGTCTTAAAATATTATCTTCCCGGGGAATGTTTTTATAACATAACTATTAAAACTATTGTATAGGATGGATATTCTGTTGTAAAATGCTTTGTGCTTTTCTTAAAGTCCCTTATATTAGAATGATTTTTTTTTCACTACCTCACACTAGAAGGTCGCAACATTGGCAATTTGCATGTCTAACTGCCGATTCATTCCTTTCCAGGTGCGTGGTAGCCGTCTCCTATTTCACGCTGGTGCTCTTCAGTTCCCGCATGGCAGGCAATCCGTTTCTGAACTTTTTGTACCAGAGCGTAGTGGAAATTCCCGCCTACGTTGTTGGCCGCTACATGGGTAAGTGCCGCTGCGAGGCGTGACGTGACTCTGATTGGAGCACTCCATCACGGAATTTGCAACATTTTCCATTTTCCACTTCTCTTGGCGGTTTTTGTAGGTGATACGTATGGACGGCGATTCACAAACTCGGTATCGTTCCTTATCTCGTTCGTCACCTGCCTGCCCATCATCGTCTACTCCGTGGATGAGCAGTACGAGAACCTAATGATCTACCTGGCCACGTTCATCAAGTTCCTCAATGCCCTCACCTTCTTCACGGCGAATCTCCAATGCCTGGAAATTTATCCCACCTGCATGCGGCAAACTGGGGTGGCGCTGGGCACCATCCTGGCCAATGCCATTGGAGTGTTTGCTCCCTACCTGGTCTACCTAGGCACCACTGTGGACATTCGGGCTCCATACTACATTCTGGGATTGTTGTTCCTGCTGGGCGGGATCGGCGCTCTTTTCCTGCCCGAAACGCTGCACAAAAAGCTACCGGATACTTTAGAAGAGGCCAGCCATTTTGGCAGGCACGACGTGAGTGTTTATTTTCATTATATTTCGCGAAACATATTTCGGTTCTATGTGATATCCATCACTACGCTAAATCTATAAACAGTTTTGGATACAAAGTGCTGTAAAAGCTACTTGACTGTAATTACTTTCCCAAAAGTTGAACGAGTTCTTTAAACTTCTTCCGCTGAGTTGAACAATCAACCGAGGAAGAATTTTTCTGGCACATCGACTACGTAATTTATAATCTAAATTATGCAAAGCAGCCGTAGCCTAATTTCATTTTTCACAAATTTAATTTACAGAAATTCTTCAGTCTGCCGAAACCGCCGCTGGCGGCGGACCAGGACGACGGCTTGTCATCCCATCCGGAGCTCGCTAGCCTCAGACGCTCGGAGACGGCGCCTTGAAGCGGTCTGAATCCTGAATCCTCAAAAGTAGTCCTTCGAAGTTTTTGCGACGGCAATCGATTGCCACTCCCGTTCACCGCGTTCACATTCCCTTTTTTGTGATGTTACATTAAGTTTGGCCCGAGAGTATTGCGAATAAAGTATTGTTATGTAGGATGTCGTAATAAGACCCGCATAAATCACAAATCACCCGAAACCCCTACCGAACACAAAGAAATCTCTGCAGCAATGAGTTTATCAGCGCATCTGTCAGAAATTTACAAATTACCTGACGCGCCCAAGGGCCAGGAGCTGGGGTAGCTAATGCTGTGGCTAATTTAATAAATGACGCTCCACATGGCGTATGCGTAATGCGCGGCAGGCGCCTGATTTATGCAAGTTATGTATCAATTTTTATCACCAGTTGCAGGAATTGAGCCAAGTCCTGTCTCATTCACTCTAACTCCTCTGCCTTTGGTAGGAAGTTGGCAAGTTGGCAAAGTGTTAAACTGTAAGCAGCCACTGACACCGAAAAAAGGAAGCAAACTCACAGAACAGCAACAGGAAACACAAGGTATTGAAACGAAAAGAGACCGAATTTAAAATTCTCTATAATAAACGAGTATATTTAATTATTAAGAAACTAGTCGGGTACTGCAAGATAAATACTTTTAAGATAATATTATGAAGGCGAGATTTAAACTAAAGTTTTCCCAAAATGTTGACTTCAATTTTCAGTATGTATTTTACACATCGACCGCCTGAACTATCCTTTCGTGGCCCGCAAAAGTTTTCCTCGTACGGCAAGCCTGGAACACAGGACGTGCAACTTTTGTGCGCAAAGGTGTTTCGTTTTTCAAGTTATTTATTATGATTTATTTGCCAATGTGGCGCGCTGATGTGGCAGCGTCTCAGACGGAGACTGAATCTTGGTCGCCACCCCATATCCTTCCCTCCAGCAACTCCAACTCCATCTGGCGTGGCTGCAGCGATAAGTAAATTGTTTATCCTACTTGTGAGTTATGTGCTGCGACGGCCAGCCAGCAAGGAGCTGGGCCAGGACCTGTTTCCACAGGATGAGGCCAGCCATTCAGTTTGATGATCATGTTGATGTTGGCCCTAGGTTTCTTGGGCCGGAGCTGTAATGGCCACGGCAGCTAACATTGTTATGCTTTCATAAACAGCTGAGCGCAATTTTCTGATAAGCCAGGTCCTGCGCCAGGACCTGGTGCTGGTGTTGGTGGCTATTTGTTTCAATTTATCATAAAAGGCAACGCCGGAAGTCAGCCGAGCTGCAGTTGAATGAACGATGGAAACGAATAAGGCGTAGAAGGCGGGCGGCGTCTTGAAGCGGCTTAGCAAAGTCCTGGTTCTGCTCTGACTCTTGGTAAGTCCTTGGCAGCTGAATGAGCAGCATTAGAAGAGATTTCCTACCATTCTAGTCAAGAGGAGTAGGATCCCGAGTAGAGGAGCCCTTTTAAGGACTGCATAAATAGGACTCTCAATTATCACTGTCGCCATCAAAAGACTACTACACTAGAAACGGTTTTTTGGGCATCCTAATTCTACAAATAAATATTATCTAAAAGAATAGAGACAAACCGTTTGAAGTATGGTTGAAATTTTTATAAATCTGAAAGTTTTCAGTCTCTGCTGTTTCTTTCCTCAGTGTAGCCAAATTACCCCAAGCTCGAGAATGTCTCGCCTTGGTCCTTTTCCAGTACAGTCCAACCCTTCCCTACTTGTCTTGGCAGTAATGAAAACAAATGCCCGGCCATTTGCAGCAACGGGGACAATTAAAGAGGCAAACATTAGGAGACTGCAATCTGCAATGGCAGCGAAACGAAAAGTAAATCTGAAGTGGTAGTGCATTGCTGCAATGCTGTAGAGCTACTTTCCTACAAATTTTCTCGGGCTATTTCATATTTCACGCAATTGAGAAGGAGCCAAACTATTTGCAATATTTCAGGCTGCCACACGAACAAAATCCAGACATGAAAAATGCAATGCTTGCTTGGGCTTCCTTTGGAAGTGTGGGCGGAAGGCCAGGGTGGGATTGGCAGCAAGAAGCGGGTGCCACAACAGTGATTGCGCTTTATTTGTGATAATAAAACACACCATCGCGCCGAGACGACGACGACAGAAAACTGAGGGCCGGAAAACAGGGCGGGTGGCGAAAATCGAACCGCGAAATTGCAACAAACTGCGCGTGCATTGGCCTCCGAGAAAGTCGTGGGGTTGAAGCGAACAGAAAGGGCAGATCCCGTGACTCCCGCAGCAGAAGTCAGGACCTCGCTGGAAACCGGGGTGAGAATATTTAAGCTGCAACAACGTTGCAGCAAATATTAAAGGAAAACACGGACACGGAGCGGCATCGGGGCGCAAAAGGATTTACTGCATATTTCATGTTCACAACGAACCAATTTTACGCTCTTCAAATCCTATTAGTCAATGGCCCTATGGGGATGCACCACCACAGATTCAGAGCCACCAGCAGTTGCACCACCAAAACCAGCACCGGCAGCACCAGGAGTAGCAGCATCCAGCTGAAGCTCCAGCCAAGGCAGCTGTTTCGGCAAAAGGGTTGAGATTGAGTGGTGAACTGTGATGTGGGTGGTGCTGGGTGATTGGTGATTCCTCCGCTCAGATACAGCGCCTTACTTGCACACATATGCATGTATATTAAATGCACTCGCAAAAAATATTTCTCTGAAAAATTATACAATTTTTAAATTGTAAAATAACAAAAAATGGTGTTACAGAAACTAATCAAATGATATATTTCTAATAATTTCTCTTTATCTTCGAATAGCATGTTCTGGCCCAAAAGTATTTTCTACTGTGTTTATAGATACATCCTTATATATGTGCTTAATATATAAGTAAGACTCTGGCCTGGGTCAGCTTAGTGTGTCTGGCATTTCCGCACGATTATGCATGTGAGTGGCGGTGTGGCTCCTGGTAGCTGGGTGGTAGATGGGTGGTGCTCGGGCCTTTCGCATTGGGTGGGGATAAGCCCAGTGGACAGCCCGCAAATGCCCGCTTGGAAATGTTCCTCATCAATCTAGTTACTTCGAGGGCATGAATTATGAAAAACGTGCAAAATGCAAACGGAAATTAAAATTTATATAAAAAATTGGGGGTACGGAGAACGGGAACTTCCACTCCGTTAGACAACCCATATACACACACACGATGAAAATCAAAGAAAGCCGAAAACAACAGATGAAAAAACTCGAACGAGCACAGAAGCTAGGGAAATATGTATGAGAAAATTAAACATATTATCCCAGACCGTCGGCATTCAGTTTTTGGACAGACTCCGGTCGTCTCCGGCACAGCTGTTGAAAAACAAACCTTAACTTTGGCCGCACACAACATTTTTGTCAGGATCCTGCCGCTGCCACGGCTGTCCTTTATTAATTTAACAGGCTCCGGCAGTGATGCGATGCGACTTTGACTACAACTTGAACTACAGCAGTGTTGGAATCAGAAACGGGGCTTTCCAGGGGATGATGGGCGGTGGCCACGACGGAATTCAACAAGCCATAAAACATATGAGGCAGCCGAGTCACATGCATTTTTCATGAGCCGTTGGCTTTTGTGCCCATCACAATCATCGGACCAGGCCCGAAAAGACCCGGACCCCAGGATAGTCCCCCTCGCTTTTCACTGTACAGTAGTAACCCCACCACGGCTACGACAACAATCATCGTCAGCACCCATCCTCACCGACTCAATAGGAGTCAGCTGGATGACTTCTGTTCCAGCTCTGGCTTCTACTCCTGCTTCTGATTTCCTAGCTCTTGGCTACACTTGAACTTACAATGACACGTTCAAGCCTCAAATAATGGTAGGAAAAGTTGGGCGATGCATATTTGTTTGGGAATATACGAGTACAAGCTCCGTCAGTGAGCTGCAGCGATTTTTTCTCATTTTTTCTACCTCATACATTTTCCTCAGCTTTCCCACAAATTTTATTCATATGCTTTAATGAGATATTGAGGGAACCCCTTGAACACCCATTAATCTAATGGGTGTTAGGTGAGCTGCATCTTGATCGGCATCATCCAGGACGTGAGCTTAATTGCACCTTTAAGCCGCCGGAGGATGTTAACTTATACAGAAAAGAGGATACCAAAATAACTCCTCAGAATAATCGTCCACTTGGATACGGATACTTTTTTGTACTAACCATACTCAATCCACAACGTATACAATTAACGACCATTATTACCTTGCCGCCAGGGTTGCAATAGATTTTTAAGCAGCGTGGATAAGGTGATATGTATAAAATTTTTAAATTTTTATGACCACAGCGAAGGCTATATTTTTACTAAACTAATTCGACAACAATTAAAGTTTCCTATGAAAGGCTTAGAAATAAAATATATACCCATATACCTATTTATTTGATTTGGTACTGTTATTTTATTGATTTTAACTTTGATTTTATAAATAAGCAGATATAAAAATGAATATTTTTATATAATACAATAAAGTTATAAAACCACAAAGATAATCTGTTATATGACATCTTAACCCAGCTCAACGTTCAATATCTTTATTATACTGAAGGCGACAGCGATCTTATTATAGTCGAGTTTATAGGGTTTGTGTTTGAGGTGTACACAGTACACACTCGGTACATGGTAAACCACCCAGAAAACCCTTAAGCTTTCAGTTAGTACATTGGCGTATTTTATCGCATTTGGTAGCCCGTAAGTTACTACACTTCCTGTGATTTATATCAAGGGCAATCTCTAATTTGCTGATTTCAAACTGGTGCTTCATTTCTATTTTCCCCGTTTTTGCGCTTCCGTTGTCCATATCTCTCCCAATATATAATACAAAATAGAAAAACCCACAATTTTGTGGGTTTACCCATTGGAAAAATTTTAAAACTATATTTCCGACAGTTTTTGAATGAGGAAAGTCGCTTCTGGGTTCGCTGATTACTGAATGGTACTTTATTTCATGATCGGATACAAATTGGCAGAGCTATGGCCATCGGAAAGAGCAAAAGTTGGGATATCAGGAAAACGTACAATTTTATAGGGGTACCCCTTGGGAAAAATTCGAAAAATTTTAAAACTATATTTTAGACAGGTTTTGAATGAGGAAAGTCGCTTCTGGGTTCGCTGATTACTGAATGGTACTTTATTTCATGATCAGATATAAATTGGCAAAGCTATGGCCATCGGAAAGAGCAAAAGTTGGGATATCAGGAAAACGTAAAATTTTATAGGGGTACCCCTTGGGAAAAATTCGAAAAATTTTAAAACTATATTTCAGACAGGTTTTGAATGAGGAAAGTCGCTTCTGGGTTAGCTGTTTACTGAATGGTACTTTATTTCCTGATCGGATACAAAGTGGCAGAGCTATGGCCATCGGAAAGAGCAAAAGTGGGGAAATCAGGAAAACATACATTTTTATAGGGGTACCCCTTGGGAAAAATTCGAAAAATTTGAAAACGATATTTAAGACATGTTTTGAATGAGGAAAGTCGCTTCTGGGTTCGCTGATTACTGAATGGTACTTTATTTCCTGATCGGATACAAATTGGCAGAGCTATGGCCATCGGAAAGCCAACATCAGGAAAACATAAAATTTTATAGGGGTACCCCTTGGAAAAATTTAAAAACGATATTTAAGCAATTTCTGGAAGGGGAAAATTCGCTGCTTGGCTTGCTATTAAATTTACATATTCCATAGCGTTTGGTAGCCCGTAAGTTACTGCACTTCCTGTGATTTAGCCGCCATTTCAACGGGATTTGCCAATCTCTACTGGCAGGAAGCGTCACAGAAATCATCAATCATTCGCCCCAGGCATGCAGGCTACAAAGGATATCAGGGACGGAGCCACCACCTGCATTTTCTGCACCTCTTTCAATTTTACCCACCTTGTGCCCTCTGTTGTGAGTAACATTAGCATGCTTTACATTTTGGGAAACATCTTTATTTCTACGAAAACCGAACTTAAAAAGTACATATTTCTTTCAATTGGCCAAAAACGTATGCAAATTTGTTAACACACTTTTTTAAAAACCTTTTTTGTTGGGCTTTTTCTTTTGATTACAATTGCAAAACATTTGGAGCATACGCTGGCTAAATATTTGTTTTAAACAGTCCATATTCTAGGGGTGTATACATATAACTATATAAATATCAGTAAATATATGCATATATATTTACCATGTACGCTTGTATTTATTTGCGGATGCAGGGAAATCTGTCACGCTTTCACGCGTGCCCTATTTTTATGAATATTATTTATTTATTTATTTTGGCAATCAATTTGCGTTTTTGAATTTTTTGTTTTTGTTTCCGGCCATTTGCATTTGAAATGCTTTGGCGTTAGGCTCAAACACTTACGTATTTAAATTAAAATTTGTCGATTTCTGACCATATATTTTTGATTGTAAATATACGTACGTTTGGGGCTAAATATATATGTATTTGTTGGTGTATATTTTGTAAATATGTATAAATTGTAAATCATTAATATCAATACTAATAACTATTATAATATGCATCTTAATGCCTGTCGGATGCTCGTATGTGGGCCCCGTTTCCTATAAAGAGTCCTCTGTCTGGGTTATTTATTGTGGTCGGGCGAGAAAGCGACCCGTCTAATAGACCAAGGCCAGAAAGTGGGCCCATTGATTTATGGCCAATACCGGCCGTGCTAATTTAAATTATGATTGGGCTTACGCATAAATTAATTGTCCTGAACACCTCTCTAGTCTCGTTGTGTGCAGTTGGGATCAATTTCGAAATGCCTTTCGCTTGATTGGCAGTAATGCTATTGCTACAATATATTCTCAATCAATTTTTATTATTATTATTTATCCAAATTAAAGCGAGCGTGGCAGGCTGAAATTTGACTTTGTATATTACAGTTTACGCTTTAATTGCTGTGGTCTATTTCTGCTGATTGCTCTCATTGTTTCTGCTCTTAACAATTTTACTGGGATCTGTATCTGTGCATCTGTGTATCTGTACCTGTATCTGTATCTGAATCTATATGTATACGTGTTATGCCTATTGGTAGTTAAACAATTATATGTATATTAAACTGGCGCACAATTTTACACTTGACTGCCCGTTCAGAGTCTGTTGCTTTGTTTTCACTTTGCCTATATTTAATTTCACCTTTTTTCACTGTTTGCATTTGTTTGTTTGTTTGTCTATACTATTTCACTATTGCTGGATTGCTTGCTGGTTGGATTGGTTCGATTGGTTGGATTGGTTGGATCGCTTGGCTTGGTTAGCTGGCTGGCTGGCTGTTCTGCGTTTAATTTAATTTAAATAAAACAATCATCGAGCCCTGGCAGAGTTAATTGCACGTTAACGCAGTTCAACACAAAAAATCCAATAAAATATTCTATTAAATGGCTGCAATGGAAAAGTTTTGTGGGGGAAAGTTGGACCTGCTTTGGCCATGAGGGGAGAGAAAAAGTGCTTAAGCTAATTGCTGTTTCGGGAACGCGCGATAGGCGACAGGCGACAAGCAGCAGGCGGAACCGGAAACTAGCTTCAAAATGGCCGCCAAACGCACTCACGTAGCGGGTAAATGTTTCAATTTTCTGGCAGCTCAACATGGCGCCGCAGACATTTAATAATAAACGCAGCTGCAGTGCCAAAGTTTTTCCGGATGTCTGTATGGTTTTTGTTTTTAAAGTGCACTCAAAGAAACAAAAATTCTACTGAGTAATTGAGAACTCAAACGAGGTTAGTTTGATATTAAAATGCCTTAAGATTTGAAAACATAATTGAATTGACATTTCCTTCTTATATGTACATTTGTATGTATATTGAAAACTAGCTCCATTCTTAGAGTGTAAAGTATAGAATGAAAGACAACCGCGAGCAAATGGCCATCGACCATTTTGAAGCCTCTCGGCCAAAGAGCAAACAAAATTAAAAACGAATTTCAAATGCCTTTGCCTGGCTCAAAAATGCAAATCGCATTCTCTGTCCCACACATTCACACACACACAATCGCCCCTCACAGACACACATATGCAGCGCAAGATAGAGCCAGGACATGTTGCATACTTTCGGGCGCAACATGCAATTAAAATGCAAAAAAGACAGGTTGGCCTGCAGGCTGCCGAAAAACCAAAGACCAAAATCGATGCAGTGCCAAGTTGAAACGGAAATGCCAGAGCCGGAGAGCCCGGAGATCCGGCTCCGTCCGTCTACCGGCTTGTCCGTCAGTCTGTGCAACGTCTGCGGTTAGAACAAGTTTGCCAGGCTGCCGGGATGTGTGTGTTTGTGCTCCTCGCTCTGTGTGGGTGTTTGTGGGGAGGTGCGTGTTGATTTAACGTTAAGCTTGTTGGATTTTTGCGTTTTGTCAACATTCCCCCGGCCAGTTGTCGATGCATCTGCATCCGCATTCGCAGACTGTTGCTGCGGCTGCTTTCTCGGTCTCGGGGTGTTCAAATAATTGCCGATGGACTTTCGGGGCAAGAGCATTTCGAGATTGATTCTGTTTTGGAAATGTGTAGTTTATACTGTACGGTCACGGTCGCAAAAATAGCGGAATAGGAAAATCCTTGAAAAATTCGGCAATGGACTTTAAACATAGCATTTAATAATTTGATTTTGAAAAAAATGCTCGTTAAAAAAATGTTATTATATGCAAACAATAATTGTAACCATTGTTGAATATATAAATAGTGAGAAGTAACAAGTTCGAAAAACCTACATAGTAATGAGTGTTATTATGAAGTGCCATTTTTGTGACCGCTTTTGCATTATTAGATGTCTATGGAAAGGGTGGCTTAGGCTAGGCTTACTCTTCATTAATGGTCAGGTGGCTATACAGTGGGTTCCAGTGCTTATTCAGGTAGGGTTTGTCAATTAGTCCTATAGGTAAGCTTTAACTCAACGATTACTCTTTTATCCCTACGACTATTTATGTTCCTATTGTTAAGTTATGAGTGTTTCCATATTGCTTTGTTGACTGGATAGATTTCCTGTTCTGTTTAGCCTCATCCTATATCGATTATGCTCCTGTTTATTATATCACCTGATTGAGAAAACGGATTGATTGATCAAGGATCTGGGATCGGGATTTGGGATCTGGGATCTTATATATCCGATATCTGATATCAAGACTTAAGCAGCTGCGCTGCTTAGGGCCGTTTCCTAGGGATGCTTTGTGTAATTATTTAGGGGCATCTCGGTCACGTGGGTGTGGGCCACCTCCCCCTTGTTCCTCTCGTGCAGGGCCATCTCTAGAGGGGCACTGGCTGGCTTCTTCTGGGCTGCCTTTTGGTTTTTAAGCTGCAATAAAAGATTACTTATTTAAGTCCGGAAATGGATGGTTCTGAGATTATTTACTCTCTGTATGGTCTTTTCAAAATCTTGATGTGGTTCGGGGCGCTTCATAGTGCTACAGTTCCTCAGCCTCTCGTTTGTCTGAAAAATAAAGCAAAACATAAGTTATCCCCTCAATTTATTCAATTTAAAGAGCCTTAATTATTTTAATCTAGAGTTCAAAATATTTTCTCCAGTATTGTGCGCACCCATGATTACTTCATTAACTCGAGAGCCAACCCAACAAATCGACACCTCAAAACAACCGCAGCCAGGACTTCAGAATAGAAATGTCAAATGAAAGCGGCGGGGCAGCCGAATAAGTGTAATGAAAGGCCAACAGTCGAGTCCCCGAAGGACGAGGAGCATTTCCGCAGCAGACCGCATAATGAGTGCAAGTTTAGGAGCCGGAGCACACGCTCCGGGCGACCTCTGACTGCTGGCTGGCCCAGTGAAAAACGGAAAGGGAAACCTCCAAAGCAGAGCAACATTGGGCAAAGAAAGGTAATGAGTGCCAGAGGACACCCCGCACACACAAAAGAAGTTATGTCCTCCGAAAACACGGAGCACAATTGTCGCCTGTGCCAGTGCTTAGCCCAAGTCATTTTCAAAATTGACCGCAAAACTCGCTGGGCAGCCGGACAGCCGGACAGCCGGTCAGCTGGACAGCAAAGTCCAAAAAGTCCGAACAAGCTGGAAAATCTGCAGTCCTGGCGTCCACTCAGCAGCGGCAAATTGTGCTTAAATATTAAATGAACAGCCGGCGAAAGAAAACCCGGACAACAACCGTAAAACACAAAAAGTTATAAACTCTCGCCGGGACCAAAGGACCCCGAAAAATACGGGCATGCCAAAATAAAAAAGACTCAAAAAAAGGCAAAAAATAAAAATAAAAGTACACGGCAGAGGACACACAAAACAAAACACTTTGGCACGCCTGAAATAATAAAAACAAATGCGAACGGAAAAAGGACCATCGTGTGTAGGCAGAGGTGGCCCCTTCGTCAACCCACTCCCGTTTCTGGGATGACAACCGCAACAAAGCCCGAAACGCGCCAAGGTGCAAATGACCAGGTACCATGCTCTAGGTTGCGGAGTTGCGGATTTGCCAGGACGTGCTCCTCCTCGGGTCCTTGACAACGCCCCCGACAATGCGATTGGCGCTCTAGTGCTCTGTGATCCCTTTTCCAGTAGTCGGGGCACTGCGAGAAATTGCTTACAATTGTACTTAAATTTTGTTTACATCTACTTTTTTTTTATACCCTTGCAGAGGGTATTATAATTTTGTCCAAAAGTGTGCAACGCAGTGAAGGAGACATCTCCGACCCTATGAAGTATATATATTCTTGATCAGGATCACCTCCTGAGTTGATATGAGCATGTCCGTCTGTCCGTCTGTCCGTCTGTCTGTCCGTCTGTCTGTCCGTTTCTACGCGAACTGGTCTCTCAGTTTTGAAGCTATCGTCTTGAAACTTTGCACACACCCTTCTTTCTTTGCACGCAGTATATAAGTCGGAACGGCCGGGATCGGCCGACTATATCCTATAGCTGCCATATAACTGATTGATCGGAAATGGTATAACTTTGGTGTTTTTAGAGTTAGAGAGTTCAATTTTGACACAAAAACTGTTTTTGGCAAACCATTACGACATGCCAAATTTCATAAGGATCGGCCGACTATATCCTATAGCTGCCATATAACTGAACGATCGGAAATGATCCAACTTTCGTGTTTTTGAAGATAGAAAGCTGAAACTTAATACAGATTCTATTTTTGGCCAGTTGATCCAACCTACCAAATTTCATTAGGATCGGCCGACTGTATCCTATAGCTGCCATATAACTGAACGATCGGAAATGGTACTTGGTAGAAATATCAACTTTCGTATTTTTGAAGATAGAAGTTTGGGACTTTTTTTAGATTTTTTATTTTAGTTAATTAGTTTTATTATGATGTAATCATAAGGATCGGCCAACTATATCCGATGTTTGCGATATATATCCGGTTTTAACTGCAAGGGTATATAAACTTCGGCTCCGCCCGAAGTTAGCTTTCCTTTCTTGTTTTAATATAAAGATATGAAACCTATGAGATTCGATCATCAAATCATTCCTTTAGGGTTTTAAAATTTAAAAGTTATTTTCAGTGTAGAGTTCTATTTCTTCCTGCATCTGCCACTTGCACTTGCAGCGCGCCCTTTTCCCATTGACAGTTCATATCTCGGAGTCTGGCATTTGCATCCGGCACATGTCCTTGTCCACTGGTTGCCCATCCTGGCCCACCCCATGACACTATTGCCATTGTCTGGTTTGGACCGTTCACCCGGCGCAAGTCAACGCAATTAACGGTAATTGCCTTTTATCGGCTTAGCCTTGATAAAGTTTTCCCGCCCCCAGCTGCCACTTTGCCCCACAGAACGCGACCTCCCCTAGTTAGTGTTGTTGGTCCTGCGGCCATCGTTGTTATTTGTAGGTTTACGCGGTTTTTATATTTTTATTTAATTTTATAAGTAGTCCGGATCCCGACCGCGTCCCCTCCTGCCTCTGAAACTTGTCTATGGCGAAAATTCGACATTAAACAGAGCAGCGGATGGGCTGGCCATTGGAAAAGTTTTTGTTTTGAATGCGGCTAGAAAATGCTTTGAAGTTGGCTCCAAATTATGGAACTTTTCATGGCTTTCTGGGGAAATGGGAGTAGGAGAATAGACGGAGGGGCATTCAGGGGACATCCGATCTCCAAATAAGGAACCAGGAATTAAACTGCCAGAGAAAAGCGAAAACTTCAACCGTTTTCCTGAATATCACACTCCGCCAGAAGTGTCTGATGCTTGACCAATGAAAGTCACTTTAAAATTTGGCGGAAACTTAATTCTTTCTAAAAATAATCTATGAAAGTGTATTATTTGTTAACTTTTTTGAAAGTAAACTCTAAATTAAAATTAAATTTAACTAAATTAAATCCATTTACTTTAACCACCATTTTACGACTCTTTTCAACATGGCGTCGTTCCGCACCAGCCTAAAGGTAGGCAATAAAATGTGTTCCTAACCGGAAATGACAAAATCACACATGGTGTGGGTGGTTCCAAATGAAGTGACCTCCGACTCACCTTCAGCTGCATTCCCTCGCCGGCGTTCAATTCATCTCCACTCTGCCGAAGGCCGTGTAAAAATCTGGCGAAGACCGTGCGCCGCTGCTTGTTTTTATTCCGACCCTCTGCCACAGAAACAAATCCAAATCCGGATGCAGGTTCAGATACAGATACAGATACAGAAACGCGAGGGCAATGAAGCGAACAATCAAACCGAGAATCAAACAGACATTCATTTGATTAACCAGACAGTCAAAGTTAAAGCGTAAAAACCAATTTAATTGAATTAAAAGCCATAAAAACCAAACAGCCGACAAACTGTCTCTAACCGCATCCGTGGAAGGATCTCTCTCACCTGTTGCCGAAAAGTCGTAAAAGAAATTGGACCGCGCTCCCGGGTAGCTGTGCTGCATTCCGTTCAGATTCAGAGCCGATTTCGAGTCGATAGCATTCCTGGCCATTCTATTGGCCAAGTCATTCTGCGTGTAGCTGTAGATCTCGTTCTCCTCTCGGTTCGACAGACAGCTGGAGGGCTTTAAAAAAGTACAGCCAAGTGGGGTTCGAAAAATTGATTATTTTCATACTAAGTACGATTTTATTTTACAAACATAATAAAAACTTATGGGTGAGTTTCTCTCTGTGCAGGGTCACATATAACCGTACACATGTGTCTGCATAATAAACGAGCTCCGAATGAATTAGAGTCTGATTAGCTCATGAGGTCGTAAAAGGCTCCCGCAGGCAAAAAAGGTTATAAAAGGTCAGAGGGCACCAGGAATGGCGTCGCTTACCAAGTACTTGCCGGGCACATAAAGCGGCTGGCTGTGGCTGGTGGGCAGCACCGAGGAGCCAACCAGGCCCCCGCCCATTCCCGATCCGCTGCAGCTCGGCCCCGCCATCCGACTCCGAGTGAGCGTTTGGCCTGTGGAGATGCGCACGTGGCGTTCCTTCCACTTGGACAGGCGCACCTGCTCGATGGCGTCCAGGACGTCCTCGTAGGGCATATTGATCTGCTTGCTGTAGTGGGCGGCCAGTCCTTCCAGGTATCCTCGTTTGCCCTCCTGCAGGGAGAGCCATAACATGGTTTTAATAATTAATTTGTTTGTAAAATCAATGGAATCTAATTGATTTCTGATTTCCCCAAGACCCACATTTCTCTTCTGTGTGCTTGTAAGGAGTTTTCCTGTCCAAATATCAAGAGTTGGAGAAGAAGTACAAAAGCAGGACAGATCTAATATCCTGAAATAGCCATCTAAGGCCAGGGTCAAAAGCAGGGAGGCACTGGGTAGCTAGGATCTAAGGCAGACACACACACAAGTGTTAATATCTTCCGGTAATTAGCGTGAGGTTGCCACTTAAATGTGTCCTGTTTGACATTCAAAGCGGTCACTGAAGCGGCAGCATCGTGCTCCTTTATGCTGCCACTGGCTTTGACTCATCCCCGGCATCCGTATCTGTATCTGTCCGCATCCGTATCTGCATCTGTGTCTGAGCCTGTCCCTGCCCCGGCGGCTGCTACCCAGCCCCAGCCCCTCGTGCTTGGCAAATTCATTTAGCGCCGCATTCAAGTAATGCACATGCAAACATTTGTGCTGAAATGCAACTTGTCTGCAGCTGTCAGTCAGTTAGACACACAGATACACATACACCCATGCACACAGCGCCCTGGCAGGCACACAGATACACCCAGAGGGATGTCTGCCTCATCAGCGCAAAGTGCAATTAGTTCAAGTTGCAACTCGCGCCCAGACAGCTCGACAGAGAGGGCTATACAGTGGGCGAAAGAGACGGGCAGCCAGTAAGCCAACAAGTCTCAGAGAAAACTACGGCAGACACCTTTCCTTGCCGCCGGCTTGCGTCCTTTCTCCTCACTCGCCGTAATTCCATTTGAGCCTTAAAGTTACATTTCAATTTGCGCAACAATCGTAAATATTTAACCACAACTTGGCATACAAACTATTTCGCAAGTAAGTACTTGCGGAAAAATAATAGCAACTGAAGCTAATTACAATGCAAAGCAGCGATTTCTCGAGCTCTGCCTATGGAAAAGTTTTGGCTCCTGCCGAAGGAGATGTCTGCCTTTCTTGACAGGAACTGCCAAAGAGTTATGCACAGAGAAAAAACTCTGTCACTTTGAATGACAATTATGATTAATTAAAAGTCTCGGGTAGCGTTTGGGAAAGAGCCCTGACTAAAATATGCTTTCGAAGTCCCTTTCTAAAGAAGGAGCTGTAGTGGAACCCAAAGGATCACGCGACCTGCATACAAAGCAGCTTCCTCGAAGAGTGTCTGCCAAACAGCTAACACCCGGCTATGTGGCTCAATAGGCGCCACTGCCACGCCCGTTTTAGCTGAAAGCATCACGCCCCCGAGATGAGGCATGCCAGCTCTTCAAATAACTTTAAATGGAGATGGGCACGCATCTATTTGCATTGCATTGAGATTGCATTTCTTTTGGCGGAATGCAGGCGTCCCTGAACCAGTGACATGCTTTCAGCAAAATGCAGATAAAACTGCACAGATACACACGCCCCCACCCACTCGAAAAATGTGGACAAAAGGCCAGGACTCATCGCAACCAGTCTGGCTGACAAGTGTCTTTCAATATAAATTTTTTTGCACAGACACAGTGGGTTCTTGAAGCTTGCGAAGTGCTTCAAAAGAAATATCTGGTGTAACTATATGTTGTATATAATATAAATAACAAAATACTTAAGACTTTTCTTTAACTTATAATCAATTTAAATATTTTATTCTTCCTTTTAAATATCAAGAGTAATACATTTTGTAACCACCGTAGTTTTTAGTCCATACGTGTGGTTCCATATTCCATAAAATTCTACGCTGTTTTTGCCCTGCTGGAAATTCCAATTTGCTGGCCTGGCCATTTTGGCCGATCGTTTAATTGCACCCCACCAGTTCTACCCCTTTTGCCAGCGAATCGTGACCACAATGCAGAGCTTTATCTCTAAGCCAGCAGCAGTGACCAAAAAATACGCGCCAAAATAAACAAAATTAACGCAATGCAAAATCATTTCCCCGGCCAGGGACCACCGACATGCATATAATAAAATAAACAAAACACCGAAATGGGCATGGTTGGGGGGAGGAGAGGCTAGAAAGGGTCAGGAGGGGACTTGGGAACGCCGAGGTGGCCCAGCGGGTTGGCCACTCGGTTTAACTAAATTAAAATCGTGTTAATTTCACATTAGAGCGCACACAGAGCTCACTGGCTCCCCGAACGCCTGTCACACATTGCACACTGCAATGTTATGGCGGTCCTGGCCCCTGGCCCTGCCCCATGGCCACCCGTCCTGCTATCTCCCTAGCCCCTAACTAGCCTGCTCTACCTCCTCTTCTCCTGGGGGCTCTGTGGCAGCATGCAAATTGCCAGAGCCCTAAACAAAATGACCAAAGATAAGAACAATCGCCTGGCGAGTCGGGCTTGTTTTCGTGGTGGAAACTATATAAACCTGGAAATAAATTATGGATTAAACAGGTGAAAATAAAGGTATTAATGAAGCTCTAGGGTTAACTCAACGTGTGTTTTTATAGCTATAAGCTTCCGGAAATTAATTGAAAAATCAAAACAATCAATTCCTTTGATATCAATCTATACCAATCTATAACTGGATCAGCCTCCCCCACTTACCCTTTTATTATATCTTGTACCTTTAAAGATCATGTACCCTCTGAATCCAGACTTACCGGTGTAGAGTATGGGTGGGCGGTGAGCCGTATCCCATCGGCTTCGAGATGCCGCTTCATGACCGCTTCGAGCTCCTTCATGGTCACCGGCGTATCACAGTCGGATGCCAGGATCTCGTTGCTGCTGCTCAAGGACACGGCCTTGGGGTCGTTGATTAGAACATAGACAATGGCCGCCCCCTTTTCCCGCAGCATCCGCACGTTCTTAAGCAGCTTGCCTCGATGCGAGGGCGTCTCCACGCCGATGGCGTCCAGGTCAATCTCCCCGATTTGCTTGCAGATCTCCAGCTCATCGTAGCCGTTCTCCAGAAAGCTCTCTCCATACTGTCCCATTCCGATGGTGCGCAGCCACTCGCAGACAATGTTGTTGGTATGGTGGGGCGGCATGTTGCTGGTGGTGCCACTGGAATGCGCGTTTGCGTATCACGTGGCCCCACTGCCTAGGGGCAGATCGATCGGTGCAAACGAGACCTTGGGCAAGCGATGGTGCGACTTGGACCCACTGGGTGCACCACTTCCACTAGCTGCACCACTGGGAGTCGCAGCCGCAGTGGCAGCCGCCTCCGGTTGATTACAGCTGCTGGCGGCGCTGCTGCAACTGCTGCTGGACGTTGCCTTCATAGCAGCGGCAACTGGAGAGTGTTAGACGGGATACTCTAGGGATGAAATGAGAAAAACTAAATATTTATATTTAGAATGTTATAATTCATTAATTAAAGCTTTAAGAAAAATGCTTACTTCTGATTAAATTAATATCGAAACCAACCCCCAACCGAAGGAATGAATTAAATTGACTTATTGATTACAGCTGCTGTAACGAAAGAGTGGCATTATTATGACTTTCATTTGCCAAGTGCAACAGTGCGTATGCGTAATATTGTTTCGACAACTTCCGGTGGCTAGGGTGGCCATTAAATCGAGCGCCCCCCGCCCTGACAGGTGAAGGTCGGAGGAAACGGCAGAAGCAGGATACTGGATACTGGAGGGAGGAGGAAGGTCAGACGGTGGGCTGGCATATCAATTTGCGTTAATAGCAGTCATTGTTCACTCGCATCGGGGGAGACGGGGCTCTGAGAGTGGCCTGCCTATCCTGGAGTCCTCCGCCTATAAGCACTTAATGATAATGCTCGGTCATGTACACGGGCCACTAAAACACTTGAATATGCTTAGCCCCGGAAGCCACTTGCATATGAATAAGCCACTTAAAATGACAGATGGACCAACATACGACTCCCCCGCCCTACGCACGCACGTCCTGTGAGGCTGACGGGGAGACTGGAAGACTGCGCCCTCGGGTCACAGACGAAAAGACAAAAGGAAGTCGCCTAACTATTTGCCAGATCCTTCCCCTTTGTTTGTTGTACATGTATTTGTGTGTTTGGCTGTAAAAATATTTTTGCTTGTCGAAAAATGAAATGCAAATGTCTGCTGGCAGCAGAAATATTGTCCAGCCAGGTGGCACGACTCCACCCAACGGCTGACCCAAAAATCCCCCAAAAGCCACCAAAGTGAAAGTAGGGACCTGGGGGCCAGACAATGGCATAATGAAAATAATGTGGCTACAGTTTGCCCAAACACACAAAACATACAAAATGCTGCAGCTGTCATTGAGTGTGCTTGGATTGGAGTGGACCCATTGGAGTCGGTGCCTTTGGGTTTCCTGTTTCTCCGGCCCGTGGATTTATGTACAAGAAATTCAGATTTGCCGTCCAAAGTGAGACACAACTAATTGACTCGGCTTGACTTGGCTTCGCATGCCTTTCATATTAATAAACACATGCTAGGGCAAGATGCCAGGAATGCTGGCGGATGGACAACGGGGCGTATGAGTGACCTCTGCAAAGAGGCTGAAGGAGATGAGGATGCTTTATGATATTTCATAGAGGGAAATTGCTGGGAGGCTCTTGACTATGGTGCAAGGGTTACTGATATTCCAGCCAATTTGAAGCCATTTAGGAATTAAAATGGTTCAAGTCTCTAAGGGAAGAGGGCAATCGATTTTTTGTATAATACTACACAAACTTTAAGGCTTACAAGACTTCTATCGATGTCTTAAATTAAACTTTAGAGAAAATGTTGGGAATTTCGATTTAAATTAAGTGTCTTAAAGTTTTATTATTTTCAGAAACAGAATCAATCCAAGCAAAAATGATTTAGCCAAGTTATTCAGGAAACAGCTCCTTCTCTCCTATGCCTCTGGATGAGTCCTCAGCCGCTGCAGCTACACATATTTAACCACACCTACCCACCAATGCCCACCTACGGAAAACTTTCGGCACATTGTTAGCATAATAAACACATAATAAAATGCAAAAGGCAAAATCAGTAAAGTCAATTTTGAAGATGTTTTGCATACGCAGCCGAAGTTTATTTACGAGCAAGCTGCCGTTTGCCGTCCTGCCCCAGAAATGCTGCAACTTGCAACTTAATGAATGTCAGATGCAGCCTGTACCTGGACGGGATATGCACACACATGTCATATCTGCACTGCCTACATAAGCTGCGTAATTGCATGAATGTTGGATTGGAAATTTGCATATGCCGCAAACTGACTCCGATAAGCGTCTTAAATTTTCAATTTCATTGTTTATTAAGTGCCAAATAATTGTGTTTGCCAGATAGTCCGGCGATCAAAGGTGTGCGCTACTCGGCCTGCCCACATTTTCCGTTTGTAATTATTGTGCAAATTTTGTGCAACTTCCCCTGCATAAAATTTCCTGTCCTGTCCACAACTGTGATTGACACTTTGAGGCCTCTCAGGCGTGTGAAAATTCTCAAATGTGCAGCGCGTTTTCTCCCTAATTACCCCGCTGCTCTATAATTTTCGAGCCTAGCATTTATAATTTAGCCAGGGCTTAGCGCCAAACTCCTTGAACTGCCCGGCACAAAATTAAACAGAAACAACACCATATGTGTGGGCAGATAAATACAAACCTATGCCCAGTACAATGGCTCCATTTTTTACGGCTTTCGCCGTCACTTTTTTCCATGCAAAATTTTCAGCCAGAGTAATTAATTTTAATATGAAAGCCAAACATGCGCTCCTAACAATTGTCATATAATTTGCCGTCTAGACAGTGGAAATTTAGTATTTTCAATTAACTGCAATGGCAACAGCGAGCTGCAAGCTTACCTCTCTCCGCCCCCGTTCTTGGCACCCTAAAAACAACAATGCACACAAAAAGGCGCACTCCGGTGATGGGAGGTGATGATGAGGGGCAGGTCCTGGAGCAGGAGCAGGCACTGCTTCTGCATCCTGCCTGTAGCTTTTGTGGCTGACTGCCATGTTGACATTGTATGCTCAGAAAAAAAATATGGCTCTGAAATCTATTTAGAACCTTTGATACCTACAGTTTAAATTTAAGAGGATATTTATATAAAGTTCGAACCTATACTCCGAAACTAATAGATCTCAAGATAGTCAGTGCACATTTTTATAAAGTCGGCAATCTCTAAATAACAAACTATACAATGTTAAGAAGACTATAGCTATATAAACATTAAAATTTAATTTAAAGTTTAGAAATAATTGTAATCCGAACGAGACCTTTAAGCTACCAACCTTCCCATTCGAATGTACTTCTCGGGCTTTAGGTATAAAGGGGAAATCGACCCACTCCCAGGCTCAGTTTTCCGAAATGCGAGTCAGAGCGAGAAAGAGCTGGAAGGTCCGCCCCTTGCAGCCTTGACTGTGGAGTAGCAGGCGCTCAGCAGCACCAGGCGGCGTCCTCAAGGTTGGCAACAAAATTGCAGTGCCAGTCACCCGAGAAGGAAGGCGGAGGGAGGCAGGCAGGGGTTTGTGTGGCAATGTCAGTGCACCTGACGCTGCTGCGGCTGCACTTGGCACTCGGCGAGCTCGCTTCAACTGAACTGAACTCGACTCGCTCCCTTTCCCAGGCCATAACAGTGCGTATTGCGGTTGTCGGGAGGGAAGCCCTGCAAATACCCCATCTCCAGCAACCCTTTCCACGGCTTCGATTTCACTTTTTTCTTTTCTCATTTTTTAAGCCCCGCTCGCACTCGTTTTTTAATTGAAATTTCATTTGCCGCGTTTGTTTGCACATAATTACGAATCGGGCGACTTTTGTCGCTTGTTATGCAAATTTAAGACAGGCTCATGCCCGCGATGAATGGGTGTAAAAATGTGAATAGAAGGGTTCGTTTTTTCGGGGGTGGGAGAAGAGAATTGCATGAATGCACTTCTTAAATTTTTTTCTGGTGCTTTTTTTTGGATTTCTGTGGTTTTTGTTGTGGCAGGAGATGGCCCCAAAAAGGGATTGGGGTCTCGCCGGGTGGGGACTAAAAAGGAAGCCATCCATCTGCAGCATCTGCCTGCAGCATCATCAGCTCCATTCAGCGCCAAGTATGTCTGCTTGCTAAACAAATGCGCCAAGAACTAAAAACCCATTCAAATAGTGAGCGGGGAATTGGCAGGACTCGTAAGGACTCCAAGGAGCTAAGTAAGTTTGCCAACGGGATAAATCAAACTGCTGCTTGCAACATTGTGGGCACAAGGAATGTTTTAAATTAAAGCCAACTTCAATGTAGCGGTGGCTAAATTTATTTAAAATATTTGCTGAAATTTATTACTTGGCTCTCACAGCTTGAAATTAATTAATCAAAAAGGTTTCACCATGGAGTTGTGGGTAATACTTCTACATTGTCTTATATCTTTTAGTTTTTGGGTTAATCCTTCTTTTAATAAAGACTTTGATATTTTAAATCAAGTAGTGAGTAAGCCAACTCCACACTCCGCACACTACCCGGATAGTAATAAATCCGTGCATTAACCCCGATTCCGGATATGCAATTTCCGCAAACTTTGTACCCTCTTGTTTTCGAAAATCCGGCTGTGAACCCATTGACTCCTGATTGAGTAATCAGCGAATGGAGCCTGTAATTCCGTAATTTACTTACATTGCGGGCGGCACAATCAATAGGTGGGTCCTGTGAGTCCTTTGCTGGTGTCCGGCCCTCTCAAGACATGCAACCCACACACACTGGCACACTCACTGGCACACACACACACACCCGCGGAAGTTAAGCGGTTTAGGAGTCGCTGCCTATAATCAAATGCTGTGGCACTTCATTTGTCGGGAATTGGCCGACTGCCCGGTGCCCGCAGAGACATAATCCCAGTGCCGCCCACTTGTTGGGAGAGTCCGACCGCAGGACAACAGCTGCACAGAGAACTAATCATGGTAATTTCGGGTCAATAATATTGAAAACAGATTGAATGATGAAAAGAGTTGGTAACAATAAGGTTTCTATTTTTCTTAAATGTCACAAAAATAAGAGTGGCAAAATATTGAAATTTGTAGAGTTCATTAGCCTTCAGTCATTAGTTTTAATTTTTATTTTATTTTAATTATTATCCATAATTATCCATTATCCTTATACTTAAAATTTTAGTTCCAACTTAAAGCTTTTTTAAATAGGTGTCCTAAATCTTTTTTGAAAAATTAAAAACACTTTTGTATAACATTTTTTAAATATTTGTTTCCATACTTTTTTTTCTCTGCACAGACCCCGTCCGTTCAAACACGCACAATTGCCGGACGCTTGATTTACGGCATTGGGTACTTTTTAGGGCTTTTTTTTGTGTCTTTGCAACACCTGCGAAACAATTCAAAAACCAGCCAAAAAACGGGCGCGAAAATGGCAACCGGAAAAAATACAGCAACCGGAAGCGGGGAAAAGTCGGAAAAACGGCAAAACGGCGGGCAAATTACGCGGCCAGACCCGACCCGGATCCTGGCTGATTGCAAGGCCTACGAACTGCCGAAATTGCGAATCGAGTAGGCGAATTGGCGCATCGACGAACGATTCAGAATTGGAATCGAAATCGGAGTCGAAATTCGCGCTGGAGAGGCCGGGCAGGAGCGTGCTAAAAAACGCAACCAAAGTATGCAAAGCACGCGAGCGTACTGAGCCTCCGCTGTCTGTGTTTTGCATTCGCAGCCAGAAAATCGCAGAAGCAGAGCAGAGCAGCCGGCGAGGAACTTCTCGAGGAAGGCCGTGCCGTGAACATTAACGCTAACGTTAACGTTAAAAAATTAAGAGAGGGGGTAGCCATGCCAGTGATGCGGAGTGGGGCACAACGGTGGAGGTGGAGGTGGCTGGTTGCAAGTGCCCGTTGTAAGCGATACCCAGGAGGGAGGTTTTTGCGAGCTCTGAGTTTTTCATCTTTTTTTTTGTATTTCGTATTTTTGCACTGTGCATTCTCTTTTTTATTCCAGCTGCAGCCACCCCGAAGTCGGAGTCGGTGTTGCCACAGCCCAAGAGTGGAAAGTAGGTGAGGCACATGAGGCCGTAGCGATGAGGTGGGCGAGGGGCGCCGTGGAGGCCCGCCGGGGCGAGAGTGTTTACCCCGGCTTAGACGGCTCTGACAGGCCGTCTGGGCTCCAAAGCATGAATGAGTTGTGGAAGCAAATGAAGTGCCACGCCAGCCGACTCGACGTTGCAACCCGCAGCGTGTTTAAATATAGCAGAGAACAAGCAGCAGCAGCAGCAGCAGCGGCAATGCAACGCTGCAGCAGCGGCAGTAGCAGGCAGAAGGACCATCGCAGTCCTTCACTGAAACAATAATAAATAAATAATTGCAGCTTTGGCAGGAAGAACCTAGAATTTAAATGTTTATACTAAACTTTTTTCAACTTTTTAACTCCAAACCCCCATATATCCCTTAGGTAGGTACTGTAGCCGTTTTTTCAGTGCACCAGGATGGTCGGCAGACGTTCACAGGCTATCATGTCACCGCCGGCGTCCTCATTTGTCTGTTTGCCTGTGTTTGTGCATGTTTGCATCTGTGTGGGTCTTGTGCACTTTTTATTTTAATTTCTTGTTTCTTTTTTTTTTAATTTTTCTTTTTTTTTGCAGTTAGACTACTAGGCAGGCAGTCAGTCAGTCAGTTTAGTTGCGAACAGGCCTCGGCATATTTTGTGCTTCATCATCTCGGCCGCTGATGATGACACATGCGAGCGACGGCAAACAAATCCGGGGAGAGGCCTGTGATGTTCATGTTGATGTTGATGTTGCTGCTGCCACTGCTGATGATATTGCTGCTGTCATCAGCAACATTTCCCAGGAACTTTCTGGTGGAGCGAGCGACTGTTTGCTGATGCAGCCGAATCGAGGCACTCCGTTTGGCTGCGAGGGCTGCGACCTTGGTGGGTGGGGGTGGCCCACCCGGCCAGTGGGTGTCTGCAGTAGTTTAATCATCAAATTACGCCGGATTGCAGTGTTAATAATGCAAGTCCACAGATGGCTGAGTAGACTAATCTGACTAATTGGAAGAAAATGCCATCCAACTGGCAAATGAACAGTTTCCAGCGACTCTCGATCGTAAATAAAATTTGTCTTTTTACTTATTTACTTACTACCAGACTAAAGGAGTTTTCAAACTCGGGTTTAATCTGTTTTGAGACCATATGGGCATAAAAGACCTCATCCTAAACAAAGAATACAAAAAATTTAATCAAAGGCATATTACAAAAGAGTTTGAAGGACTTTATAGTCGAGCCTGCGACTCGGAATCAGTCTCCGAATCGGAGGGCTTGGCCTGCTTATGCTCCATATAGCCAGCCGTAGTATATCTAGGTACGTATTCATATATCCCGTCCGGGGCACGTACTTGCGGTGGCTGGAATATAATGAGAGCTGGCTGCGGCACAAACGTGCCATAAACTGTGGCATCCATTTATCCAGCCGTCCATCCACCCCCAGACTCCAGTCTCCAGACTTTAACCCGCCGATGAATATTCCATGTGGCATGCGTTGACAAAGCCTCGTCATCTGGAGCATGAGAGTATCATATCATAAAGGCAAAGTTTTGTTCCTCGGCATGTACGATGCATGCCGTATATGAATATGTATATGGATGTACATATATATTCTTGTGCCGGGAGATTTGATATGTATCAGACGGAGTGGAGTGCTGTGTACTGGACTGTGGTGGAGCGGCGGGCTGAACTTTTATTGGTCTTGTTTTGATAGTTGACTCGCTGCTAAGCCTATTAAGGCGCTTGGGTCGACCAACAAGCCAAAGTCTTTTGCACCGACCAGGTTTCCACACCTCCACACATCCTTGCCGCGCCCGCCAAGTCACCCCATGTGTCAGACTACACTGGAAAACACAAGATAAAGGGCTAAAATAAAATACATCTCTTTCCTTCCAAGCTTTACTCCTTTCCCAAAGTGTACTTCCCACCCTTTGAATACTTTTTGTTGCTGGGGTATCCCTAGAAAATGATAGGCCCCACCAGGGAGCTAAGCTCTCTCTAGCTTTTTGCATTTTCTGTTGCTGTGGCTCCTGCTCCTGTTAATTATGGGGCTGGGAGGGGTGGTATCTGCTCGTTAGTGACGTCCTCGAAGGGCCTCATCCGACTCCGACTCTCTGTCTCTTTCTGCACCCGGACAGTGACGTCTCTCTCCCCGTCCGCCCTGGCTGCAATTTTCTCAAGAAGCCGCACTTAAATGGCTTCCTATGCGGGTGCAAACAAAAGCTGCCAAACACACACACTCTCACACATGTGGCACACTCGCCAGTATGTGTGTGTGTGTCGGCGACAGTTGCAAAAAAAATACTATGTATGGCAGAAATCGCTGCTGCAAGTCTTGCTGAAGTGGTGGTTGAATGCATACTCTTCTTTTTATGATGCCTTTTTTCTCGTTTTTGTCTTGCAACCTGCAAATGGAAAAAGAGTTTCAAATTTGTGTTGTGCTGCCACCGTCGTTGCTGCATTTGTTTTTGCCTCTGATGATGCTGATGTTCTGCGCAACACATGCGCCATTATGCAATTGATTTTTCTTCGTTTTTCGTTTTATTTCCCTTTTTGTTTGGCGAGCTTGGCAGCGCTGTTGCATTGTTGGTTGTTGCCTCGTTTCGTTTCGTTTCGCCTTTCTTTCTGTCTGTCATTCTTCCATTTTGGCTCGGTTAACAGGTCTGCCAAAGGTCATTCAACTTGGCTCTCACTAATTTGCCCGTGCGCCTAATTAAGCAGATCCCCCGACAACCTGCAACCCGCTACCGAAGCCCAAAAGTCGGCAACAAAACAGCAAGGCGTTGAAAGGCCAACTGGCTAACACACACACACTCCCACACACACAGCTAAATAGGTGTCTAAAGTGACGCTTTATATGGCAAAAATAAACTGAAAGAACTCGCACACAATCGAGGCAAACAGAGGGGGCAGTTGCAGATGCAGTTGCACGTGCTCTATCTCTATAAGTTGCCTGCCACTTCGCCCCATGGAGCGGGCTCATAACCCTGAATGCAACGCTGCAATGAATGAATGCCAACTGGCTCCAAAGACAGACGACTCACAGACGCACCCACACTCCCGAAATGGGGGTGCCTCACTCTCGCATCCTTGCATCGTTGCATCCTCGCAACATCCCACTCCTCCCACTCTGCAGTGAAGCAGATTGCGTATACGCAGCATTGGCCACTTGCATTATGAAGCATCTACTCCGGCCCTTGTGTCGGCGTGATAAGCCACCGCATCTGCATATGCATCTCTGCCTCTCTGTGACAGCGGGTCGCGATTCGTGCGTGTTTACACATAAAAAAAAATTAATTAATTCGAATGTAATGTGTAATGTGTAACCACAAAGAAGGAAACCACTTGCTCTACATGTCTGCTTCTCGAATTGCATATTTTTAAAGCCATTATGGCATTAAATGGAATCTCCTTATAGTCGCTCACATTTAATATTTGTAGTGTAACGCCTCCGTGATCTCCGGTTGCATTCATTGCGAATGTCAAGGGTTGGCAGTTGGCTTGCCAAGATGTTTTGTTTGACGCCGGAGGAACATGAACAGCAACGGCGGAATCCAAGCAAATGCCAGCAACATTTGCTGTGTCAAGTGGCAGTCAAGTGCATTTAACAGGGCGCGTCTTTGATTGACGTTAGTCCGCGCTCAGAATCATGGCCAAAATGGCGGGAGGTACTCGGCGCTCGAGGCAGAATCGCAGGCAATCACAAAAGCTGACTGTGTGCAATTGTCAAACGGAAACGCAGAGGCAAAGACTCTTCTGACAGCAGCCGGGGCAAATATCAAATGGAAAATAACATATTGCAGTAGCCGAGAGCCACGTGAAACTTCCTTTAATGCCCCAGAAACCTGAAGCGTTTCTGGTGCGTGTCAATCGTCTAATCCGGCTATTGCAACACCGGAGTTAACCACAAATCAACTGGTTTATTGAATATTAATGAATCCATCTGGTTACCCTAATTAAGTGCGAAACAAGGCAGTAAGATTGGGCCTCGGAACATCTGCTCGATGGAGTTACGGCATTCAATATGCAGTTTCTCTTCTCCTTTAATGAATAAATACATAGTTGAGAGGCCATCAAACTGGCATTAAATCACAAATCCCCAACGCAAAATTACAGAAACATCTATGGAGATTATTGTTTATGTGCATAAGCACTTTACAAGAGCCAAGCATTTGGCAAACAATACCCTAAACGACCGGGAACACACCCAAAATAAAGACAACTAAAATGGGTTTATGCGATTTTTATAGTTCGCAAGTTAGGCAAGTCATTTGCCAATTCAAATGAGCTCTACCAGTGCTCACAAAATGTATATGCATATGCGTATTTTAACCATCCATCTTCAAGCACATTTGAGCCAAGATTCAACTTTTACTTTTCACTGGGCTTCACAGCATAACTCGCTTCGCAGAAAAAGCAAACCAAATGATGCGAAGCAAATTAAATTACATTAAACTTGGCCGAGGCGAACCGACCTGAAGTGGCTAACAGCGGTAGAGCCATAAACATTTTCACGGCCCTTGACACTCGAAAAAATAATATACTTGCTTTACATTTGAATAGATGGACTTTAGGTTTTATTCCTTGGGATATATATACGACTAAACACTATACCATTTATTCGCTGTGTGGAATTGCTCTAAATTTAAATATAATAGGTGATATATAGTAGTGATTGTATTTTATGATAATTCATATATTAGTTAACCATTTAGTCTTCAGTCTTGCACCAAATTCCTCACTTCATAAAAAGTGCCTTATTTTTTTTCGAGTGAGGAGAAATGCAGGCAGACAATGTCTTCACTGGCACTTTAATTATGACAAAATTTGCGTGAGTGATAGTCAAATGATGCCGCAAGCCACAAGCCGAGCAATCTGAAGTGCCAGAGCGGGGAAAACATACAAAAATATAAACAAAACAAATAAACGATGCGCCGCAGAGACAATAAATATGGGGGAAAAGAAATTATGAAATGTGAGTTCGAAACTGTTACAACAAATCAAAGAGTCTGAGCAGCAGCAGCCACAAAGCAACACCATCCTATCCCATTCAGCAGACATTTCTTGTGGCAGAGTTGGCCCAAAACCCGTTTTCGAGTGATCTTCTTCGGCGGGTTGGCTTTGCGGGTGTTAGCCCGTCCGGAGTTCATTTAGCTGCCAGCCGGCGAAGAAACCACAACGCATCAAGTATCGTGTGTCCGAAAAAAAGCTAGAGCTCCTCCAAAATGCCGTCCCCACTGTGGCTGTTGATCTCAATGGTTAGTTTACCGCAGAAACACATTTCCGAGTGGATTTTTAAGATTTGTGAGGGACTACCACCCAAAATCTAAAAGTGAATACAAATTTTAAAAGTGTGAAAAATCGTTGAACTAAAATTTGAAAGGACTCAAATAAAAGGACTAATTTATGTTCAATATCTATACAAATTCTATTTTATTGAAACTGAAGTCCTAATAATACACAGGCATCTAGTTTAGTTTCCTCCAAATGTGACTGTAAATTATAATATCATTTTTATTTTGATTCTTCTTGATCTGCAGCTTGTCGTTGTTGGCTCGCAGGACTACCATTACCAACCTCCGCAAACTCCTTTTACGGCGGAGACCTACCACCAACCGCAGGCGCCGCAGCAGCCTCAAACCACAAAGTTTGTGGTGCAAACCCTGGGTCGCACTTATGGGTTGGAAACGCAGCGGGCGCCCGCCATCTACGAGGATCATCAGACCCAGGTGATCCGCGTTTTGGAGCAGCGTCAGTTGCAGCAGCAGCCCCAGACTTACTACCAGGCTCCCCAGCAGCAGCAGCAATACAGCTACCCAGCTCCGGTTCCCCAGCAGCTGCACACTTCTTCCTACACTAATCCCCTTTTGGTCAGCGCCAGCTATCAGGCTCCTCCGCAGGCTCTGGCTCCTCCAGCACCCGCTCCCCCATCACAGCCACTGAGCTATTACCAGCCGCAGCAACAGCAGCAACCGCTGGTGCCAGCGCACCAGAGGAGCCCTGCTCCGATTGTTGGATACTCCACTGCCCGCCAGCAGGCGCTGCAACCAGGGACCCAGTACCTGCCTCCTCAGCAGCCGCCCCCGCAGAAGCTCTTCTTCGGCAACCCTCAACCATACGCCTCGGTGACCATCGGCGGTCAGCAGGTCTTGGACGCAGGTCATGGCTCAGGAGTCGCTCCCAATGAGGTGCAGGTACAGCTGGTGGCCGCCACGGGCCAGCAACCCCAGCAGCCGCGTATCGGCGACCATGTCGGTCAGTCCCAAGGTGCCCAGGTCGATGGCTTCGACTACAAGCAGACTTCTCCCGGGGACACCCGAGACTACCAGAGATTTGTCACCAACTGTGGACCCGGAGGACAGTGCCAGCGCAAGGAGCTGGGACCTGGAGAGGTGGACCCCACCCACCAGAGGGTGCTGCAGTTCACCCGGTCCAGCACTCAGCCCCGCATAGAGGGCTGCTTCAAGAGCCCCGTGATCTACGTGCCCGTGGGAGCGGAGGTCAATAATCAGGGTCAGCTGCGGCCCAAGAACCGCCGCCAGAACGAGCGCCAGGAGCAGATCCTCTCCCGCTATCCCTACAACTAGACTAATCCTCTCCAAAAAACCGAATTTCACATCGAATTTATTAGTTGTTACATCTTAGTTGTCAATTGAATTGATTTTTTTGTAAATAAATCGATCAAAAGTTTACATTTAAAACATTTCAAATGTTAACCGTTTCGTGGGAGATTTAAAGCCCAAAAGTAGGCATCCATGGGGCATGGGGTATATGCATATTATTCACCAACCTGTTGCGGGTTGCCTAATAGATGGTTTATTGTGGGATTGCGTAGACGTTGCTATCGAGTCTCGGGCCATCAAATGCTAATTAGCTGACAAAATCGAAATGCATGGAGAAAAACGAATGGCACCAAGTTCAAAAATGAAATAAAGTCAAACACGTGCTAGGGTTTTGGTAATATTGAATACTAAAATCGTTTACGTATCTGATCATCAATTTAAAAATGAAAGATTCGGAAAAAAACACCTTATATGTGTCACTTTGTTTGATTAGGAAACTATAAAAGTTTCCACAAAACGTAATTAATCAGAGTCATTAAAATAGTTTAAAAAATATGCAAAATGTTGTCTAGACTGAATATTTCCAGTTCATTAAGTGGGAAATATATTTTGAGTAATAGATATTAAATGATTTTTTAGCTAAACCCAATTGTTTCAGTTCATATCTACTTGTTCACTGAAAAGTCTAAATGGCTTCGAAGCGTACTATTTTTGTGTGGTTATTTTTAACTTTACACAATGCAACTCAGGTTAAGAATTACTACATTTATATTTTAAAGGTATTTGAAACGAAATACTCATTTTCAGATCCACTCCAAGCTGGAGTTTACCAATATTGAATGCACCGTAGTGGACAAAATATTTGTAAAGTTCGATTACTGCTACATCAAGGCTGTAAATAGGAGCTACAAGTACATATCCTTGAAGGCCAATATGCTCGAATTACCATTATCAGATCCATCGGTAACTAACTGCTGGTCTTTAGACAGTTCTCTAATGTTAGTCGCTTTACAGGCCAGTTTACAAATATTACGGAGATTTCGAAAATATACACCTGTGACCATGAACGCCACCTTTGATGTCTGCAAGTTCATGTCCAGCCAAAAGAGCTCCAGGAATCCTATGCTAAGTCTCTTCGCGGATATTGCCAAAGCCTACACGAATGTCTACCACAAGTGTCCTTATGATGTAGGCTTGAGCAGTCACATATAGTATAAATCCACTGCTAACACCTGGCCTTTTTCAGCATGATCTTGTAATCGACAAGCTGCCGGCCTCATATCTAAATCAACATTTTCTAAATATCTTATTTCTACCCCCAGGCGAATACGCTTTTTATAGCTCTTGGTATACCAAAAACGTGGAAAGGGCTAAAATCAAGATTTACGGCACTCTGTCTTGGGAATAATTGTGACATTTTGTCACTGCATTTCAGGAAATACTTAATAAACAAAACATAACTGCCCTCGTGTCTGCACTGTGTTTGAACTTTAAAAAAATAAATCAGCACATGTATGTTTCGATATAATCGTGATTCGCCAACTGGTTTTGCTCTCAGTTCTCTTTAGAGATAATGTTATGACGCAACAGTTTTGCATAATTCTTTTAAAGGGTTCTCACTAATCGACTCTAAAATATTTAGTCACTCTGTGGAGCTCAAAGTGTGGAGACGCCAGAAGCCACCCTAGAACGAGAGAAGCATGAAGACGAGTTTGCTGCCAATTATTTTGGTAATACGGTATAACTTGTTTTCCAATCCAATGACGTCAAACGTTTAACCCTTCATCAGATTCTGAGCCTGGTTGCCGTTTTCGCCGAAGGTGATGATGGCTACTTGTACGGAAAACCCACTGGAGACCTGTTCTCGGAATCCCTCCCAGCAGTGCCCAGGGTTAGGAAGAACCGCTTGAAGCCGATGATCTACCCGGCACCTCTATCACAGAATTGTGGCAGCAACGACCCCGAAGTTCACGCAGCAGCTGTGGCAGCTTACCATGCTGCTCGCCCGCCCCCGCGCCGTGCTTACAATCACCAGGAACTTGTAGTGGACAGCTCCTTCTTCGAGCCCTCACAGGAAGCAATAGACGAACTCCGCAGAGTTCTGTTAGATCAGGAATAAAGAAAACTTATTACAAAAATGTGATTAATATTTTTGATGAAAAAGTGGAAGAATTATTCGAAGTCTTTTGAAAAAATCAATCAAATCAAGCCGCCAAAATAATTAAAACAGAATAATATTGCCAAAAAACATGCAGTTTTATGGGCAATCAAAGCAAAAATCCTTCAAGATGCAAAGATACAAACATTGGTCTGGGCCATAAGACGATCCTATGGCGTCACCATCCATATCTCCATTTTCAAGAGGATAGGTTGTAGGTTTTAATGCAGATTTTAGGTAATCGATGCACAAATCGTTTAAACATTAAACTTTAAAGTTTAAAGTAAAAGTTTTAGCATCGTTTCCATATCGGTTGTTGACTAAAGTGATTTTAGTAGCCTATTTAGATTACTAAATACTCTATAATCTACAGTCTATATAGAATATATTATACTCTATATTAGATTACTCTATAATCGAGTTTATAAGAACATTTTAAGATTAATCGATAATGCTTTCATTGCCCATAATATTGGTCTGTTTTTGATCGTAAAGTTAATGTTAATGAGTTTGGCAATTAGGTGGAATTAGATGGCTCCATATAAAAAGTTGGTAGAGCAGCATTCCAGACAAATGTGGGTAAAAACAGATTGCAATTAAAATAAATAAATAATTTATTGGCGAGCTTAAAAAGAAATGGGTACAAAAACAAAAACGTAAACAGTCGGAGCTTGAACCGAAAACACACTAAGCATCGTAGTTGTACTTCTTGCTGTCCCCGGGATTGATGCTGTACAGATCATAGTCGAACTGGTCCCACTCCTGGTAGCCATCTCCTCGGGGCTGGGTGCTTCCCTTCTTTAGCTTCTGCTGGGTCTTTCTTTCCTTATTCAGGTCCACGTGAGGCAGCTGCTGGCGGACCCGCCTCTCCGCCGGAGTCAGGGGCTGAGGAGCCCGCTGGATAGGAGCACTAGGCAGGAACTGGGACTCCTCCATGCCGAGATCAGCACCAGGGCTCATCTGGGCGTCGAAGAAGTTGGCAAAGTTCTGCAACTGCATCGACTCCGCCGGGTGGTGGTCATAGTAATCGGGCATGATCAGGTTATAGTTCCCGGTCAGGGTCATTGGCGCTTGGGGTCGGGGGGCGTAGGCCAAGCTAGGAAAACTGCCAGCAGCTGTCAAGTCCCTGGGGCGACTCCACCTGGGCAGAGCCTCCGAGACGCCCAAAATCACGGACAAACAGAAGCTGAGCAGGATCTGAAATTGAAAAATGGGTGTTTGTTAAAAACTGACTCATAACTAGGCTTGATAAACTTTTAATTTTAGTATCTCCCTTTATGGTGATTTCTCTTCTTCATAAGATTTTTTTAAGATGTAAACAAATATTTTTTCTTTCCCATTTTTAGGCAGACTATTTTTGGTAAGATCTTTCGACTATTCGTCATTTATATCTTCTTACCATTTGTGAGTTGGGAGATTGTTTGCGAGCCATCTTTGGTAATTTATGCACTCCACAGAATTGATTTTATATAATTAACTTGAATTTAATTTTAGCACTTTGTTGGTTGTTCACACTTGCTCGAGGTTTGAGGATATTTGTTTGTTTCTTTCAGACGTCCGATGCGCTTAAATCGAGCTCTTAAACCAGTCTAATGTTCTGAGCGGTGCGATTTTGTATTTAAAGCAAAAGCCAGGCGAAAGCCGAAAGAATTTCATTTCGTTTGATTTGTTTTGTTTTGGCATGCAAATCCGGTTTCGATTTCCAGCCGAGCGTCAAACCGATATGAATCTTTAGTATCCCAAGGTGATGCTGGAGTCGCAAGTCTGAGATTAAAGAATCAGCGGAATTCGGTAAAGTGAGTGACACACGAAAAAGCAGGGAACTGCAGGTCAGGAACACCTGAGGGAACTCCGAGGAGATCCCGGAGCCCGGAGGAGGCAACAGCATCGAGTTTGTGGCGTCAGGGACTTGGAACAATAGAAATGCAAATCACTGGATGCCGTGAACGCTGATTATTCTGAGAGATACTGGACTATGAGGCGCTCGTGTTGACACACATTTGATTTGAGGATGGGATGGATGTGATTCATGGAATGTGCCCGGCAATTAATCCAAATTATACGTAATAAAAATATTAATTGCACTCGCTTTGTACCAGTGAACTTGTGCCTGTAATTAGCAGCCTCACAGAGGACGGACATGTTAATCGCGGGAATACAAATTGGCACATCAATCACGGCTCTTTATTGGCTCCCAATGATCTGACATTTCAATTTTTGTCACTCGAGCTGTCACTTTAAGCACTTGATAATCCTGCAGAGGTTCAATAACTTCCGTTGCCGTATCCCGTCGGGAAAATCCCAGGCAGTGCCTTTCCGTCATTTCGAAAGCCCAAACTCTCTCGGCTTTAAGATTTAATCTTCCTCAGGTGCCAACAGGTACCCGAAAAAAGAGTTAAACAAAATTAGAACACATCCCAAGTGCTCGCTTTTAATTGGGGAACCACTTTTTTGATCAATTAAGATAAGCTTGTGGAAAATCTAAGTCAGGGTTAAATATATAGTACACTGTACTTCTCTGGATTAGTTGATACTCAGTAAATGGAGGCAATATTTCAAAGATAGAATGTATAATGACTAATGGGGAATTCAAGAGCTTAGTTAAAATAGAAAATCACGCCGTATTTTGGCCAGTAGCATAAAGTCGATGATAAATTATTCCGCATTCTTATGGCCTGGCTGCGATGGTCAATGGCTTGGGTTTATCCAAAGCCAATTTACAGCTCCAGTGGGAAGTTGCTGTCGCTGATGTTTCCCGCCGGTCAAAAATAAATTAGCATGTTCAAAAATCTTCTTTCTGGAATGTCAGGCGCACACGCCAAAAAAACAACAAATAACATGCAACGGCAGGCGGAGAAAGGAGGGTGGGAGTGGAGAAAGGCTGAAGGCTGAAGGCCACCCCCGTAATCAAAATATAAAACGAAGGCATAAATAAGTTTTAGTGTCTCCGGGGAAACCCGTTGTTACTGCCTTTTTCAGCATTTCTCGAATTTTTGATACTAACTTTTTTTTTTGTATTTTTGGGGGGGAAATATTTAAGGCCCCCCCGGCAAAGTCAGAACTCATTTAGCATTGTTTTAAGCACTTACATTTTGTTTCGTTTAATTTGTTTGCGATTTGTATTTTGCATATGCATATTCACAAAGTTGTTTTGTTTGCTTTTCACTTTTCCCTTTTGTGTGTAAATTGGCCCGTTTTTAATTTTTGGATTTTTTGGGTTTTTTGCACATGTTTTGGAGATCAAAGACATGTTTTCGAGAAGCAGAGAAAATAATGTTTTTTTGTGTGTTTTGTTACTGTGGATATATGCAAAACATTTTGCTGGGAATTTACGTCAGAGTAACAATTGGAGGGGGTGACGGCAGAATTTTTACTTCTGCTTAAGCCTGGCATAAAATTTCAATTATCCAGGAGCAGGGACCGGGATGAGCCAGAGGGTGACTATGTTTGAGTTGAACTATTTGCCAAAGCCCTTGCCACAATGCCGATCGAGTTGGCAGCCTCAAAGCAACGTGCCCCGAGATACAACCGCAAAATTACTTGCTCGCCAGACGCGCCTCTCGTGCCCTCAACAGAGGCGGGGCCCCCGTCCCGGATTGCCGTCAAAAACCCTGCCACCACCTCCGAGTTGCTCTGCGGTTGCCTAGACAAACGTTACATGCCATCGTTTTCGACAGATGCACTTGAAAAGCACTTGAGTAATAGCATCTTTCGAAAGGGCTTGGTGATTTCAAAGACATTAGTGGTATGCCTGCATTTCTCCCAGTGCCAATACTGAAACAAACCCAATAAACCTTACGAAACCAAACCAAACAGTCAACTCTCGCCTCGGGCAGCGAGGCATCATTATCCATGCAACCAGCAACGGGCAACGGCAGATGCAAATCGCATTAAATCTAATATGCAACTTGACCACAACAAACTGGGTGCATAATTTGTCTTTCCGCCCAATGTCCAATCACCCAGCTCCGCCCAGTCCCTCTGGCGGAGGCGAACCTCAAGTTCATTGTTTTCAAGTTAAAGCCTCTCGCATGTCACCCGAAGAATCCATAAATTATTGACTTTTTTGTAATAATTTACTTCCACTTAGAGCCCTGATGAAAATATGATACAAACGTCCCCAGGCCAGCAGTGTAAATAAATAAATTGTATTTGTTTTCATAATAAATATTTTTTAACGTTTTAATTGGCTCTTGATTTGATTTGCGTATTTATGGGCTTTATAATGCCTGATAACAGCACACTAATATTGAAATTGTGAACTCCATTATAAGCGTATTGCCTCTGAATATCTAAAACCAGTTTCTTATTTCATAAAAATGTACATCTTTTTGGACTTTATGGTAGAGTACAATTACTATCCACCTTTAGACTCGCAATTTAATTTGTCTATGGAGACGATTTATGGTATAGGATAGAGGGATAGATAGAGTTCAAAGACAGATATAGAAAATTTAGTTTTTGAGGAACTGGAAAGAGGTCAGTGCAGACGATAGACAAGCCGCGGCTTTTTCATTCTTTTTTTGGTGATCGCGGCCTCTACTCCTGCCCCCCACGACTGGAAAACCGAGGCCGCCATCTGGCCGTACATGCGCCACGCCTTTCGGGGACACTGGCCGAAGTGGATGAGGGCCTGCTGCAGCGCCACCCCATTGATCGCTACGTTTGACACCAGGACTATCACATACAGACTGACCACTCCCGTGATGATCATCTTTTGGTTGAGCGGGTTCTCGTGAGCCTGCACCTCCTTCCACTGGGACACGGCGTAGACGGTGGCGGCGCTTAGGGGGGCTGCCACCACGGCCATTATAGTGTCGAGCCTATAGCCCAGAATCATAAAGGCCGAGTATTGGGAGCGCAAGTAAAAGATTTCTATGTACACGCTGAAGTTCATCTGAGGTCGCACCACGGCGGCCAGGAGCAACAGATACAGGATAACGAAGTACGTGAATTGGGCGGTTGTCACTTCCATTGCAGACTGTTGGGCCCTAGGGTTCAGTGGGTGTTTAAGGATAATCTAAAAGTAAAAAATACAAATTAATAGTTTAGTAATTAGCTGGTAGAAACTCCCTTAGCCTCTTTCAGCTAATCGCCGTCTGCTTAAAATAAGCCCATCTCCCTCTGATCTTACCTTATCTTACTCAGTCGAACCTCAGCAGTCCACTAATTAAGATCCTAATTAAGACCCACTCCCTCGGGCAAGCACATACTTAGTTAGTGTAGAAATATTAGTTGTTTAAGCCGACCTGACCATCCATCAACCTGCATAAACTTCAATTAACCTCAGTCCCTTTCTCGCCCCCTTGACAACTCATCGAAGATTTTCGCAATTACTTAACACATTCGAAACGTCATCGCCTCTGCACTTGCAATCGCACACTCACTGTACTACAGTGGTAATCCCGTAATATGGGTCATTAGCACAGCCTGGACACAGTGCCGGACAGTGTGGGGCAACACTTGCCACGCCCCTTTCAATGCCCATTAATTACTTGCACTTCCCATCGATGCCTCTTAAGCTTCATACTTCAGAAGCCAAAGGCCACAAAAGTGTTAAAAGTGCCACGGCAGCGCGGAAAAGCTAGACAGTAAAAGTGAAAAAGCGGAAAAGTCGGGAAAACACAAGTACAAAAACAGAAGCATTAAAGCATAAATAATTGCGAATTTTAAACGGCAGCCAGCGTAAAATGAGAAACATCATAAAGCCAGTTCCTCTATCCATATTGATGCACTTAATATTTAAATTTTAATTGTCTTTTCGGTTTTAAATAATTCGAATCTTGGCATTATCACCGATTAATCATTGCAAATGCACTAACAATGGCAGCTAATTGCGAAATGATTAAGCGAAAGTGGCGGAATTCAAATTTCATTTCCATGCGTCTGTGTTGGTGAGTGCACCAGTGTGTGTGTGTGTGGTGCAGGGGAGGCGGGGCGTGGCAGGGAGTGGCACACTGCCGACCGCCCGTTGACAGCGATAAATCAGCAGGTGTAATGAGTCAAAGTTATCGTTATGCATGGATCATTAATCACACACGCATAACAAATTAAGAGTACATTATTCCAATGCCACACAAACACACAAAGGCACACCTTTACACTACCATGTGAGAGTATGTGAGTGCGGGTGGCGGGGGTGTGTGTGTGTGTCTGAGAGTGCTAGCATACTTTCAGGCGATTGCGCCATCCTAGACCTATGTAATGTCCTTTAATTTTAACTATTTGGTTCCTAAACTTAGGATCTCACTTTCTGGATACTGTTGGGAGGTATATGGAGTTCAATTAGAATAATTAGGATGCACTTTGCTGCAAGGGCACTCCCATCCTTGATCCTCGAATTTTGTTTGTTTTTTTGGATTTATCTTAGCCCTAGAAGTTGTGCAATTCCATGCCAGCTCTCTATTTACCCGCTCGCTAATTGTAAATGCCAATCAGGGTGCAGCTGACAAGACAAAGCCAACTGTCTCCCGAAAAGCTGCGAAGAGCGGGGCTGAGTGGTCCGGGGGGCACGAGGGATCCGAGTCCTGTCTGGGGGAACGGGGGCACTAAGAGCAGAGTTGAGCTGGCTGATTGCTCCAATTGCCAGGCGCCCGGCACGCACGGTTGCCTCATACAAACTTGCAACTAAACAAGACCCCGGTGCTCTGTAGCTCCGTAGCTCGGTGGCTCGGGAGCAGCAACAACAATCGCTACTGTCAACGCACAAAAGACAGCGCTGACGTAACGAAACGGTTAATTTAGAGTGCGACAAGGACAACGACAAATGAAGGCAGTTCAAAAGCCGTCAGGACGAGATGGGATGAGGCTGGGGACGAGATGGGATGAGGCTGCAGATGGGCACAAAGAGCACAACAACAGGGAGCAGCAATTGCACTTGAAACAATTTTCCAAAAAATGATAATATGGGTAGGATTATCGGGATCCAAAAGCCCATTGAGTTATAAAAGTATATACTGTATTTTTCTCAGTGCATTGGCAACAGAAGAAGCAGCAGCTATTGTGCCATTTGCATAGGGGCGTGTTCGCAGCCCAGGATCTGCAATTACAAAGCACAAGCTCGAGATTGGGCACGGCCATGGTATGGGGCATCTGCCCCGAACTAAAGGGGGAATAAAGAATCCTGACAGGGTGTGGGGAGAAGCCTGTGTAGACTCGTATAAAACATTTTTTAGTGGTGCTGATGCCGGCAAATGTTTAGAATTTAATTAGCCACGCTCCCTGATTATGCGTGCATGAAATTAGAGCCGTCGAATGGTGCCCTATAAAGTGTCTACCGAAGTGCCGATGACAACAATCGCTAGGAGAGTAGAGGACCCAGGAGCTACTCACATCTGCAGGACCTCAAAGGGGTGTGGAGTCGAGGGTCCACATCCACAAGAGCCGCGGCGGAATCCAATTTCAGTTTTATTGTCGAAATGAGAAGAGAATGGGAAGTTAACCAAAATTTAAAAAGAAACCTTTAACATGTTTACGGTTTTGTGAAACTTGATTCTAAGATTACTGTGATACTATTTAGGCAGATGTCCTGGATGAAGTACCTCGAGCTGCTCACCAGGCCCGGTCATCAACTCCTCCTAGCCAGTGCAGACTGCTCCAGTCACGTTGACAAAGCAGAAACAATGGCCGACACTTCAGCACTTTCGTTTTCCCGCTCGAACACTTGCGGAAAGTACAAAATAAGTAAAAAACACCTCGCCACAGACTCGTCGCCTCGCCAAACACACATTTTGTGGATTTTTATTTATTATTTTGCTTCTTGTTGCCTGCAACACCCCACCTTCCTGCTCCCCCGGCAGACGCCACACAATTTGCGACTCGCACTCAACATGAAGTGTTTTTTGGTGCGGTTTTTTCGTGTTGCATGTTTTATGTTTGTGGATATGTTCTCGTATATTTTTAGAAATTGTTTTAGTTGCATGCTTTACTTTTATGTGGGGTTCTGTGACAGCCGGATGAAGAGGGCGAGAAGCCAGCGAGCTTTCAGGAGTCAGTGTGCACCGTTCGCCCAACAGGACGATGCTGCGATGACAGATAAGTCACATATTGTTCGGAAAGAATCCTGGCTGTGAGTGTGTCGTCTAAATCGGGTATGGTGGATTCTTTGGGATTAAGATTTATGGCTGGGTTGTATGAAAATAACTTTAATACATAGTTTCTGCTTTTGGGAGTTTGATTTCTTTATAAGTAGAAGCCATAATTAAATCTGGAATGGTCCTAAAAGTATTTAATATCTGGTCTCTTATAAATATGACCTTCCTAATACTGCAAAGGCTTCAAATGCAAAGAACTTTTAGCTCTAAAGAACCTTCCAGCTAAAAAATCTTTATATCCTTGAAGTTTAAACTTTCAAATCGATCTATTTGCAGTTTATCCTAATCCTTGTTGCTTGTTTTTTGGACTATCCATAAACCCAAGAGGACCTGCTGGTCGTTACTCCTCTTTCAAATATTAATCTGGCACAGCTGTGGATGTCATTCTGCTCAAATTGCATCCACTCCCATGCATGTCCTGACTGGGCACACACACACATACAGTCTAAGCACACACACTCATAGTTGATCGGGAACCCTGGAAGTATGCAACACTTGCCTCGGCCTCTTCTGGGCACATCTTTATTAATTATGCCAGCGATTTAATTAAAAACTTAACCAACTGCCGCCTTAAGGGCCGTGGCACTCAGCAACGGGATCGTCTCATAGCTCGTGGCCGGCGGACTGGTGGGGGCGCAGGATAAGGCCAGGCCAGGGGGCGTGGCATCCTCTGGGCAACTTGCTGGCACTGCACTTCCGCCAAACAAGGGCATCGGGTGTGGGCTAATTAAAATGCATTGTTTAATGCAAATAATGGATTATATATAGTTTGGCAGTTGCCAGTGTTTACTTACGGCGGCAGAGGCTGAGTGCCAGCAATCTGAGTCTCAGTTCGAGGCCTGCCGTTCAAGTGGTGCGGGTGGTTCATAACGGTGGTGATAGTGGTGCCCGGACTATGCCCGGGGTGCCTCGATTCCGGCGCCCAAACGGCGGCTGCAGGCGGCGCCTTAACGATTTTTGGCCCTTCGGCTGGTGTTGCAGGATATTGTGCCTCAGCCGGAGCCTGCGCCAAAAGAAGTTGCTGTTGTTCAGGTTGCACATTGACGCCATTGAACGCGGCCAATACTGGAGGTTGTTGACTCCCAGCCGGAGAGTTTTTATTGTAAACAAAAAACTGTGCCTGCGGTTGTTGCGGTTGATTTGTGGCAGGCTGATGTTGTTGTCGGTACTGCTGTTGCTGCTGCTGCCAATTTGGCACATTTTGGCCCAGTAAGTTGAGCAACAATGGCGCCAACGCTTCGCTGCCCGTGATTTGTTGTAGATGCTGTTGCAAGCCACCTTCCTCAATCATCTGGCCTTCTGCCCGTTGAATGGCCAAAACCCCATGGTTCCTGTAAGCAAATAGTGTACTCAATAGATTGGCCCACTTATCACTAATCACAGGAAGTGCACGGCAACAAAAAAAGGAGCTTAAAAAAGGCATTTTATGCCGGGGACGATAGCTAGTATTATACTCTAATAGCTTTAAAAACTATAAACTTTTATTTGAAATAGTTATTCAACAAGTCTTATAGGTTTTTCTATGTGCACTCATACTCACGTGCAAATCGACCTACTTTGTCAGCGGCTGTGCAAATATTTGGCCTCCAACTCCCCAACATGCCAGAGACAAGTGGAGCAGAATGGTCCAATTTGGATACATATTCAGAGGCTTGTCTGAGAACCGAGAACCTTCTGCGCAGAACTCACACTCCAAACTAATCGACTAACTAACCCATTTGGCTAAAACACATCAAATAATCTTCGAAATATCAAACAGAGAGAGAGGAGCTTGTTTCGGCTTTGATATTCGATTAAGTTTCTTGTTTTCAGGCATTAATTATTTTAGAGCTAATTATATATTCATATTAATATGCAAATATTATGAAGTGTGAACATTTTGATATGCCCCATTGGTTCTGGCATGGTAATTACCATTTCGGCTGTACACATCTAAGTGGGAACCCTATGGCGATTCTCCAGTGAGTGGAACTTAGTAAAGCTGGACAAAAAAAGGCCACAATTTAATTAAAAACAAGCATTTTATTAATAAGGTATGGGTAGAACTTGGAACAGATAATCTGAACTTTTTCCTACGATCACTTTAAGCGTCTCTGCCTTTAAATAAACTTTTCTCAACGCGCTTAATTTGGTATTCCTCTCAAACTGTTGTCCTTATTCCATATATCCTAGTACTTTCCGCCTGCATGGTGATAAATCGCTGCTAAAAATGTCAACCAGCCGCACAGACTGTCAAACTGTAAAGTGGCCCTTGGCTGAGCTTCAGCTCCTATTTGCCGCCTCTTCCCTGCCCCTTGGGCCAAATGTTTTTCCATTAAATTACAAGCCAGTCTCCCCTGTGCCCCATCCCCCACAACGACATCCCTCCGGCCGCATCATCGCTGGCCTTCGTCTGCGTGTTGGCCCGACCAGCAAAGTCATGAAATTTAGTGTTGGCGGCATAATTAGACCATCAATTGCGGAAAACTCATGACAGTCATGAATGGGCGGCTCTATCTGAATGTTGTGTATGTGTGCACTAGTAGTAGAAAAGCCACAAGAACGAGGGGGCTGTGGGCCATGACCAAGGGCTAGGCATACTCTGGAATAAAGTAATATGGCCCCAAAGCATAAACTCATCAGCGTCGGAAATGCTGACAGCGATGAAAGGACCAGTAACAGAAACAGTATTCTAATACAGTCAAAACTCTCTAACTATAACTCTAACTCTTACTTTACCTTTAAATGAGTATCCTTTCGATGGCATAAAAATAGAAATAAATTGGGGACCTGGAAAGTGGGAATTCTACTAAGCCTGGTTCGTTTTTATGAAGCCCCACTGTTCTTAACTGGAACTGTTGCATCAAAACCCGAAATACGGAAACAACAATGCCCCACAATAAAGTCGGAATGTAAAGCACAATACCTACTTTTGGCGCTCATATATATTCCCTCGAATATATGCGATGTCCTTGTGGCGGGTTCGCTTTCATTTTCCGCAGCTTTTCGGCTAGAGGCGCAAAAGTGTGAAATAGCTTCTACGTACTACATATAAATACTTGTATGTTTTTATGACGATTTTTTGGTGACTGTGTTAGCCAGCGGAGCGTGAAAGTTAAGCACATAAATTGCGAGGAGAGGAATTAAAAGCCCCAAGTGCATGGCATACTGTCCAAAAAACCAGAAAACACTTAAAATATGGCAACTGGGAGCGTGTGCGAGTGCGAATGCAAGTGAGCCGCTTTTTAGTAAAATTACACGCTCTAATCCACAACTTTTGAGTGGGCCACAGCCACAGGCCGCCCTGGCAAAGGCAAAAATAAAATATATACTTAAATGATAAAAAAAAATAAATCCAGTCGAGTGGCAGAGATGAAAGGCGAGTGCCTGGGGGCATCAAGGCTACAAGAATGCGCCAGACAGCGCCAAAGACCTAAACGCAAAACAAGCAACCACACACACAGTAATGTGTGTACGGGGCAGGAGTGCCAGAAAGTATGCAAAACATAATTCATGCTGATGGAATTGTATGCATGAACATATAGGGTGGAGCAGGGTCCTAGCCGCCCCCACTCCTGACTCCATCCGCCGGCTGGCTAAAAATCATATGCATCACGTGATTAAACGCGTCATGCATGAAAATGTAAAATATTGTGCAACCATATAGCTCCGACAGACAGAGTCGCCATCCAGGGGGCCCCGGGGTTAGCTTCTCCGCGCTGGCTGACTCAAAAAAAAGGGGAAAAATTAGAGACCCCGACCCCGCACACACTGTATTTACTTGGCTTGACTGCCAGTCTGGCATGCGACGGTATCCTGTATCCGTGACCAAAACAAACCATAGCCAGAGCCAACAAAACTCCTCGGTTAAAAATTTTGCACAATTTTTCCTCAACACCAGACCATTAGCTGGTTCCAAACGGATTTTGAGTTTCAACAAAATCTAAAATTGCACTCAAAATCATCTATTCATTTTTAAGTTTCTGGAACTCTTCAATGACGTTGAACTTTCTAGAATTTTCCAATTGCAACTCGATCAAGTAGGCTATGACTTTAAGTATTTTTTTGGGTTTGTGGTATAAATACCAGTGACTTCGAGGGAAGGAATTCATTCGCCGTCCGGCTTCTGAGCTGTTAAGTGCTTATTTTCGTTTTATTTTTATTTTATTTTATTTATTTCTAATTGATATTCACAATTTTTAATCTTTTTTTATCAATGAGTGCTTTTGAGTTTTCTTTTGGCTATTATTTCACTATTACCTTCTTCTATTGAAGAAGGGCCTAGAGCTGGTAGGACCCTTTTTTCTTATTTTTTTCTTTTAATTAATAATATTTTGCCATGGTTGGAGCTCATTCGTGTAAACTATGGTGCTGGATTACGAACATAAAAAGGATAAGTCTAGATTGAGTTTTTCATATTAATCTTTTACGTGTTGTACAATTATTTCTAATTTTAATTTATTCCAATAGATGGGCCATTTGACCTTATGCCAAGATAGTAAAATTGTATTTTTTATTTGTTTTTATTATATTTTTTTTTTAATTGTACTTTAAAGTTGGCTTCTGACCATTTGCTGCAGAACCTGTCGCTCTGATATAAACATGTACCAAGATATTGAAAAAGTGTTTTTTTTTTTATTTTACTTTAAAGTTTGCTTCCAAGTCGAATGAGATGTTTATTGCTGTTTACCTTTTTATTTTCGGATTTTGAGCTTTTAGGACCTTATTTTTTTACAGTTTTTCAAATATATATTTTTTTAATTAATAATAATATAATTTTATAATAAATTTTGTGCTTCTTATTAATCTGTTTTACGTTTTGTCCAATTATTCCCAATTTCAATTTATTGCAAAAAAAGGTCCTTCAAGAAGAAATGAGTCCTTGCCAAGAAATTAAAATCCAAGATAGATTATGAGCTTTTAGGAACCTATTCTTTTTATCTTCGTTTTTTTTTTTCAATTTTATATTTATTTATTAATAATATATTATAAAAAAAACTGGTCGAATTTTCTTCCTGAGGCTGAGCCTTCCTGAGCAGTTTATAGCAAAGAATCCGTGGAAATCGTTTCGTGTGTTCTGGAGTTATAGCGTCAGGAAGAAAAGTCGAATTATTTTTATACAGTAGATGTTTCTATGAATTTTTGTTCTGTGTATATTATCTACCTTGCAAAAAATCGTTTCACTTTGTACTTTTTTAATATTAATTACAATGGGTTCTCCATATTCCAATATGGTAAGATAATCATTTTTTTTCTTAAACGGCCATAACTTCTAAGTTGCTTAAAACTTTTATTAAATGGCCAACCTGCACCTTAAAACTACATATCAACCACTTGAGTATTTGGGGCAGTCACTGACAGGAGGCCTTCATTAGCAAGTCCATTGAAATTTAGCATGCACTGTATTCTTTAAGGTTGCTTCCTTCGAAATGGACTCGCTCGTCCTGCCAAAGAAAAAATGGAAACTTTGCTTTGCAGCAAATCAGCGAAAGCGCCAACAAACTATTAAAAACTTTCGCAACAAGAAAAACTTGCAGGACGAAGATTTCGACACTCCCACCGCTCGTCCTTCGGCTCTGGCTCCTGTGCCGCTTCTAGTCCTTCTGGTGACGGCATCCATATCTGACGAGTGCCAAAAAGCAAAAGTTTCCACTGCAAGTCCTGCATACAATGTTTGTGCTGATTGCAGCACAGCAAATGGCTTTTGATTTCACAAATCAAAAGTTTCTTGTGCGCCGCGCCGCACGTGATTTATGCCTGCGGCAGGAGCTGAGTCCAGATTCAGAGTGCACCACTCTGATGCAGGACTCAGAATGCAGGATGCAGTCTGCTGTCGAGGATCGCCGGCGACATGCACGAGCACCCCGCCCGGCCTTAAAAACTTCAGCCCAAGGGGAAAATGAGCAGGAAAACTAGGAAAAGGGAGAAAGCCCAGCTGAATAAGAACTAGCCAAAGAAGTATCCAATGAGCATTCCGGGGAGGAATACCAACTAAGTTGCCCATTTTGTTTGCAGCTTAATGCACATTTAGATTTCGCATCCAGCATTCGGAGCACCCTAATGGCAGCTCATCAGCAAGCCCGAATTCGCATTCTTAACACTTTCCTCTAATTGCCGGGAAAAGTTTTCCGCGAAAAGAAAATAATATGGCTTACCTTATGAGGCTTCAGGTGAAACTAGCTAGCTAGTAAGTGCACTCAAAAAAAAAACAGGCAATCATCGGACTATCTGGATCAAATATTTAATATATTTATTTATCTTAACACATAGTATTTGAAATAAAAGCATTTAAAATAAAACAGTTTATTTGTTTGACTGGGAATTGTTTTGGCTATTTTTCTTTTGAGGTTGCCTGTGGCATTTAATGCTTTAGCGTCTGCTTCTCATAAATAACATCAAATAATAGCCGTGGGTGCTAATAAAGTGCTGGGAACAACAAAAACGGACAACAGGAGCTAGTTGCAACACCAACTATATCTGCAACACTTGGCAACGCCAGCCAGCAACCTGCCACCCGCAGCCCTAAAAAGTTTTGTGGTCGTGCATCCGCTTAGCGGTAAATGCAACACGGTTAACTCTTTATGGCAGTTGGCCCTTAACTGTGAAGCTGGCAACAAACAGGAAGTACCCTCTGAAAAGATGCGATTTCATTGCTACCGTGTAGGATATAAGCATAACTTAAAGTGGCCTTAAATTCCTAAGGATACCCTTTACTGTCGGTTTGGTACCCACTTATCAGGTGGCTCTGTAGCCTCCTAACAAATTTAGGCTAATTAGTTGGACTTAAGCGCGGCTTATGTGTCGCCCCGCCACCCGCAAATGGTTAGCATACTTTCGGGCGGACGAGCATTTAATATATGTAATTGCAGTTGTTGTTCTTCCAGCCACCCTCCCAAAAAAAAATACTTTAAATGTTGGCAACTAATTTTTGGGTAGCAACTCGAAAATTATGCGGGTCTGGGTACGCAGAATGCAAAATGGGAATGGATAAGGGAAAAGGGACTAACCCTCATACGAACAAATTGTCAGTAGACCACAAAACATGCAAAACATTAAGGCCACATTCTAGCCTTTGCCACCAGCTCGCTCTTGGCCCATCTGGTGTGTCGTGTCATTGAAGCGAAAATGAGACATTTGCGACGCTTGTTTAATTAAAATAAATTTCAATTTAATCAAAATTTCGTCTGGATGTTGCTACCAAGGAGGGGAAATCATCCAAAACAAAAGCATGTCAGCACCATCACCGGAATTTCGCATTAAAATTTCCGGCATAGTTTTTCGGGCTTTCTGAACCAAAGAACCGAATTGTGTGCCCCGTCATCGCCCCTGACAACTGTCGGTCTCCGTGCTTTAAAATTCCAACAAAAAGTTTCGGAGCTGTCTTTCAACAAGCACCTGTCCCGACTCGGTGTCATGTCGTACAGGTGTCTAAGTGGGTGTGGCACTTAATTAAATCATTGTGTCAGTCTTTGATTAATAGTCGTGTGACAAAACATTTTCAGGACTGCGTGCGGCCCTGTCGAAATTAGATAGCTCTATTGTGGGTCTGAAATTTGTACAACAAGTAAATATCCAGTTAATAGTAATAGTTTTTGTATAACGCCACTTTTAAGAAACGTTAAGCTAATTGGTTGACGAAAAACCCCAAGCGCTTAATAAAAACATTCAAAATACAACCCTCGAAATACAAATTTTAAAATGCTTATCCAACTTCAATTTAAAAACATTTTAAATTCTGTTTATTCAAACAAGTGCCTGGTCAGGCGAGCAAAAACTTTCTTAAATCCACAGACTTTACAACTTTTATTTTAGGTTTTTTGTTTCATTTTTTCGCACAGGTGGGGTAATTCAATTAAATGCTTTGGCTTGAGAGAAAAGTTGTTCTAATTTAATTGGACGTTTTGTTTGCACTCGCCGCGAGTATTTTCATGTGGCCACTGTTTTTTGTAGCGAATGCTTTATATTCGATTTAGACCGCATGGCGGGAGGTGGACCACATGGCGTATGAGTTTCATATCACTCATACGCAGCGTAGCCGTATCGCTCATACGACGGTGGCCGTAATAAAAATGTAAGCGCTAATTGTCAAAAATGCTGGTAAATGCAATTTAAGTTTCTGGCCCCGACAAATGTTATTGCAATTAAAAAAACAACAGCGTTCGCGCGGGCAAGACCCCATTGGGACCATGAAAAATGCATATTTGGGTTTAACCGAAAAATAAACAAGGGCGGTGGGGGTTTGGGGGCTCGGACTACACATGTATTCACTGGAAATTCCTTTCCGCCCCCGCTGCTCTGTGGACACGGATCGTTTTTTGTGTGCCACGGTGCGGGGCGCTGAGCCGAAAAGTATGCAACAATAAATTTCGCCACGACGCAAGCTTTTCATTTATTTGAAATCCTGCCACGAATAAAGAACACACAACACACATTTCAACACCCCGCTGCGAAATAAAAAACTGAATTGTTTCCCAACTAAAAACATTTTGGATGCCAATTTTGTATCAATTTTCATTTGAAAGGGACGCAGACTTTCAAAAACTATCTAAGAGCGGGGGAAAATATTTACAATGGTTCTGTCTGTGGGCCAGGCACTTTGATGACCCTACAGTCAAGACTTGTTGCCGTTGCGGGCCATTCTTTCTGGCCAATTTCAGTTTATGGCCCATAAATTGTGTCGCCTCGGAACGACAGAGTTTTCTTGCCCGCTAGCTGGGTTTCTGCCTTTCTGGGTAGTTGGCTTGTTGGCCAATTGATTTGCATGGCTTGGCCGACTGTTAGTTAACAGCCAGGACAACTGTACCACAATTTATGGCCGGCCAATCGAAACAATTGCCTGACTCCTGGCCGATTGCAGTCATTCAGCCACAAAAGACTCCAAATGCACCTGCATTTTATGACTGTCAACTGCAACAGGCCAAACCGTTCTCTCGTCCCAAAAATCCAGGCTAAGTGCATTTTTTGAGTCTCGACTGACATGCAAATACTTTTCTCCCCCACCTCTGGGCGACTGAGATAAAGTTGATTTTTGATTTGCCAGCAGACTCACTGAGCCATGAGTCCAAGAAGCCATCCAAGTGACTTGGCCCGGCCTGCCCCTTCCAGCCGGGCGCCCCTTTTTGTGGCCAGTAATTACAAAAATACGATAAGGCTCCCAGCAATCCGCTCAACTGGAAAGCGAATTCAAATGCGAATATTCATAACTTGTTGATGGAAAATCATCAAAGTATAATGGAATATGTTATGGCAGATTATCGATAATGCATGTTTTTGTGTGTTTTTGCGAATGACAAATGGTCGGATGGCCACTTGATAGGCCGAACTGAATGAGAATTGCACATGAATATTAATTGTTGATCAGATATTTCGATTTAAATAATTACCTTGAGCACAGTTCGACTTGGATGCAGAATCTCAGAAAGACTTTAAAACATATTGCTAAAAAATTGTATGAATATTCCAAATCAATATTGAAATTTCTGATGTGGTAGTCGCATGTATTCGTCACTCAATCAATAAATCAGGACCCTTGAGCACCCAAGCCCTCTTAAGGGAACTTAAAGCACCGATGACTGGCGAAAGGGGTCTGCAGCCTGCCCCCCACTGGTAGCCCACTCGTTGTGGTCTGTATTTTGTGAATAGAAATATGAAAATAATCCTCAAGTGTCAGCCCGAGAGATTAGTGACAACAAACCAAAGCCGCAAAGCGAAATGAGATTTTTCATTTGGTATCAAATATCCGCAAAACCCAACTAGGAAAACCCAGTAAAACAAAAGAAAATCCAAAAAAAAATGAAAATATGTACAGCTTAAGCTGGAAGGGAAATGCAAACGAGTGCAATGCTCCGTGAATGGGAAACGTGGATGGAAAGGGGGTACTCAAGGGGTAAGCCGGGGCAAAGTGCATCGAGGAAAATTCTACAAACTGCAAACTACAGCCGCACAATGCCAGTACCCGGCAAATAAATTGCAATCAATTAAATCCAAACTGTCGCAGCGCGTGCCCCCTGATCCGAAAGATCCATTCAATCGGAAAAGAAGCCGCCTCTGGATAATGGGGCTTGGGAAGCACAATGAAATATTCTCTTACATGATATTATTTTTCTTTAATGGATCAGTTGTGAAACTTAAATAAAAACTCTTACACTCCTCTTTCATAAAAAAATCATAAGAAATCATGAAATATTATAATCTTTAATTTTATTCAATGCTCAGCACCTTTGTTCCACTGTGGTGCGCTTGGAGATGCTGCGTCTGGAGCAACGATCGCTTTTAGCCTCCAGTTTCAGCCTCTGTCAGTTGACTTTGGAACACATAACAGTGTGGTTATCTTAGCAGTCTCCTTTAAAAACGCTTTCAATGGAAAACTTTTACTGGCGCAACAAGGTAGCGGTGGTCACCGGTGCCTCCGTAGGAATCGGAGCCAGCACAGCGGTGGAACTGGCCAATGCCGGAATGCAAGTGGTTGGACTTGCCCGACGAGTGGAGCTCATAAGGGTGAGATCCAGTCGCAAATATCATCGAATTCGATCACCTATGGATCCTTACTAGGCCCTGGGTGAACAAGTGACTGGTGAAGGTAAGATCCATGCCCGTCAGTGCGACCTCAGCGATGAGGAGCAATTGAAGAGCACTTTTTCCTGGATTCGGGATCAGTTCAAAGCCATTCATGTGGTCATCTGCAACGCTGGCATCCTGAAAGCCAATTTCCTTAGCGGTAACTTGAAAATGCAGGTATTGGTATGAGGACTAACTGAAGCTTCTATCCCGGGGTCCAGAGTCGCCGACCAAGGACATCAAGGAACTCTTCGACACTAATGTGGTGGCCACGGCTACCTGCCTGCGGGAAGCCCTGAAGCAGATGGCAGCGGGAGGAGAACGTGGCCACATTGTGGTAATGAACAGGTGAGACAAGTGTCCTGATCTGTAAGTTTTATGTGTTTTTCAATTAAATCCGTATTAAGCCAAATAGCGGACGGATTGGCAGCCCAAATATTTAAGCTTTTAAAGGAAATCAATCAATCCATCGACTTATTGAAAGTGTTTGGTGTTGTACTGAAAGTGCTTGCCCATTAAACGAATAAGAAATACATGAAAGTCCATTGTCTATTGACTTGAAACAATTAGATACATCTGGAAAATTAGCACAACTGCAAACACCCAGGACAATCGACAATGGATGGGAGACGGGGGGCGGTGTTTACATAGCTAAAATAGGAAAATTGGGCTCAAACCGAAATTAGGACGCACACGGACACACAAAAGCGCTGTGCACATACAGGACCCGTGCCGATAGAGTTGGAGGTAAATCATTTTGCATACATATTTGCTTTATAGTTTTGCTTGCGCTGGGCAAACATTCCGGCCAAAAGCAGCTTCTGCCTTGAGTGCCAAAATATTTACCAAATTATGTCGTACCGGACGGGTTGGGCGGTTGGTTGGGTTTATTTCCGATCGGGGCTTAATGAAAGTGCAAACAATGCAGCCGACCAGGCCAGTCAATTGCAATGTTCAGTGTTGGTCAGCGCATGCATATTGCATTCAAAGAGGGGGCTGGTGTGGGGGTCGGACAGGGGAAAGCGGTAACGGGAGGTCTGGCGCGTTATTTAAATTAAATTAAAAGCCATGCGGCAAACAAACAGCACAACAACACAAACATTTATTGATATTTAAATGCAGAAAGCAGAGGGGCGCGCTCTTTTGGTGTTGCATGTTGCACGTAGGAGGGTGTACTTACAAAAAATTATGAAACATTTTGGAAAATTGTATATACATTTTTTTAAGGGGAGATAATGTAGATATGGGGCTTTAGAAATGCTGACTAAAATATTATTCATTAAAGCAGAAAAAAACATTTTTTTTTGTGTACTACTATGCTCCATGTTGCATGGTGTTGCGGTGTGTGGGCGATGCATTAAAAGCTTTGCATCGCCAATGTGTTTGCCCAAACAACAACAATAATAAGAACAACAACAACTCAATTATTCAACATAATTAAGTATTTTGCATTAAGCCGAATGCGTATTGCATTTGCATTTTGCATTCCAGCACTGCCAATCGCCAATCGCCGATGACGATGTGATTTTTATTATTTCATGGATTCCGATGCGCACCGCATTTAAAATCAAAAATGTTGCACATTAAGCCCCATGTTTGATTTGCGCTATGGCTTTAATTTCAAATTGCATTGATTTAATTTTAATGAAATTTACTTGAGTGGACAAACACACTCTTCCAGATAGCAATTATGGCCGTTTGCTCTCCATGGCCAAAAAGGCAAAATTGAATAATTGCGTATACGCACTGTGGGTGGATGCGGACATGCGTAAAGTGGAGGGCGTGGGTACGTGTTTTAACCCTTTCACTTCCCATTTTTGTGTAAATCAGCCAATATTTCTCAGCAAGCCAATATTTAATTAAATCAGACTGGTCTTTAAATTGTTCTTTTTTTTAAGTACACCTTAAATCTTTTACAAAACATCTGAAATTTGAAGTTCAATGGGTTTTTATTTTAAAATATTTGCCAGAATACCTATGGTACAAAATTAAAAGCAGAAATATATGATACACATGTATGTACATACATGGTAAGCGACGTTGTCACAAACTTACGTCAATGCCTGCCGCAGCTTAACACATCCTTACCGGTGGATGCAACATGAAAGTGCATTATAGACACACCGTAGAGTTAAATGCACGACATTTTCCGGCATAATGAGCCGGAGCCGGGACCGGACTCAAGCGTATTGTCCGCAACCGAATACAATTGTGAAACTGGCAAATGCGACTTCGAACTTCGGCAAACGTTAATTAATGGGAAAATGTATTTATTTTGGCCACGTTGCGAGGCAAAGACAATCCGGAGCTGCAAAAATTTACTGAGGCGTTGCTAATGAGCGTGTGACGTTGCGAGGGGCGTTAGCCCAGGGGGTGTGGCAAGGAGATGTCGTCAATATGCATTTCGCTTAATGTCAGTGCAATAATATTAAGACTTAATTAATTAAAAAATGCAAGAGGTATGCCGGCTGGAAGGCCAGCATCTGCAACGGTGTTGGCAGCTGTTTGCATTAATATCCCTGTCCTCCAGGACATGCCAGCGCGTCGTAGCCCCTTCTATGCACTCGGAAAAAATAGAGTTACCTTCAATAATAATACTCTTATAGTCGTTCTTCTTTTAACTAGTTGATCGAAAAGGAGAAAATAGTTTGTTGGAAATATATTTATTCGTGTTCTCTAGAATTTAGATATGGATACATAATCAAAATTTTTTTAAGTGGCATCGTTGAATTAAAAGAAGTTTACGCAATGTTTGCACAAAATGCACAGCGACATATGCAGGCAGGTGGACGCAGAAAACAGGAACAGGACATCCGCACACATTCTTTGAGGCATGCAAAGTGGTTGGCGGAGTGGGTGGAGACTCTATAGGTTCCGTCAGCTGCTGACCGTCATTTTTTCGCAAGTGTCCGGCATTGTTATTGTTGCTGCCTTTTAAGTGTTCCAATCCGTTGTGTTGACTTTATTTACCCACACTCGCTCACTTTTTTCTTTTTTACGGACCCGCCTTGCTCCACGGACATTTGATACAACAGCATTCTCGGACATCGGATTCCGGAAGTGCCGGTGCCCTTATTCAGCGTTTATCCGGCCACGAAGCATGCAATTACGGCCCTCTGCCAAACGGTGCGCCAGGAAATACATTTTCTCAAATTAAATATTAAATTAACGGTAAGTTAAATGCCGTGCACACACCGAAGGAGATACCCTCCTCACCCTTTCTCTCCGGCGAATATGGCAAACATGACGCGTCTGGTAACACAGGTAACATGCCACCTCCTCCTTCTTGCAGAGCATCTGCCCGGGCATGGTGGACACCGATTTCCTCAGTGTTTATTCGCAGGCGGTGGCTGAGCTGCCGAAGCTGCAGGCGCAGGATGTGGCCAAGGCCGTGCTGTATGCTTTGAACACCCCCGACGGAGTCCAGGTGGAGGACATCATCCTCCAGCAGATGCGGAGGGTCAATTAACTCATTTCAGGATGCGAATTTTCATTGATTTATATATTTCTCCGATTGAATGTAAAATAAATTTTCAGTGCGTTGCGTATATATTTTTTTCTTTTGTCTTCTTTTTAGTAAAATCTATCACCTAAAATATTTTAATTAAACAAGAAAGGAAAGCTTTTTTCGGTAACGAAACGATAGCGAAAGTCCAACGAATAAAAGGATATAATAAAAATATTCACAACAAAAAAATAAATAAATAAGATGACGGCGATCCGAAAAACAATTCCAGTTGCAGTTCCTCCAACTCCAAGCAAGACCAGTCCACTCCAGATACCATAAAAAAAAATAAAATAAATAAATAATATATTCACAAAAAAAAATAAGAAAATAAGTCAAGGTCGTCGATAAAGAAATCATGAAATTCCAACGGAAAAATTATCACAAAAAAAAATAATGAAATAAGAAGACGGGGATCCGAAAAAACAATTCACCAGTCCACGGTAGAGTCGACACAGACCAAACCCCAAAAGATATAGAAAAAAAAATAAATAAAAAAGGTTCAAGATATTCAAAATTTTTTTTAGATTTTTTGTCCATTTTTCGTGGTTGCCTTGACATTACTTTTGATCCGAAAAATTCACCAGTCCATGGTTGAGACCACCCAGAACAAACCCCAAAAAATATAGAAACAAAATAAATAAAAAAGAAAAAAGGTTCAAGATAAATTGAGCTCCACACAGCTTAGAGCGTTGAAGACGAATGAACTAAATTGGAGTCGAAAACGTCTGGAACGATTGTATGGCCCATCAAAGCCTACTTGATCCTAAAAAAAGTTTAAAAACTAAAACGTAACCCTATTAGCTTCAGACAGGTAACTCTGGCCACCGAAAGCTATGAGCCTTAGAGTTTTCAGGATAGGAAATGGCAACTTTTCATGCTTTTTATAACAAGTGGGACTGATTCTGAAAACATCGTTAGAGGATCACAGACTATATGTATATATTGTAATATCTTACCCAAAGAAACCGCTATTTAACTGCAATAACATATATGTATGTACGTTATTCCTTTCTTGGTTTATTATGACTTTAGAAAACAGCATTAATGGATGAAAGGAATTGTGGTTTTATTCATATCTATTCCCCTTTGTTCGTCAAATTGGGTTTATAACTATCAGGTCTATTCAAGCTTCATTGGGCCAACCGTGATGGCTATATCTTCCCCATTTCTTATCCGATCCTCAAGCGGAGTACCTTAAACGATTTTTAGATCGATTCTCCATCATTCTACATTAAAATCCTGCGAAAAAATATTTTTTATATTTTTCGTCCATTTTTCGTGATGGGATCCTTTAAAAATTGGGTTTTTTCCTATAGGGTCCATAGTGATTGCAATATCTTCCCCAATTCTCATCCGATTCTCAAGCGGAGTACCTTAAACGATTTCTAGATCGAATCTCCGTCATTCTGCATCAAAATCCTGAGACAAAATATTTTTTAGATTTTTTGTCCATTTTTCGTGATGGGATCCCTTGAAAATGTGGTTTTCCCCTATATGGCTCACAGTGATGGCTATATCTTCCCCAATTCTCATCCGATTCTCAAGCGGAGTACCTTAAACGATTTCTAGATCGAATCTCCGTCATTCTGCATCAAAATCCTGAGACAAAATATTTTTTAGATTTTTTGTCCATTTTTCGTGATGGGATCCCTTGAAAATGTGGTTTTCCCCTATATGGCTCACAGTGATGGATATATCTTTCCCAATTCTCATCCGATTCTCAAGCGGAGTACCTTAAACGATTTCTAGATCGAATCTCCGTCATTCTGCATCAAAATCCTGAGACAAAATATTTTTTAGATTTTTTGTCCATTTTTCGTGATGGGATCCCTTGAAAATGTGGTTTTCCCTATATGGCTCACAGTGATGGCTATATCTTCCCCAATTCTCATCCGATTCGCAAGCGGAGTACCTTAAACGATTTCTAGATCGAATCTCCGTCATTCTGCATCAAAATCCTGAGACAAAATATTTTTTAGATTTTTTGTCCATTTTTCGTGATGGGATCCCTTGAAAATGTGGTTTTCCCCTATATGGCTCACAGTGATGGCTATATCTTCCACAATTCTCATCCGATTCGCAAGCGGAGTACCTTAAACGATTTCTAGATCGAATCTCCGTCATTCTGCATCAAAATCCTGAGACAAAATATTTTTTAGATTTTTTGTCCATTTTTCGTGATGGGATCCCTTGAAAATGTGGTTTTCCCCTATATGGCTCACAGTGATGGCTATATCTTCCCCATTTCTTATCCGATCCTCAAGCGGAGTACCTTAAACGATTTTTAGATCGATTCTCCATCATTCTACATTAAAATCCTGCGAAAAAATATTTTTTATATTTTTCGTCCATTTTTCGTGATGGGATCCTTTAAAAATTGGGTTTTTTCCTATAGGGTCCATAGTGATTGCAATATCTTCCCCAATTCTCATCCGATTCTCAAGCGGAGTACCTTAAACGATTTCTAGATCGATTCTCCAGCGTTCTGCATAAAAATCCTAGGCCAAAATATTTTTTAGATTTTCCGTCCATTTTTCGTGATGGGATCCCTTAAAAATGTGGGTTTCCCCTAAATGGCCCACAGTGATGGCGATATCTTCCCCATTTCTTATCCGATTCTCAAGCGGAGTACCTTAAACGATTTCTAGATCGATTCTCCACCATTCTGCATTAAAATCCTGAGACAAAATATTTATTAGATTTTCCGTCTATTTTTCGTGATGGGATCCCTTGAAAATGTGGGTTTTCCCTATATGGCCCACAGTGATGGCTATATCTTCCACATTTCTCATCCGATTCTCAAGCGGAGTACCTTAAACGATTTCTGAATCTAATCTCCATCATTCTGCATTAAAATCCTGCGAAAAAATATTTTTGAGATTTTTTGTCCATTTTTCGTAATGGGATCCCTTGAAAATGGGGTTTTCCCCTATAGGGTCCATAGTGATTGCAATATCTTTCCCAATTCTCATCCGATTCTCAAGCGGAGTACTTTAAACAATTTCTGAATTAATTCTCCACCATTCTGCATCAAAATCAGGAGACAAAATATTTTTGAGATTTTTTGTCCATTTTTCGTAGTCCCTTAAAAATGGTGTTTTCCCCTATAGGGTCCACAGGGATGGCTATATCTTTCCCAATTCGCATGCGATTCTCAAGCGAAGTACCTTAAACGATTTCTAGATCGATTTTTCACCAATCTACATCAAAATCCTCAGACAAAATGTTTGTTAGGATTTTTTGCCAATTTTGGTGATGAGATCCCTTGAAAATTGGTAGTACTTATGACACCTAAACACCTGAGACTAATTTTAATTGCCATGCATTTTACAGCGAGTTATAATGACTCCTTAATAAGCTGTGTTGCAGTCTATCTACTCAGAATAATTAATAATGGCGGTTGATTAATTCAAATTTAATCCGCTAATGTAAAAAAGCTGCCAACTGATTCCATTATAAGCCCAAAAATACCAAATGGACATTACTCATTTTATCGATAGTTTCACGAACTAGCAAAAAATACCAGATGGACCGTTTCAGAAACAGCAAAAAGGCCAAATAACAATTATTACTTCGCGGTCACACTGGAAATGTGCTAACATCATTTTTGGAGCCTTCGAGTTTGTGGTAAAAAATATACAAAGCTAATCAATTCGCACAGGGGTCGTTTATCCGCAGCGACCAACAGTACTGATGAAAGAACAATGGACTCCCATGCGGCAGCAACAGCGGCGACAGCGAGAGAAAAGCAATCGGGCGTCCGTGGACCTGCGACCCCGAACGAATGCGTCCACGTAGTGCAAAATCGGAAGCGAGTGTCTGAAATTTCTGTCTGGCTGGAGGGGTGCGGGTCCAATTTTGTGCCGAAAAAGGGGTGCGGCGGGGCCTAGGCTCCACAGTGTGATTACGAAATGTGCCCACGATCAAAGGAACAGCGAATATTATAAAGTATAATGCGTGTGCTACCACGTAGTTCCACACGGACACACACCAACACACGCACGCGATAGCACTTATTAGCAGTGGCTTAGGCGGGATTCATGGAAGGGGGATCCAATAAGAGAAGAGACACTTCTGTAATCATCCGATTGTTTCAAAGTTACAAGAATTCTTTAGTTAAAATACTTCAGAACACCCCCTGTCCTACGCCACTGCACACACAGACACAAGAGACAGCAAACAGAAAGAAAGTGGTGCCCAGTGGACAAAGAACAGGTTTTTAACCTAATTATAAAGCCCCGAAAAAGTCAGTTCTACAGCACTCGCATATCGGACACGGCCGCGGAATAGGAAGCAATAACATAGCGGCAGTGGGGGCTCTGTCAGTGTGTCAAGGCCCCGGAAGCAGCTAGTCTACCGAAGTGCTTGTGATGTTCAAAATTGATTTTCAATAAGTCGCCGCCGCTGTTGCTGTTTCTGTCGCTGGACATTGAACTTGAATCCGCGAATTGCGCACTAATGCACTATATTTCTTTCTATTTCTCCCATACGATCCGATCTGATCCGATCAGTCTAGCGCAGCAGCTCTCTTCCCCCCACAAAAACAACAACACACACACTCAGCTACTTCGGAGCTACCACTAACCACCCCGCAACCAAAACCAAAAAGAAAACAGGACACACGCCAAGATGTTCATCTGGGACTGGTTCACCGGAGTGCTGGGATACTTAGGTAAATATCGGGGACCAAGGCTTCCTACGCCGCCACCGCCTGTGAGCTTCTGGTGACATTGTGCGGCCAAGGCGGCTGAGAGAGCATTTCTTGAGCGATTGCCAACAAAGCAGCGCGACAGACAAAAGAAACTGAAATTTGACTGATATACACAGACGAGGTCAAGACAGTAGCACCGAAGATATCGAGAATATTATACGATATGATATGAGTCATAGTCGAGAGTTACTTATGCTATGTAGCATACGTTTTTATCTTTAATGTTAATTTAAGTAAGCTCTTATAAAAATGTAGAAAAATATGTAAATTAATTGAATTTTTAAAAGTCGAAAGCTTAAACTCAAAACCTTTAAAACATTTGAGCGAGTTCTATGTCGTTTTTTTAACAAAACTGTGTATTTTAATAGAAACGTGACAAGGTAAACACCTTACACTAGACGCTGCTTTGTTAGCTTAGCTGCGTATATAAAATTTGTGACGATTTAGACCAGAGACTGGCATTCAACACTTCCCCATTCATTCCAGGTCTGTGGAAAAAGTCTGGCAAACTGTTGTTCCTCGGCTTGGATAATGCTGGCAAAACCACACTGTTGCACATGCTCAAAGATGATAAGCTGGCTCAGCATGTGCCCACCCTGCATCCAAGTAAGTATACCTCCATTCAATTCCCCTCCAAATTGATGAGTATTTCTGTAATCCGTAGCATCTGAGGAGCTGTCGATTGGCAACATGCGCTTCACCACATTCGACTTGGGTGGCCACACTCAAGGTAAGTTTTGGACATTCTACTGATACACCGGAGCAGAACGGCAAGAATTTGCATTATTTTTTGTGCGCATCTATAAACGTGCCCACCGGCTAAATATAGACCAGGGCGACCCATGCAAAACACTCAGATTCGACGACAATCAGCATGAAATATAGCGCAGCGGGTCACCCATACAACCGCAGGGCTTTATACTCTTAACATTTGTTGCGTTCAATCAACGCTCGCTCGTGAGCCCATCCACCCAGCAATTACAGTGGGTTTTGGATCATACATCTCAACCATAAGAAACATTTTCTTTATAAGCAGAAGTAGTAGCTACTAATTCCTCCAAAGAGTATTAAAAACTTGCTCCAAGTCCAACCGTTTCAAAGCCTTCACAATCACTGTGCATCTATACTCGAAATATTTAATAATTTATTATAAAGGCACACATTCTGTGTAGATAACAAGCGTAAATACGATGTGTGAAAAAGAAAAACGTCACAATTACATAAAATACGAGTTTACTGAGGGTGTATAAATAGGTATCTTAGGGAAAAATAGTTGCGAATTATGAAATCAGTGGCCTCTCGCATGCAATTGGTATTGATTAGCACAAGCGCCGCCCCATTAGTATGCGTACATGGCAAACGAACTTGTCATGGTGATGTGACGATCGCTCGGAACCAGCTAACCATGATCGTGTAAAAAGATTCTAGCTACTCGGCCTGGTTTTGTTGTCTCAGCGTGGAAAGATATCAAAACACAAGTGCTGATAAGGAAATTTTTGTTTAGCTTATTATATATTTAAACTAATTAAAGGCTTATTTTCAAGAGTAAGATAGTGTAACTAATTTGGAATGTTTTCCTTTCAGCACGCCGAGTCTGGAAGGACTACTTCCCCGCCGTGGACGCCATCGTGTTTTTAATAGACGCCTGGGACCGCGGCCGATTCCAGGAGAGCAAAAACGAGCTGGATTCGCTGCTCACGGATGAGGCACTGTCCAACTGCCCCGTGCTCATATTGGGCAACAAAATCGACAAGCCCGGTGCAGCCAGCGAGGATGAGCTGAGAAATGTGTTTGGGCTGTATCAGCTTACAACCGGCAAGGTGAGTTGGTCCTTTAGGATATGTTAGGGATTGTATACTAACCATTGTATTGCTCTTTTGTCTTTAGGGAAAAGTGGCTCGTGCTGATCTGCCTGGCCGCCCATTGGAATTGTTCATGTGTTCCGTACTGAAGCGACAGGGCTACGGTGAAGGTTTCCGTTGGTTAGCGCAGTACATTGATTAAGTCAGAATTAACTACCACCAACCACCAACTCCATAATTCAAAACACACAAAAAATCGACAAACCGAGATATGTTTCCTCCAAAATTTGTAATACCGACGAAAGAGATGAACCAACTGAACCCGAGAACCTTAAGCAAAACGAAGCTGCGTGCGCAATTTCTAATTTATACAAAAACACAATTACAAAATACTTCATAATACTTCAAATGTACATCTGTAATTAAACAAGACACTGTTTAATCCAGCCACAACACAACAAAAAACAGAAAAACGCAAGCAAAAAAAACAAAACAACATCAAAAAATGTAAACATCTTTTCTATCTAGAAGACCATCAGGATGATGAGGAGACGAGGATGAAAAGAGTGCGCAAGGGAAAACTTTTAATCATAATTATGAATAACAAATTGTAGCAAATTAAAGGTGATTTATTTAAGAGCATGTGCTTTCACTACCGAGACACGCTGTTCCATAAATAAAATTTAGCTATCTACCTTTTATTTAAAAATTTCTAATTGTAAATGTCACGATTTATTAATTCCTTTAGTTTAGTTGGCTGCAAAATATTATACATCCATTTTATATCCTATCCCGCCCTTCCGTTTATGGTAAATTTTAATTTAGCTAAAATTTTTTAAGTTGCATGTCATCGATGTACTTTGTTTACTTTTTTTTATACATACAAATCAAAGAAAAACAACAAAGGGAAAACAATTTATTAAATAAAATCGCATTTTTGTTTGCAAAAATAATTCTAAATAAAACGGAAAAAAGAGTTTTGTAAAATAAAAATATGTCCTTGTTTTATTTTTGGCTTTAAGATCTGGAATACCTCGAGGAGAATCAATAAAACACAGCTTATTTTTACAAATATATTGGATTTATTCTTGTCGCATTTAAGATTTATGCTAATGAGTCACGTTGGAGCATTTATTTAAATCAGGGAGCAGGCTTTATGATGGGCGAGCTTTACACATTTAAAGAGGACTGCTGCTATTACGTAGAAAAATATTACAAAACTTTGAAACGGCCATTCGGCTAGGAGGTGGTGGTTAGCGCTGCTAGCTGCGGCGACAGAGGCGCAGACGCCGGCACAGCATTAGCTGCCGGTGGAAGAGACGCATCAGTAGGCCCCTGCGCTTGATGCGCTCCCTACATCAGGAACGCATAGAGCCGCCCATAGAGCCGGAGCCACCGCCCGCCATGCGTCGCTTTTTCTTCTTTTTGGCGGTTAGGCTCTCCTGACCGCTATCCGTATTGGAATCGCCGTCGGACGACGCCGCATCCTCGCTCTCGGACGATGAGGAAGAGCTGCTCGAGGAGGAGCTTGAGTTGCTCGAACTGTCCGAGGCAAAGCCGGTGCTCTCGTTTATGTTAATACTATCGGCTATCTGGGCGAGCTCCGGGCGCTGATCGCGAAGCACGCGCAGCCACTTCCGAGACAGTTTCGGCCTCCCCCTAACCGTTTTGTGCCAGACACATGGAAAATTGGTCTGGGAGCTGAAGTTCTGGGTTATGGCGATTGTGTCGTCCAGGTTGAGTACCACATGCCACCAGCCGCCAGGCACAAACACCGTTTCCCCCTCGCCCTGAAGAACCTCTATGGGCCGGAACTGCTCCGGCCAGCTAGGGAGCTTGGTGCGCGGATAAACAGTGCTGAACCAGGTAATGGCCTCATCTCTTTGCTTTCCACCCATGGCACTGGTCACTTTAAGCATGTCCTTGGGTGTTTGGGTGGGAAACAGGCACCACCGCTTGTGACCGCGAATGAGGGTGTTCCAAGCACTGGTGCCCAGCGGATCTATGTGGATTCCGGTCCCAGATCGAGCAGGTCCCATAACGAACCAGCGGTACGGCGGCCGTCGGCTCTCCCCGCAGTATTGAAACAGATCGTCCCGAAAGTACTTGGGAACCACATAGTCGTCCAGCAGCTTTCTTCTCCGATGGTGTTCGCCGAAGCTACTGTCAAAAATGTACAGCGGACTGTCATCCCGCGTGGACTGCATATATTCCACGTAGTATTTCATTTTCAGCTTGACGCTATAGCCTTCGTTGTCTTCGCCGCACTTGAACTTCTGGTTGCGGTATTTTTTTGCCAGGCGGGCCATGGTCCATTTTTCCAAGGCCAACCAGCCATCGGTGCAGCCGCGGATTACTACCGGCTTGTAGGGGCGCTCGAAGCGCTCGATGAACTCCTCGCACGACACCTCCGAGTCCTCGATCCGCTCCAGATTGTCCGTGAAGTCCCAGAAGGGCTCGAAGTTATCGCTGTACCGCATTGCTACCCATGCGTTGTCGCCATCCAGCTCCGGTCGGGCTTTGCGCTTCACTTCCCGAGTGCGCTTACGGGAGCGCTTTGGCAGTTTGAATTCCTCGCTCATTCCGGCTCTTTTTGCTGCTTATATTCTGGTAAAAAATGAATTTTCTAAATTTCTAAAGCAGCAAGTGGAGTACGTGAGCGCTGTGTGACCAGGCATCGGCGGTCAAACAATACTGAAATAAAGCGTATATATACTGGTATTAAATATACTGTTTTAATGGCGCTTTGAATTATTTTCCAACATATAAGCTGGGATATATTATAGAAAGCGTAAATTATTCTTTAGAACTATAGTATTCATAAAGTTACCCAGTAATTACTTTTTTAAATTCATTTACCAAAACAAATATACAAATTTAGTATTTTTTCTCACCTGTTCTATTTTGAAACTGTACAATGAGTAGGCGACAACCCTACACTCATGTGACAGCTGTGGGAAAATAATGATAAGCCAAGTTGGACGAGGTGATACCTTAAAAAGAAACTAAGAAAACACTACTGAAAAATTACTTCTCCCTATTCTCGTAGAACTGTACAAGGTGCCGCTTCGCATTCTAGACCACCGGGTATTCGTCAACGGCGAGATCGAGTCATTTCTGGAAAATTTTGAAACCCGCAGGAACGACAGCGAAGTGGAAAAACTTTTCCAGGTCGCCGAAACTGTGGGATCTCTCAAGTACGATCTCTCTGATCGCTGCATTGGCTCTGGAAGCCAGAACCTGACCGACCTGGGAAGTGAGGTAAACCAGCTTCTCGAAGGAGTCAACGATCTGTTGGCCAAAGCGAAAGTGGAACGAACTGTGAGTGGGTCACCAGAGCAACTTATCATTATTGATTGGCATTCCCTTTCTTTTTACCAGCCCAGCACTCGGCTTCAGGAGGCTCGACTGGCACGTGAGAAACGCCGGGCTGAATTTTTGACCAACTTGGAGCACGGCTATCGCCGTATCGAGAATTCCTTCGAGGAGAAGGAGGAGGAGATTGCTGAACTTTACTCAGACCTCCAGCTGAAGCTAAACATTCCCAAGTAACCGGCCATGCTTAAGTCATCGATCGTAGATACCAGGGTGCGCCTGTTACCCTCGCAGAAGCTGCTAGACTTTCTGGAGGAGCACAAGCAGCACTATCATGAAGTTCCCAAGAACGTGGCCAATATAATGAACCAGAAGGGCTACTCTTTGCCCCTCAGTACAAAGATAATCAACCCCCAGAAGAATGTCATAAAGCGTCCGAAGATTGATTACAAACTGCTGGAAAATCTCACATCCGATATAGACGAAAGTCCAGAGAAGCCTGTCGCAACCAACTTACCCGAAGTCGAAGACGATGAGAAGCCACCTGAACAGCACAAGATGGTTCTGTTTTTAGAAGACATCCACTGGCTGAAGGATACCTTGGATGAGCTTCGCAAGAGCGAAGTTAGTGAGGTGTTCTTGCACGAGTTAATCGAGACCTGTGACCTAATTTTGCCCGAGAATGAGTTCAAGCCACGCAATCCGGATCTGGAAGCACGCTGTCAACGTCTGCGAGAGGAGCAGCATAACAGAGAGTACCAGAAGATGACCAAGAACGTGGACGCTGGCCTAAAGAACTACCCCGAGGACACCGTCGCCTATCAGCGTAGGGGAATCTAGTTAATATATTTTCAGACCTTTCCTTAACTCTCTATCACATTTCAGTCAAGAGCCTGAACAAACAAATCATTGCCGTAGTTCAGTTCATCTTCTCGGTGGCCGCTGGTTTTACGTTTGGCTTCTTTGGAGTTAACCTGATGGTGGGACCATTGCCATTCGGCTTTCGTATACTGTTGGGCGTGATTGTGGCACTAATCATTGCTCTGGCCGAGATGTACTTTTTGGCAAAGAAGTTGCACGAATATGATGAAGTATTAGATGCACCGAAGCGCAAACAGGCGCAGGCAGCCACACCATCAAAGCGTCCGGTTCAGGCCAAGACAAGCGATGTCCAAACCTTAAAGCCCCATGCTGATTAGAATATCACATACTAAATTTCTTTATACAAAAAGACACACATTTTGGATTATTTCGCGTTGCAATTTAGGTTATATAAATATGTAGCTGTAAAAATTGTATTCTTTGCGGGAGAGGGATTGGATACGTATGTATACACTTCGTAATGCTGCTCTGCTACTCGTAGTGCGGCTGTGGCTGGGGATTAGGGTTGTTCCATCCCTCGTCCATTGTGTCGGTTCCGCCACGCCCCAACCAGGCCATTATGTAGATGAACAACACAAAGGTTAGCATCCCGGCAAGAACCAGGAACCACGTGCGACGCCAAGGTGGCCGAGAGGAGGGCGCATACCAGCGCCTCGTCCAACGCGAAAAAAGCTCTGCGGGCGTACGGCGCTGGTATTTATTATCATCCCGATCCGTTCCGCCAATTGGAGACTGACGTGGCAGAAGAGGTCGTCGGCTGCTCGCTGTTGGAAGAGGTGACATTAGTACATACTTCTGGATCAACCCAGTAATGATTTTCTACCGTAGTCCCCTGCGCTAGGCGGATTAAAGGCGTCCATTAGGAGTACGGAATGTGGACTCTGGGCGTCGTGGCCGTTGGGCTTCGTCCGCTCACGCTCTCCACCGGAATGAATGTGGTGCACTTTGGTCATGTTGCTGACTGAAGCTTGACTTGCTGCCACCTTTGGCTTAATCAAACTACTTCCACTACTCTGATCATCGGAGAGCTGAAGATGAACCCATCGTTTTAAATTGGAAATTTTTAAAGCTCGACTCTTAGCTTACCAGAGCTAGTCCCAAGCCGTTTCGGCCCCAGTTCACCTGAGCAAGGAAGTTTTTCAGCGCCTCTGCCACGGGAGATACAAGGTTGGAATTGGGAAAGATCTCCACGCTGCAGGCGGGGCACTGGTGGCCACGCGGCGCTGTATTGGCGGGCAGTGCAGCTTGCCGAGCATTCAAGCAGTCCCAATGATATACATCTGAAACATTAGGATCAGTTATAAAAGGATATAAAACGAGTTAGCGGTAGAGGGACTCCTTACGGTAGCAGACCAGACGCACACAGTCACCCTGCTCCAGTGTGGTGCCGCACAGTGTGCAGTTGGATATGTAGTCGCTATCCCGCAGCCACTGAAGATACGATTGCACGATGCACTGCCAGCATAGAAAGTAAATATATAAATAACGGCCTATTGAATACACCCACTCGGCCTACCTTTGGGTGTGATTGGACCATACAATGTTCGCAGACGTTGACGCGGTGTTCGAAGCAGAACTGATTCGTCACCAGTCGTTTGGGGCACTTGCACAGACCCATTTTTGGAGGATATCGAGACGATTGCTAGGCGATGCGAGAAGTGCACTTGGTGCGGGGCAGGGGTCTATTGCATAGTATAAAGGTTTTGTCGGTTTTTATGTGCTTTGCCACTTTTTGCAAACTTGTTGTTCCTTTTCCTAATTCATCAGCCACGTATCCAGTGTGACCGCAGACGGGCGGTGCAATATACTGAAATGTATTTTTTCTTTTTTCAAAAATACCGTTGTTCTATCAATCAATTTTTTGAAATATAAAATCATAGGTTCTTATAAACTTCAAAATTGTTAATTATAATTGTAGTTAATTATAATCTTTATGATATTAAACTTGAAACCTATTTATTATCATTTATTCTTTTCTTTGAATTTTCAAAACTGTTGGAAAATGTTGGATGCCGGGTGGAATATGTTTGGATAAACTCTACCATATTCATTATAATATATTATGATAATATTAATAATAATAAATAATATTATTATAAAATAATAATATTATTATATATGCCATATTTTCCTAATATTGTTCATCTATCTGCCATATTCTCCATATTGTAATAAAAATGCCATGATAAAATAAATTAAGTTTTAATTTATTCTACTTTTTCAATCCAACCAGTCTCGCATATATTCACAGGTTATAGCTGTTACATCCCCGCAATTTGAGCAGTTCTTTATCACCGGGCATATCCCGCATGGCATCTGCACCAGGCCAGTCGGTGCCAGAGGAGAGTTCACAGCTCGATAGACAAAAGAACCATCCTGCAGACGCACTCGTTCGGCGTTTCCATCGTATACGACAGTTTTAAGGATCGTTTCCAGATCAGCTTCTGCTAGGTTAACCTTGCTGATGCCCAGATCCGATATGAATTTGTGCACCTCGTTTACTGTGCAGCAGGACATCTGCTTGAAGGCCAGGGGACCTTCGCGCTTTTTCTCCGCACCATCGCGCTTCATTTGCAGAAAGCGTAGACATTGCTGATTGAGAACGTCGACAAACTCAACCTCAAAGTCCTGATCCTGGTACCAAGCGCCTCCAGTGATCGAGAGATCAGGCTCCAGATTGTACAGCATGTATACCTTCTTTTTGCTAGCCTGCGAATTCAAATGGATGAAAGTACTGCGAAGATATGGGGAGAAACACTCTTACGTTCACCGACTTTACAGCCTTAATAAGCTTTTTGGTCTCCAGGTTTTTGAGGATCTTGTTCAGCTGGATCATATTTAAATTAGACTTCATGCGAATATCCCGGATCCAGATTCCCTTATTGCCGCCCTCCTCGACGATACCGTAAACGACCTTCTCCTCATTATCGGCATCCTTTGGCAGGGCGCTCTTTTTCTCTGGGTCGCGGGCGCGGTACACCAGCTTTTCGCCCTTCTTCAGGATTTCGATTCCACCTTGTTGCAGTAAAATATTTAGGGCTTCCACCCGGGTGGCTGGTGCAATGTCAGGAAGTGCTTTGGTCAGGTCATCGTTTGTCGCGCCGTTTGCTATGCCTTGGATCACCGCCAGCAGCAATTGGGACACTTCTGCAGCCATGAATGTCTTGGTTTTTAATGTAAATATAGTCAACAAAAATTTAACACGTTTGCGGTGAGAAGAAGAAGAACAATAACAAACCGTCTTGGCCTTGCCAGTAAGGCGGATATTACCGCTTTCGGACACTGGTTCATGTGGGCTGGCATATTCGTTGTACAACACTGGCCGGGTTGTGTATACCAAGAAGTTTGTGCGGCGAAATTAACAAATCAAAATTCGCAAACGAGAGTGGATTTAGTCAAAATATTAGCTATGGAGCCTACAAAAAGGCTGTAGGAGGTAATCCGGCTCCTTGGGCGTGGCAAAAGAACTGGGTTGGCTGGGTACGAAGCCGAAGATAGCCCCTTTTTGCATTAATAATACATGCAGCTGAGGTGCCGACGCCACGGAAAAGTGTGGCAGACGCAAATTGCAAAAAAAAAGAAGAAGACAAGCGAAGCGGAGAAAAAGAGGCCGAGGAAAAAAACGGCAAAGAAAGACACGAGTAGAACGCGCGGCAAAAACTAACATAATAGCTTTAAAAAAAAAGTAACCGAGTAACTATCTTTTCTTGCAGAGATATACCGAAGATCAGGGCTAAGAAGCTGCTGGCCACCGGTCACCTATGGGAAAGAACGCATCCAACACGAGCCCCAGTTCCAGTGCAGAATCCTCTTCAGAAACTGAATCATCCAGCGTCCAGGAACGTGATTCGAAAAGAAACCAACGGAATCCAAAGTCCACAAAAGATGTCGATACAGCTGGATCCAAGGGAAGCTCCAAAGGCAGCAGCTCAGAGGAAAGCACCAAAAGCAACACCTCAGAATCTCCGGCTGTAGATTTTCAATCCGAGGAGGATTCGGAACTGGATCACAGACAGAAGCCTGCCGTGGGACAAATTCGTATTGTGCCGCTAGAAAAGTTGCTGGCCACTCCTGCCAAAAAGATACGAACCAAAATTACACCCAGGAGAAACTTGAATATTGTTTCAAGCGAGAATACCGAACTTGAACCAAATAAGCGCCCAGCTAGGCCTTCTCGCCAGACCGGCAATAAGAGCCCTATCATTGAGCTAAGCGACAGTTCTGAGGACTTAGAGGACGAGGAGCTGCTTGTCCCGTTGGTTCCATCAAAAGCCGCCAAAAAACCTTCAGAGCCTCCTAAGCCAGCTAAGAAAAAAATCAACTTAAGTGTTAAACGCTGCCTGGTTCGCTTGAAACGAGTGTCACTACCTAAAAGCGTTCAAACAAATCGCAAAATGAGCTCCGAATCTGAGGCGGAAGCGGCCACTACTTCTAAGAAGAGCAGACCAAGTCGGCGAACTAAGAGCGAGAGTGAGGAGGATTCGGACTACGAGGCGCCTGCTACTGACGGGGAGGATGAGGAGGAGAGGAAGTCCGAAGGCGAAGACGATGAAAACAAGGAGGATGAGGAGGTGGCCAACAATAGCAGCGACAGTGAGGTGATGCCGCAGAGAAAGCGTCGAAAACAGAAAAGTGACTCTGACAAAGGTTCCTCCGACTTTGAGCCGGACCAGAAGCAGCAGAAAAAGAAGCGCAAGCGGATCAAGAAAAATTCCAGCGACGATAGCGACGGGGACGATGAAAAGGCGAAAAACAAGCGAAAGCACATTAGGAAGATAATTAAGACCAAGGATTTGGATGTAAGCACTAAGGAAGCTGGCAAGGAGGAGGAGGATCGTAGGAAGCGCATCGAGGAGCGTCAGAAACTGTACAATCGCATATTTGAGAAGTCTGAGAGTGTGGAGATCACCGAACTGGTTCTCGACTTCGATGAGGAATCCAAAAAGGCCCTTCTGCAGGTGGACAAAGGTCTTCTCAAGAAGCTAAAGCCCCATCAAGTGGCGGGTGTCAAGTTCATGTGGGATGCTTGCTTTGAAACGCTGAAGGACAGCCAGGAGAAGGCTGGTTCTGGCTGCATCTTGGCCCACTGCATGGGTTTGGGCAAAACCCTACAGGTGGTTACCTTGTCGCACACCCTGTTGATCAATACGCGTCGAACAGGCGTGGATCGAGTTCTGGTTATTTCGCCGTTGAGCACAGTGAACAACTGGGCACGGGAGTTCATCCACTGGATGAAGTTCGCTAACCGAAAGGACATCGAGGTGTACGACATATCCCGCTACAAAGATAAGCCAACGCGCATCTTCAAGCTAAACGAGTGGTTCACCGATGGCGGCGTTTGCATCCTCGGCTACGATATGTACCGCATCTTGGCCAACGAAAAAGCGAAGGGCCTTCGGAAGAAGCAGCGCGAGCAGCTGCAACAGGCGCTAGTTGACCCCGGGCCAGATCTGGTCGTCTGCGACGAGGGGCATCTGCTCAAGAACGAGAAGACGTCGATCAGCAAGGCTGTGACCAGGATGCGCACCAAACGGCGGATTGTCCTTACCGGCACCCCGCTACAAAATAATCTCAGAGAATGTAAGTTAATTATAATGAGCTTGGGTTCATTAATAACCATTTAATGTATTCCAGACTATTGTATGATACAATTTGTAAAGCCCAATCTGTTGGGCACGTATAAGGAGTACATGAACCGCTTCGTAAACCCTATTAGCAATGGCCAGTACACGGATTCGACGGAACGGGATCTGCGACTCATGAAGCACCGATCCCACATTCTGCACAAGCTGCTCGAGGGGTGCATCCAGCGCAGGGATTACTCTGTCCTGGCCCCGTATTTGCCGCCGAAGCACGAGTATGTGGTCTACACGACATTATCTGAATTGCAACAGAAGCTGTACGGTTACTACATGACAACACACCGGGATCAGGCCGGCTCCGACATTTGTGGAAAGGGGGCGCGTTTGTTCCAGGATTTCCAGGACTTGCGCCGAATTTGGACGCATCCCATGAATCTGAGGGTTAACAGCGACATTGTGATCGCAAAGCGGCTGTTGAGCAACGACGACTCCGACATGGAAGGGTTTATCTGCGACGAGACGGATGAAGAGGAAGCCGCTTCCAATTCATCGGACAGTGGCGAGTCCTTTAAATCTGATGCCAGTATGTCGGGCTTGGCGGCCAGCGCACAAAAGACGAAAAAACGCAAGACTCGCAACGAAAAAGCCAAAAGTCCCGATAGCGATTCCGATCTGGAAATGTTGGGCGAAACTGGAGGTGCGGCGAGCCGAGAGAAGGACGATCCCTCCGAGTGGTGGAAGCCGTTCGTTGAGGAGCGAGAGCTGAACAATGTACACCATTCCCCCAAGCTAGTTATATTGCTGAGGCTATTGCAGCAGTGTGAGGCTATTGGCGACAAGCTGTTGGTATTCTCCCAGTCCCTGCAGTCGCTGGACGTCATCGAGCATTTCCTCTCTTTGGTGGACAGCAACACCAAAAACTATGAGTTTGAAGGTAGGCCTTCTAGTCGTATTTTTACACTATTTTTAATCTAAAATCCTTTGCAGGAGACGTTGGAGACTTCAAGGGTTGCTGGACCATCGGCAAGGACTATTTTCGGCTGGACGGAAGCTGCAGTGTGGAACAGCGCGAGGCTATGTGCAAGCAATTCAACAATTTAACCAATTTGCGGGCGCGCCTCTTCCTTATCTCCACACGTGCGGGGGGCTTGGGCATCAATTTGACGGCAGCCAATCGCGTGGTGATCTTCGACGTCTCATGGAATCCCTCACACGATACACAGAGCATATTCCGGGTGTATCGGTTTGGACAGATAAAACCTTGTTATATCTACCGATTGATAGCCATGGGTACCATGGAACAGAAGGTGTATGAGCGTCAGGTGGCCAAGCAGGCCACCGCTAAGCGGGTGATTGACGAGCAGCAGATTTCGCGGCACTACAACCAAACGGATTTAATGGAGCTATACACGTACGAACTGAACCCGAGCATGGAGAGAGAAATGCCAATTCTGCCTAAGGATAGGCTATTCGCTGAACTCCTGAGCGAGCATGAAAAGCTTATATTCAAGTATCATGAACATGACTCCCTGCTGGAGCAGGAGGAGCACGAAAATCTAACTGAGGAGGAGCGGAAATCGGCCTGGGCCGAATATGAAGCAGAGAAAACACGAACAGTGCAAGCCTCACAGTATATGAGCTATGATCGGAACGCCTTCGGCAACCAGGTGATGGGACAGTTTGGAAACGCTTCGGGAAGCGTGACATCCAGCAAGATCTTCGGCTTCCGAACGGACATCCTGTTGCAGCTGCTTAACATGAAGATAGCCAAAGACCATAAAGAGCTAACCCAGAACCAGGTCATCCAGCTGGTGCCCAGCTACCTGCAGCAGCTCTACAACGAAATGAACAACAGTGATCCAACCATGTACAAGGATTTGCTCAATCTGCACGCCAACATCGTGCATCCCAGTGGGATGTACATGAATCCGCTACTCTACGCCAACCAGAATCCCTCGGCAGCGGGCTACAATCAGGGTAGTGGCGGACCTGGTATGGCGATGGGAATGGGTGCAGGGACTGGAGAGGGACCAGCGACTGGATCAGCTGCCTCGGCTCCAGGTTTCGAACCGGACAAGGTATACGAGATCGATTAGAGAAAGCTAAGGAAGCCAACGGAAATGGTTACTTTTAATTGAATAGTAGGTAATTCGTCGACTTCGTCGTTATTTCCTTTGGACAAAAATTTACAAATATGGTTTAATCCTACCTACATATTTACCAATTACCTTATCCCTTACCCGAGTAAGATTATAGTTTTTCTCAACTTATTAAATAATTCTTAAAGTATACAATAAATTTGCGAGGCGATGCTTACGTTCATAACTGTCCTAATCCATTGTGTGTAGTCGTAAATTAGATACCAGAAACAATTAAATAAAATATAACTCATGATTCAAATCCTCACAGGTCTATTCCAGCTTTTTCAAACTATATTCAAGTATAATAGCCGCCACATATCCCAAAGGATGAAGTGAGTGGCTACACATATGATGTGGGTTCGAGTCAAGACACAGTTCAGTTATTGTCCAACAGACAGATTCTTAATAAAGATATAAATTGAAAAGAATTCCATGCGCCCAATGAAGCTGGAATAGGCCTGATAGTTATAAACCACATAGATACACATCTATATAAATAATAATAATAATAAATGCTCTCTCGACTATCGAGTGCAAGAAATTATTTAACACGCGACAAACAATAAATGGCACAGATATTATGAATAAAACCACAATTCTCTTCATCCATTAATGCTGTTTTCTAAAGTCATAATAAACCAAGAAAGGAATAACGTACACTCATATATGTTATTGCAGTTAAATGGCGGTTTCTTTTGGTATGATATTATAAAATATACATATAGTCTGTGATCCCTATTGAGGTTTTTTAGAATCAGTCCAACTTGTTATCATATTGATTTTGAAAAGTTTCATGTTCTTAACCTGAAAACTCGAAATCTCATAGCTTTCGGTGGTCAGAGTGACCTGTCTAAAGGTAAGAGGGTTACGTTTTCGTTTTAAACTTTTTTTAGGATCAAGTAGGCTTTGATGGGTCATACAATCGTTCCCGACGTTTTCGACTCCAATTTAGTTCATTCGTCTTCAATGCTCCAAGCTGTGCGGAGCTCAATTTATCTTGAACCTTTTTTATTTATTTTGTTTCTATGTTTTTTGGGGTTTGTTCTGGGTGGTCTCATCCTTGGACTGGTGAATTATTTTTCGGATCTCCGCTTTCTTATTTAATTTTTTTTTTGTGATAGTTTTAATATCCTTTAAATATTTTCTCTACGTTGGGATTTCAAAATTTTCTTTATCCACGATTTTTGACTCATTTTCTTATTTTCTTTTTGTGAATTTATTCTTTAAATCTTTCAATAATATTATTTCCCTCCGGCTTGTTGATCAAGCCTGCCAATGATATATGTAAACGGAAGGTTTTCGAAAATTTTGAAAATCTTAAGATGGTTTTTTCGATATCACAGGTATTTGGCTTAGGATGGCACAGGCACTTGGCAGTGGCAATGAAACAGTAACTAAAAAAAATATAAAAGTAACGTCAGGACAACTACGAAAAATAGACAAAAAATCTAAAAAATATATTTTTTGTCTCAGTCTTAGAGTCTAAGCTGTGCGAAGCTCAATTTATCTTGACCCTTTTTTCTTTTTTATTTATTTTGTTTCTATATTGTTTGGGGTTTGGTCTGGGTGGACTCTACCGTGGACTGGTGAATTGTTTTTCGGAACGCCGTCATCTTATTTAATTATTTTTTGTGATAATTTTTTTTTTTCCGTTGGAGTTTCATTATTTCTTTATCCACGATCTTTGACTTCATTTTGAATGGTATTTGGAAGACAGAAGACTGGTTTTGTTGATCGCCGTTCTCTTATTTTTTCTTGTGAATATTTGTTTTATATCCTTTTATTTGTTGCAATTTTGTTATCGGGCTCACCATCGACTGTCTCTTATTTTATTATTTTTTTTTGTTGTGAATTTATTCTTTAAATCTTTCAATAATATATTTTCCCTCCCATGCCTTGGTTATCAAGCTTGTCAATGAAACATGGGTGTCCTCTTATTTTTTTGTGAATATTATTTTTTATATCCCTTTTTTCCGTTGGGATTTCATTATTTCTTTATCCACGACCTTTGACTTATTTTATTATTTTTTTTGTGAATGTATTTATTTCTTTTTTTGGGTGGTATCACTAACCATACAGCATATAGACAACCCATTTCATACAACGAAAATGGACGCAAAAATTTCTTGCGACAGGCCCCAGCAGGCCCCAGAGCGGATTTCTTACGCTCATCGTTCGTTCATCTTACGCTCATTCTCTCATTAAATTTTTTCTGTTTCTCAGTCTCTAAACGGAGCGCGATGAAGAAGGTTGGCCTGCGCTTCGGTTGATCTTTGTATGTATGCGTGTCACACATTCACATACACGGGTGTTTGTGTGCGTACGATTTCGTTTCGAAGCCAGCGCACAAAATTTGGATTTTTCTTACTTTTCAGGCTTGCTACCCTAACAAAATTCGGGTATTCGTTATTTGATGAAATGACGAAAGAAATTTATTATTATTATACATTTATTATTTATTATACATTTTTAATTTATTTAGGAATTAGATTAAGTGTTAGTAGTAAAATGTTTTCTGCATATATATTTTTACGAATCATTAAAAATCAATATACTGAGAATGTGTCAGAGTATATTTCAGTCGGAGTCACTTAAAGCGCCGATTGCTTTTAAGTTTTTGTTGTTCTGCAAGAGGCTTGTGCATGCCTACTCTAACGATGGAATGATTTTTAAGGGAGGGTGAAGACGGGTGAAGAATTAAATTACTTTTTAAAGTTCCAAAATATATAAGGAAATTATTAAATTAACGACAATAATTTAATTAAATCTCACAATAACCCAAAATAATAAGTGCCTGAAAAATTGTAAACAAAAAAGGTAAACAAGTCCATCAGCTGTTTTCGTGTCTTCACCCTCCCCTAAAAATCATTCCATCGTTAGAGTAGGCATGCACAAGCCTCTTGCAGAACAACAAAAACTTAAAAGCAATCGGCGCTTTAAGTGACTCCGACCGAAATATACTCTGACACTTTCTCAGTATATTGATTTTTAATGATTCGTAAAAATATATATACAGAAAACATTTTACTACTAACACTTAATCTTATTCTTAAATAAATTAAAAACGTATGCTGAAATAATAAAAAAAATAATATAATTTCTTTTGTCATTTCATCAAATACGAATACCCGAATTTTGTTAGGGTAGCAAGCCTTAAAAGTAAGAAAAATCAAAATTTTGTGCGCTGGCTTCGAAACGAAATCGCACGCACACATACACCCATGTATGTGAATGTGTGACACGCATACATACAAAGATCAACCGAAGCGCAGGCCAACCTTCTTCATCGCGCTCCGTTTAGAGACTGAGAAACAGAAAAAATTTAATGAGAGAATGAGCGTAAGATGAACGAACGATGAGCGTAAGAAATCCGCTCTGGGGCCTGCTGGGGCCTGTCGCAAGAAATTTTTGCGTCCATTTTCGTTGTATGAAATGGGTTGTCTATATGCTGTATGGTTAGTGGTGGTATATAGAAGTGACTGGTCTGGATCGGAATTGGAACTGGAATTATTTTTCCGATTACCGTCATCTTATTTAATTATTTTTTGTGAATATTTGTTTTATATCCCTTTATTCGTTGGAATTTCGTTATCGGGCTCACCATCGACTGCCTCTAATTTTCTTATTTTTTTTTGTTTGTGAATTTATTCTTTTATTATTTTTTTTCCTGTGGTCTGTACATCAAGCCAGCCAATCGAACACGACTGTCCTCTTATTTTTTTTTTATGAATTTTATTTTTTATATACTTTTTTTCCGTTGGAATTTTATTATTTCCCTGTCGACGACCTTTGACTTTTTTTCCCAAGCAGTTAAGGAGACATTTCCGACCCTATAAAGTATATGTATTCTTGATCAGGATCATCTATGTAAGTTCATATGAGCATGTCCGTCTGTCAGTTTTAAAGCAATCGAATTTAAGCTTTGCACATACCCTTCTTTCCTTTGCACGCAGTATATAAGTCGGAACGGCCGAAATCGGCTGTGGGCTGTTTTTCATATTATTTATTTATTGAATTTATTGTTAAATGAATCTCAGATCAATATTTAACCGAAAGACAATTGCTTCTTGCGTTGTTTTTTTTAGATATATAAAATGTTTTTATTGAACTACATTGAGATACAGGTTCTGTACAAAGTTACATACTAAGGTGAAACCCCTGCCAATTTCTGCAACCCCACCATTATTTCGGTGGCAGTTTTCCCATCATGCGGAGCTGCATCTGCTGGGCCTGAAGCATGTGCTGTGGACTTGGTTGCATGGCTCCTATGGGAGCCATACCGCCGGCTCCGGGACCCATTCCCGGCATCATTCCTGGTCTGGGGGGAACTCCTCCCATAGGCGGCATGCCGCCTGCTCCCTGCATCATTCCAGATCCGATGGGCGGGGTGGGACGGCTATGGACACCTTGCTGGATGTCTGAAAGGCAGGCTTTCCACTCCTCCAAGCGATTGTAATGTTTCTGCAGAAGCGCCTCTTTTCTCTGAATCTCGATGCTCAGGTCTTGGTTCTCGTCCTTAATCAGCATGTAGGGCTTCAATGTGGACACAAGGAATCGCTTCTGAAGGAAGAATGCCTCCATTTGACGAGCCACGTCGATGAATCGGTTTGTAGTTTTTTGGACATCTAGTTCGATTTCCTCCTTGTTTGTCCCTGAATTGGGTTCCTGTTTGGTCAGCGATAGAAGGCAGGACTGGAAGGCCTCCTCGAACTCGTCCATAAAGTTCCCGCCACCGGGCTCGTTGCTGGCCATCAAATAACGCTTTTTCGGTTTATATTCAACAAAAAAAGTTACCGGCGAGAAACAACAAAACGTCTGCAAAAGAGCTACAAAACATTAAAGCGACAGGATTGCCATTTTTTTCGATGAGTTCTTATCGATAGTCATCGGCTTAAAAAAGGAAGAGATTGTTTTTCCAATTCGTAGAATTTTTATTAAAATGTTTTAAATGTGAACTCATTGACCTTTTCAAGTTTGTGATCATATGACCTAATTTTTGAACTTTTGCTTAATTTAGCCCAACTATCGATACTATTTCTCTCTTTTTATAAACACAAAATAACAGGGAGTGGCAACCCTGGAGCTAACATGGGAAATTGGTCAGATTTTGTTTATTATCCAACGACATGACAGCAAGGATTATCCAACGCTGTTTCCACACATCCATCTTCAGTCTCCTGGCTCGTGCTCCCCGTCGTGCCAATCCTGGTCTGGGATACCAGCTGCAGCAGCTACAGCAGGAGCACCCTTTGAAAACGAATGATGCTAGGGAAGATTATGCTGACTTGGAATCGGATTTCATGGATGTCCAGAAAACTCATAGGCAACACGAACAAGAAATAAAACAGCATCGCGATCGGATCCGTCAGTATATGATCAAGCATAAGTACTTCAGGGATGCAAAACTGCCAAACCTCCTGTTTCACGCCGAAAAAGAGCAGATAAAATTACTCCACCAACGAGATCCCGAAGAATGGAGTGTCGAACGGTTGGCAGAGAGTTTCCCGGCTACCCAAGAAATTGTCGAAAAGATTTTGCGTGCGAAATGGCGTCCCAGAAGTGTCCAACGAATCCGTACTCACGACGAAAGTGTAATCCGGAATTGGCAGCAGCTCAGACATGGGAAAAATACCTTCAATCTGCCCCAAGCTCTTTTGGAGCATCTGCAGAACTTTAGCGAAAGGCGGAAACAAGATTTGAAGGAGTTTAATCCTGAAGAATGGCCCACAAAGTCACAATTGCCTGTTCCCCAAGGCAACGAGTTTAGAAAACTACTTGGAAGTAAGAATAACCCAGTTCATGACCAGCCACAACCTCAACTACCATCTGGGTACGATCCTCCTGCCTCTGCCGCTGAGGAAGAAACCTATCTGCTCGATAAAATTCGAAATAAAAAGAAAATGCGCCTGCAAGAGCTTAAGGAACTTAATGTGGTAGAATCAACCTCCGAAGCTAAGATCTCCGTACCCGCCCTTCCGGAAAACCCCACGGGCACTGGATTCCTACCCAGCTTTGTCCCCAAATTTGAGAGTAGTGAGGTCGTTATTAGTGCCGCAGACCAGCGTAAATACGAGATCACTCAGGTTAAGACTCAAATTGTTATTCCCCGAAAACTTCGTCGACCAGGAGCCACTTATCGGGTGGAGGATGCCTACTACGATGACGATGGCGAGCTCCTCTACCGTGTGCCAGGAATGACGGGTTCGCAGTCAAGCCATTAACGTTAGCACTTCCGTCTAATTACCCGAATTGGTTTTCCTTCATGATGTTGGTATATGGCTTTAATTGATTATCAATGTTTAATAAAATTTTAGACAAACATAGATTTGATATTTTGTACATTTTTTCCAAAGATTTCTTGAAAATGGGGAAAGGCCTCGGAACGGCATAAGGGCCCCACAGAGATATCCATATCTCGGCCAATTTTTATCTAATCATTAAGCGGAGTACCTTAAAAGTTTTCTTAATCGATTCTCTATTAATATGCATTAAAACCTCCAATCGAAATTTTGGATCCAATTTTTGTCAATTTTCCCCATGGACTCCCTTGAAAATGGGGATATACCTGGAAACGGCATAAGGGCCCTACAGCGATATTCATATCTCGGCCAATTTCCATCCGATCATCAAGCGGGATACCTTAATCGCTTTCTAGATCGATTCTCTATCAATCTGCATTAAAACTTCCAATCGAAATTTTGGATCCATTTTTTGTCAATTTTTTCCATGGACTCCCTTGGAAATGGGGAAATGCCTGGGAACGGCATAAGGGCCCCACAGAGATATCCATATCTCGGCCAATTTTCATCAGATCATCAAGCGGAATACCTTAATCGCTTTCTAGATCGATTCCCTATCAATCTGCATTAAAACCTCGAATCGAATTTTCGAATCCATTTTTTTCCAATTTTTTCCATGGACTCCCTTGAAAATGGGGATGTGCCTGGGAACGGCATAAGGGCCCCACAGAGATATCCATATCTCGGCCAATTTTCATCAGATCATCAAGCGGAATACCTTAATCGCTTTCTAGATCGATTCTCTATCAATCTGCATTAAAACTTCCAATCGAAATTTTGGATCCATTTTTTGTCAATTTTTTCCATGGACTCCCTTGGAAATGGGGAAATGCCTGGGAACGGCATAAGGGCCCCACAGAGATATCCATATCTCGGCCAATTTTCATCAGATCATCAAGCGGAATACCTTAATCGCTTTCTAGATCGATTCCCTATCAATCTGCATTAAAACCTCGAATCGAATTTTCGAATCCATTTTTTTCCAATTTTTTCCATGGACTCCCTTGAAAATGGGGATGTGCCTGGGAACGGCATAAGGGCCCCACAGAGATATCCATATCTCGGCCAATTTTCATCAGATCATCAAGCGGAATACCTTAATCGCTTTCTAGATCGATTCTCTATCAATCTGCATTAAAACCACCAATCGAAATTTTGGATCCATTTTTTGTCAATTTTTTCCATGGACTCCCTTGGAAATGGGGAAATGCCTGGGAACGGCATAAGGGCCCCACAGAGATATCCATATCTCGGCCAATTTTCATCAGATCATCAAGCGGAATACCTTAATCGCTTTCTAGATCGATTCCCTATCAATCTGCATTAAAACCTCGAATCGAATTTTCGAATCCATTTTTTTCCAATTTTTTCCATGGACTCCCTTGAAAATGGGGATGTGCCTGGGAACGGCATAAGGGCCCCACAGAGATATCCATATCTCGGCCAATTTTCATCAGATCATCAAGCGGAATACCTTAATCGCTTTCTAGATCGATTCTCTATCAATCTGCATTAAAACCACCAATCGAAATTTTGGATCCATTTTTTGTCAATTTTTTCCATGGACTCCGTTGGAAATGGGGAAATGCCTGGGAACGGCATAAGGGCCCCACAGAGATATCCATATCTCGGCCAATTTTCATCAGATCATCAAGCGGAATACCTTAATCGCTTTCTAGATCGATTCTCTATCAATCTGCATTAAAACCTCCAATCGAAATTTTGGATCCATTTTTTTCCAATTTTTTCCATGGACTCCCTTGGAAATGGGGAAATGCCTGGGAACGGCATAAGGGCCCCACAGAGATATCCATATCTCGGCCAATTTTCATCAGATCATCAAGCGGAATACCTTAATCGCTTTCTAGATCGATTCTCTATCAATCTGCATTAAAACTTCCAATCGAAATTTTGGATCCATTTTTTGTCAATTTTTTCCATGGACTCCCTTGGAAATGGGGAAATGCCTGGGAACGGCATAAGGGCCCCACAGAGATATCCATATCTCGGCCAATTTTCATCAGATCATCAAGCGGAATACCTTAATCGCTTTCTAGATCGATTCTCTATCAATCTGCATTAAAACCTCCAATCGAAATTTTGGATCCATTTTTTTCCAATTTTTTCCATGGACTCCCTTGGAAATGGGGAAATGCCTGGGAACGGCATAAGGGCCCCACAGAGATATCCATATCTCGGCCAATTTTCATCAGATCATCAAGCGGAATACCTTAATCGCTTTCTAGATCGATTCTCTATCAATCTGCATTAAAACCACCAATCGAAATTTTGGATCCATTTTTTGTCAATTTTTTCCATGGACTCCGTTGGAAATGGGGAAATGCCTGGGAACGGCATAAGGGCCCCACAGAGATATCCATATCTCGGCCAATTTTCATCAGATCATCAAGCGGAATACCTTAATCGCTTTCTAGATCGATTCCCTATCAATCTGCATTAAAACCTCGAATCGAATTTTCGAATCCATTTTTTTCTAATTTTTTCCATGGACTCCCTTGAAAATGGGGATGTGCCTGGGAACGGCATAAGGGCCCCACAGAGATATCCATATCTCGGTCAATTTTCATCAGATCATCAAGCGGAATACCTTAATCGCTTTCTAGATCGATTCTCTATCAATCTGCATTAAAACCACCAATCGAAATTTTGGATCCATTTTTTGTCAATTTTTTCCATGGACTCCCTTGGAAATGGGGAAATGCCTGGGAACGGCATAAGGGCCCCACAGAGATATCCATATCTCGGCCAATTTTCATCAGATCATCAAGCGGAATACCTTAATCGCTTTCTAGATCGATTCCCTATCAATCTGCATTAAAACCTCGAATCGAATTTTCGAATCCATTTTTTTCCAATTTTTTCCATGGACTCCCTTGAAAATGGGGATGTGCCTGGGAACGGCATAAGGGCCCCACAGAGATATCCATATCTCGGCCAATTTTCATCAGATCATCAAGCGGAATACCTTAATCGCTTTCTAGATCGATTCTCTATCAATCTGCATTAAAACCACCAATCGAAATTTTGGATCCATTTTTTGTCAATTTTTTCCATGGACTCCCTTGGAAATGGGGAAATGCCTGGGAACGGCATAAGGGCCCCACAGAGATATCCATATCTCGGCCAATTTTCATCAGATCATCAAGCGGAATACCTTAATCGCTTTCTAGATCGATTCTCTATCAATCTGCATTAAAACCTCCAATCGAAATTTTGGATCCATTTTTTTCCAATTTTTTCCATGGACTCCCTTGGAAATGGGGAAATGCCTGGGAACGGCATAAGGGCCCCACAGAGATATCCATATCTCGGCCATTTTTTGTCAATTTTTTCCATGGACTCCCTTGGAAATGGGGAAATGCCTGGGAACGGCATAAGGGCCCCACAGAGATATCCATATCTCGGCCAATTTTCATCAGATCATCAAGCGGAATACCTTAATCGCTTTCTAGATCGATTCCCTATCAATCTGCATTAAAACCTCGAATCGAATTTTCGAATCCATTTTTTTCCAATTTTTTCCATGGACTCCCTTGAAAATGGGGATGTGCCTGGGAACGGCATAAGGGCCCCACAGAGATATCCATATCTCGGCCAATTTTCATCAGATCATCAAGCGGAATACCTTAATCGCTTTCTAGATCGATTCTCTATCAATCTGCATTAAAACCACCAATCGAAATTTTGGATCCATTTTTTGTCAATTTTTTCCATGGACTCCGTTGGAAATGGGGAAATGCCTGGGAACGGCATAAGGGCCCCACAGAGATATCCATATCTCGGCCAATTTTCATCAGATCATCAAGCGGAATACCTTAATCGCTTTCTAGATCGATTCTCTATCAATCTGCATTAAAACCTCCAATCGAAATTTTGGATCCATTTTTTTCCAATTTTTTCCATGGACTCCCTTGGAAATGGGGAAATGCCTGGGAACGGCATAAGGGCCCCACAGAGATATCCATATCTCGGCCAATTTTCATCAGATCATCAAGCGGAATACCTTAATCGCTTTCTAGATCGATTCTCTATCAATCTGCATTAAAACTTCCAATCGAAATTTTGGATCCATTTTTTGTCAATTTTTTCCATGGACTCCCTTGGAAATGGGGAAATGCCTGGGAACGGCATAAGGGCCCCACAGAGATATCCATATCTCGGCCAATTTTCATCAGATCATCAAGCGGAATACCTTAATCGCTTTCTAGATCGATTCCCTATCAATCTGCATTAAAACCTCGAATCGAATTTTCGAATCCATTTTTTTCCAATTTTTTCCATGGACTCCCTTGAAAATGGGGATGTGCCTGGGAACGGCATAAGGGCCCCACAGAGATATCCATATCTCGGCCAATTTTCATCAGATCATCAAGCGGAATACCTTAATCGCTTTCTAGATCGATTCTCTATCAATCTGCATTAAAACCACCAATCGAAATTTTGGATCCATTTTTTGTCAATTTTTTCCATGGACTCCCTTGGAAATGGGGAAATGCCTGGGAACGGCATAAGGGCCCCACAGAGATATCCATATCTCGGCCAATTTTCATCAGATCATCAAGCGGAATACTTTAATCGCTTTCTAGATCGATTCTCTATCAATCTGCATTAAAACCTCGAATCGAATTTTCGAATCCATTTTTTGTCAATTTTTTCCATGGACTCCCTTGGAAATGGGGAAATGCCTGGAAACGGCATAAGGGCCCCACAGAGATATCCATATCTTGGCCAATTTTCATCAGATCATCAAGCGGAATACTTTAATCGCTTTCTAGATCGATTCTCTATCAATCTGCATTAAAACCTCGAATCGAATTTTCGAATCCATATCTCCATATGGAGAGATATCCATATCTCCAGAGATATCCATATCTCGGCCAATTTTCATCAGATCATCAAGCGGAATAACTTAATCGCTTTCTAGATCGATTCTCTATCAATCTGCATTAAAACCTCCAATCGAAATTTTGGATCCATTTTTTGTCAATTTTTTCCATGGACTCCCTTGGAAATGGGGAAATGCCTGGGAACGGCAAAAGGGCCCCACAGAGATATCCATATCTCGGCCAATTTTCATCAGATCATCAAGCGGAATAACTTAATCGCTTTCTAGATCGATTCTCTATCAATCTGCATTAAAACCTCCAATCGAAATTTTGGATCCATTTTTTGTCAATTTTTTCCATAGACTCCCTTGGAAATGGGGAAATGCCTGGGAACGGCATAAGGGCCCCACAGAGATATCCATATCTCGGCCAATTTTCATCAGATCATCAAGCGGAATACCTTAATCGCTTTCTAGATCGATTCTCTATCAATCTGCATTAAAACCACCAATCGAAATTTTGGATCCATTTTTTGTCAATTTTTTCCATGGACTCCCTTGGAAATGGGGAAATGCCTGGGAACGGCATAAGGGCCCCACAGAGATATCCATATCTCGGCCAATTTTCATCAGATCATCAAGCGGAATACCTTAATCGCTTTCTAGATCGATTCTCTATCAATCTGCATTAAAACCACCAATCGAAATTTTGGATCCATTTTTTGTCAATTTTTCCCATGGCCTCCCCCTTGGAAATGGGGAAATGCCTCGGAACGGCAATGGGCCCCACAGAGATATCCATATCTCGGCCAATTTTCATCAGATCATCAAGCGGAATACCCTAAATGATTTTTCTATACACTCTCTATTCTGCATTAAATGTTTTTCACAAAAAATATGTAAAAAGTTAAAGTCATTTATAACAAAGAGAATTATGGGATGTGTTACAAAATATACAACGCAAGTTCCAAATTTGTCTGTAAATATTAGTAACTTAAATATTGGTCAATTATTAAAAGCGGCGGCAATAAAATCACTGCCGGCCATTAGGGAATCAGAGGCTACCGTAATCTGTGCTCCTGTCTGCTTGGCCACAAAATCACAGGCGGCGATCTCTGCGTAACTGGCTCCTCCCACAACGAAAATAAAGAGATTCCTAAGTTTCAGGGGGAAAACATCCTGGTGGGTACTGCTGGTAGTTTTTATTTGGGTGGCATAGGCCTTTGGAGTAGTTTTCCCGCTGTCCAAGTGCAGGGTAAGTCCATCAATCATGGTCAACTTTGTAGAAACTTCATCCGCATTGTTACTTTTTAGGAGAATCGAACAAAGCTGCGCCACTAGAGGGATATAGGTGCCGTTGAAAACGAAACTGGGACAGGATTGCATGTTGGAAGCCTGATTTTTGGAAGAACCACCGCCATCCTGACCGTCGCCAAAAGATGTAAGAAGCCGTAAGCGATTAGCATTGGCTTGAAATTCAGTTTGCTGGAACTTGGGAAGCGGCAGGTTGGAGAGTAGCTTCGTTGGTGCTTTCTTCTCGGGCAGAAGATGAGGCAACAATCCTGCCTGGGCCAGTCGCTGGAATACACTCAATTCTTGGTGACCAACCAGATTGCAATAGTTCCTGGCAAACATCTGTAATTCTTCTGGGGCTACTCCGGCACAATGGTGAAGTAGACACAGTAAGCGGAGCGTGTTGAAACGTTGGCCATCGGTGGTGAGCAGTTCATCAATCTCGCCCAGCAATTTTTTCCTCGACACGTTATTGAGAATATCCTCCTCCAGAGTTTGCAGCTTTCGAAAGTTTCCCATCATTTTTATCACAATCTCACTCGCATTAAGATGTCGAAGTACTTTTGATTTTAGCTCGGTGAGTTTGGGCAGCTTCCTGGCCACGTAGTCGTGCATCTCCTCCAGTTTCATGTCGTTTAACTTTTGGAGCTCCAAGCCTAATGCCTTGACTTGGGCGCGAATTAAGCTGCTAACTTGAGCGAAGTGCTTGTATCGATTGTCCCCGTAAATCTCATCGGCAGTGGAGTTCAGGCGAATAGAGCAAGGCTTCGGGGACTGGGCCAAACTCTTTATCTGTGTCCTTCCTTGAAGCAACTCCACGCGTTGGTCACTGATTTTATTTTTTGAGTTGTCCACCAGTACTTCACCAGATCGTTGCTGGAAAACTTCGAGGAGAAGACCTGCATAAATTGCTGGTGTTAGCAAACTGGCTGGATAGTCCTTGTCCCTGTCGATGATTAGCCAGGCGCCGTATTCTGCCGAGGGGGTGGGCTCTGGCAGTTTACCCAGCGCGTGAATCATATCCACTAACTGCGCCGAGTGGTGTCCATAGGAGAGAATCACGGGTGGACGGCCAGACACCATTTGCAGCACCCTCAGACTTTGAGCCACAGGCGGCAAAGGCGAGGTGTTTCCTTGCAGATAGACGCACTCGTACAGCTGTTAGGGAATGGATCTTCATTATTTCGGGCTTTGGAATGTTGATGGCACCTACGTTCGGTAACTCCAGGCTCAGCACTCCTTGATCGAAGTAGATAAAATCCCAATTGTAGTGATGCAGTTGCACCAGACCCCAGAGTCCCATCTGCTCCAAGAGGGTTTGAAAGTATGAGTAGCAGCTGGGAACGCACACTATATGATACATCTTCATGGAGATGTCCGGCACCTCCGCCAGAGCCAGAGGTTGTAGCTGCTGCATCAGTGTGGTGAATGTGCCCAAGACACTGCGGATCATGTAGATGTGCACCTGGTCGGCCGATCGAGGGAGGCTCTGGGCAGCATCATGTTTGTAGATTCTCTGGATTCCTTTCAACCTGAAATTTATTTGCTAATAAGTGAGTGTTTCCCCATCATTGATTGAACACCCACTTCAACCAGGATGCTGTGCATACATGTTCCAGGGGCTTGATAAGTGCTGGCTCCAAGATTAGCTCTTTTTTTCCAGGAATGGAACACAATATGGCTTGCAGCTGAAATGGGAGTAGTGTTTATAAGGAAACGAGAGCTAATTTCGTAATATTTACCTTTTCCTGGGCCACCAGTTGAAATCCCTGCAACTTTTTCTCCAGCGTTAACTCCATTGCATCTTGTTAGTCAGCCAGGGTGGAAAAATACTTCAATAATTAATTATTGTTATTTCTTACATTCCACTGAATATTGTTATTTGTTGTGCTTTCGTGTTTATGACTAACAGCTGTTCCACCTTTTTTAATAGAGGTGGCAACTCCAAACAACAAAGTGTTTCTTCAAAAAATCTTTGAAAAAAAAACCGTATTAAATGGAATTTAGGGTCAAATAAATGTAGAAGACTTAAAGAAAAGCAGAACATATTCAGAATGTGATAAATATTTTTGGCAAGGAATAAAAATGTACAAAATATGGCAACTTTCTTGTTGGATGTTGAATGCAACATTTTCCGCAACATGTTTGAGGGCGATTAGTACAGCTGATTGGGCGGCGCTGTCAGTCTTCGCTGAGAGCTCTTCGCGAGAGGCAGGAACGTATCGCAAGTTGGAAATATAAGTTTCGAGAGGCTACAGAAATTGTTTTTACTTGTTTTTACGGACGACACGCGGATTTGCCGAGAAAAGTGTCTATTTGTGGATGATAAATGAAATTAATTTTTGCCTCTTGTTGCCGCTAAAACTTGAAGAGAATCGCAGTCTCAGTTGCACAAGTGTTTGTTTGCAATCGCACTTTCCGTTTTCTCCCGCTCTCCGTGTTTACGTCGCCGTTGTCAGTGTGTACGTGTGGACGTGTACGTGTAGAAGTGTGGTGTTTTTGTGAGTTTATGTTTTTATTTTGCTTTTGCTTTTGCGAGGAAATTCAACCAAAAAGAGATGAAAAATAAATAAATAAAAAGAAGCAATAACAAGAAGAAGAAGCAGGTGAAAATCACGGCGACAAATGCAAGTGAGATTGTTACTATCCACCCAAAGTCATCCCAGCATCTGAAAATCCGAGAATTCCAGCCAGCAGCCATCCAGGTGAGCCCCAAATAGTTGTTGTTTATAAATAAGTGAGGCTCCCCAGCCAACCGTAGGTGGAATTCGTGCGAAAATGAAGGCATGCATCAAACGATGGGGCTGATGACAAAAATACTTGTTGTGTGTGTGTGTTGTTGTTGTTGTTGGGGCGCTTGTTGCACTTTCTTGGTTCCGTTTTGGGCCCCAGATTCGCCGCCTGCTAACTGTCGCCTTTCTCCACCTCTCTCCACCGTTTTGCATTGCTATCTCACTTAGTTGTTGCTTTGTTTTTAGTTAACATTATTTTCTTATAGTCTGTGTCTTCTTCGCGTTTCTTCCTCGGTTCCGATTGTTTGGCATACCGGTTTGCGGCCATCCCGCTCTGGCACCTTGTACAGGTAGTTGTGCACATACACAGTTTACTTTTAGATTTTCTATTCTTCTGTGTGTGTCTCTCCCCCGCCCCCCAGTCCCCTGTCTGATTTAATCTTCATCTCTTGAGTTTGTTGTTGTTGTTGTTGCTCCTGCCTCTCCTATTTATGTTTCATGTGTCTTTTGGGGAGCCGGGATCTGGGAGCTGGCTATTAAAAGTTAATTTTTTTTTTTTGCAAGCACACTCGCTGAGTTTTGCTTAATTTATTGCGCTTTTTTGCGGCCTCCGATTCGGCATATAATTTACATGATTGCTTTATTTTTTCGCCATCAAGTTGAACAACCTCTCGTCTCCACAAAGGTTACGTTCGTTAATTTTATATAAGCACGTTGTGCCTCTCACAATTGACTGAAATTGGGGGAATAAATGATCTTTTATTCGAGAGGTTAGAGAACCTGGCAAGATTCCTCATTTTATTTAAAACTTGAATGAAAAGTAGATTTATAAATATTTATTTCAAGGGAAGAGACCATTCCCATTATAAAACCAATATTTCAAAACAAAATGAAATAATGAAAATGAATCATAACGTTAGAAACCAGTAATCATAAACTATTGCTTCCGCTAGTACTCATAAAACAGTCCCAGATTGTAAAAACTAACTTTCCATTTAAAGAAAATTTTGATAAGATATAAATCTATATACCGGATTTCTCAATTCTCGAGAATATTTCCCTTCTATTGCGAATCGGTAGCCTTCATATTGCTCAGCCAAGCGTATCGAAATAATTTATTTGCATTTTGTAAATAAACAAAACTAATCGAAGGTGATTCCAAAACATCTCAGAGCCGTAAATTCACTGGAAAAAATTTCACACCAATTAGAACTAGAAATCATAGGCTTCTAGAACCATAAAGAGGGGAATCTGTATAAACAGAAGTATGTATGTAATTTTTGGAAAAGAAAACAAAAGCATTTTTGCAATGTGGGTTGCTTTCGCTTCTTTCCCATCAAATATCTCCCCAAAAATGTTGTTTTTATTCTTCGAGCGGAGGCGTGTGAATTTTCCTTAAGATGATGTCTGTTGTCTACACAGAGAGAAATTATTTTATTTACTTAGATTAAAAAATATTTATTAAGGGCATTTAGATAGGCCTTAAGCTTCAAAAGATCACTCAGCTTGCTCTGAAAACAGGTTTTTAAAATAAATAAAATAATAAAATATTTATTTTTCACGACTGTATAAACATCAAGCCCCAATTAGTATTGTTCTTCTGTTGGCATATGGCAAATATTCGCTTTGAATTAGCTCCAGAGATCCACTTTTGTGTGATCTTGTGTTTGGAGAGCAATTTTTTGGTTAATGTTCTTAAATATTTATTTTATTTTCTCATAAGGCTTTGAGTTATTTTTGGAAGAGACTGCATTTTCACATAAATATGTACATACATACATGTTTGTATAATGCTTAGTAATTTAGGTTAACTGTGCCAAGTTTTAAATAAACTTTTATCCAAAGATATAATTTTATTTATTTAGCAACGAAAGCTATTCAGCAAAATTTTCGCTTTTTTAGCAAACTCATGACGGAACAAAAAAAATAAATAAACCGACGTCTCACTCATGCGTTTCTTCCCGGTTAGTGGTGGGGTGGTGACTCACCCGAAAGTACGTGTAGCGCCAGTTCCCCGCCAGTCTTCTGGCTTGGCAATTCTTCTTTCTTCTGATTGGAATATGGGATACGTACCTACTTGAGAGCTAAGGCGCTATTTTGGCGCGTGTCCAAGTAGAAACAAAGAAAAGCCAAAGAAAGGTGCGGCCAGTAAGGCGAATAAATCAGCAAATCAGCAAATCAGGGTTTATCAAGGCCTAGGGAATTAATAATATTAGTTAGAGAGCTAAACGAATTCATAACTGACTAACAAGAACAATACTCATTGGTTTCTAATTAAACTCTCTGTTGGGAGATTGCTTTTTGGAGGTTTTTTGACTTTAAAATTTATGCAAAGCATCCAGTCAGCCATTAAGGTAACTGGTTTCGACACGGGCTACGGCGGATTTCCCAAGTCGCGGGGTTTTCCCCATCTCTGCTTTAAAACCGCAACCTGGCCGGAAAATGTCGACACCCTAGTCGCATGTTAGCGATAGAGGTAGAATCAGATTTCTAAGCTTTGCCCCGACCTTCTCACCTTTCTTAAAAAACGTGCCACGCATAGCTGAGAAGGCGGAAAAGCGTTTTCCCTTTGCTTCCAAGCTCCCAACACTTGGTATTTGTTTTTAAGAATTTCTTTAATTTTTTTGAAGAAACTATCTGTGCTCAGTCACCCGAACAGAGTCGTGTTTTTGTTTACTTTTCAGAGAGAATGTTGCACACAACTGAGAGGAGAAATATACATATTCCGAGAGCTTTTGCATTTTAACACATGATTTCATATGCAAATATGAACAATGCAATGTGGGTGGAGGTGGGTGGGTATCGGGAGTGCTGAATGTAGAGACGAAAATTTATGTGAAATCACAAAATTTATGGCATTTTCTTCTGATGGGCCAAAAGGGGGGGAACTGGGATTGGGGAGCCAAGAAGTTGATGGTTGTCTAAGCTGTTTTCCTCCCAGGTCGCTGCTCACTTGGACGCCCTTCTGCTCGTTTTTAACTTACTTTCCTTGTTTGCCAAACTTATACAGTATTTGTACTGGTATGTGTGTGCTTTGGCACGTGACAATAAATTGTTGTTTGTTGCTCCACCACCCCCTCCCCTCATACTCATACTGACTCTTCTCGTTGTCTTGCAAGAAAGCCAAGAAAGAAAAGTGTGTCATAAATGTCATAGTTAATATTTGCTGCTCTGTAAATTTTTGGTTCTTTGGCTGTGCTCTGACTTGTGTGTGTGTTTGTGTTCTTGCTTTTTTGGCAACTTGTTTCCAAAAAGGAGGGGCTAAGGGGGGCTGGGAAGGGGGCTTACTGCTTTATAAATAAAAGTACATCGCAGCGCTCTGTCAACCTTGACCCAGCAACAAAAAAAAAAAAAAAAAACAAAGGCGTGCCAAAGACGGAGCGAGAGCTGAAATATAAATTGCAGAGCCAGCAAATTTATGGATTTAACTTAGCCATCGACAGAGTGAGGGATCTGGTATAAAGACACATATTTTCAATTAGAAAAAGCCACCCATATTCACAAATAAAAGACCATTTTTTTAAGCCAAGGAGGATATTTGTTTTCTGATTAAAATAATTGTTTGCTTTTATTGGCAAAAAGCGGCTTTGCTTTCAAGGAATATCTTTTTTTTTTTGGTAAATATTTATCATTATTTTTTTATCGGTAATTATGTTTGAGGAAAGAGGAAGCGATCTTATCACGACGTGGGTAGTAAGCTTTTTAATCTTTTATTCAAAGCAGAGTCACAAGACCTCGGTTTGGAAAGTTTCTAGCAAACTTAAGAGTCCATTTGGTTAGTTGTTTAAAAAATAGGCAATCTTCAGGTGGGTACTTTAAACTTTTCAGGTTTATTTTGATATTTTAAAGATGATTTTGTAAAAATTTCAAAAATGTTAAGAATTTCCGGAAGTTGGCGACGTAGGCCTTACACTAGGGTACTCTACTCTGCCGCTACCGGCTACTCTCCTACAGGTCGTTCAAATCATCTCACACTACTAATTGCAACATAAAAATTAAGTAATATATACAGTAGCATCGAAAATATTTAATAAACTCAATGCTATATAGTGCCTATATGTATATCCATTTCAATAATTATCAAATATCCTTGGACTCGCTTTCGCTGCCTAAGTAGAGTAACCCTGACCAGCTGGGGGAAAATCGCAACTACTCGCAGCGATGAAAACCACAATAGCTGAAATTCAATCGACATATTGCTTGGGGGGCTGAGGGAGGGCCAGAAAGAGCTGATAATACGCATTAATCTCTCACCTGCCGGCGAGGAGCAGTCTCACCTGAGGAACCTGAAAGCTAAATGTAAGAGCCAGTGGGAGGCAAGAGCTGTAACAGCAAAAAATTGTTACTGTTGCTTTCAACGGCTTTAGTTTTCTGATTGCAGTTAGTTCTTCCTCTACTTTATTGTTGGTTGACTGCTCTTGGCCTAAAGTTGATTGCATGACATTGTTCTTAGCCAAGTTCCCTCTCTCCCCTGGCCCCGAGTATGTTTCTCTTTTTTTTTTTATATTTTCTGTGTGCTTGTTTACATTTATTTTGTTGTAGTTTTCCAGCTCACAATCAGAAGCGTTCTATAGAGTATAGAGACCTTCCCTCACCGTTTGCAATATTATCGAAAAACCACTTGAATCGACCACCGACCTCCAGCGCCCTCCTGCTCCCCTTTGTTTGCAGTTCAACTTTGATTTCTATTTCAGTTTTCAGGCTTTTTATTGTGGGGCACTTGGAGTGCATTTTCATTTCGTGTTGCAACCGGCAACTTGCAACTCGCAATTGATGAATGCCCGAGTAATAAACTTGAAAAATGCCCATTTCGGTAAAGCGTCGGCAGCTTTATCGGCTGTTCTAAGGAGCCGGGAGTTTCCTCCTTACTCAGATGTGCGTTTTTCTTCACGAATTTTCCACTGGGGGCCCGACGAACAAGACAAATAGCTTTTTTCCACCGGGTGCCGGTTGCCGCTGGCCGGGGGGCTGTT